ATCGAAATCCAACTGGGAGAGTGGCCAATACGATAATTAGACTGAAACCGTGATCTACCCTAGTCAATGACCCTTACTGCTTTTGTATCCAAGTCAAACGACAGGATTGTGGTCCGTGACTTTGGTTGATTGCAGGCTTCGTCTCGAGGGGTGATGGGAGGTATGTGCATATTCTGCAGCATTGATTACCCGCATCTTTCACAATATGCACTACTACCTCTAGCACGTAGTGGATCCCTCAAAATCATCCTCGAGGCGAGTGGCTCTGGTTGCTCAGCCACACCTTGCAGCCCATGGTATTCTATTGGATTCGGGATTGGGGGCCTTGAGCTGTGTACCTCACTGATAGCCAGGTGAACATGATACCCAGCTCTTCCGGGAAAATGAGAACGATGTGGGAACGAACTTCTCGGGTTTCTAGTTATCTGAAAGCCGAATCTTGGTTTGTAGTTTCAATCGAACTTTTTTATAGTATGGGCTACCCGTGCCCTGACCACTCAGAATGTCAGGTGTGGTCGCGTGGTCTATTGCGGGACTTGGGGGCTGGTAGTCGGCTCCATCCAATCTTCACCGTCTAATATGGCTGTCCCGAGAAATCAAGAACGCTGGTAGATTTTCCTCATAGGTTCACGTCTGTCCTCCTTTCTAGGTATAGCTCCTTCCTTGTCCGTTTAGTGTTAGCTTTGTTGGGAATACTACAAATTAGCACCTTCTTTGGAAATGGAGAACGTTGGCTTCAAGCCACGAGTAATAGTCCTATAAACCGGGCGACTTCCGGTTGATTGCGGATGCGCCACTTACTTTGCCCAAAACTTAGTTTGGCATGGTTGATATTGATGGCCGGCTTTGATCTAGTGTGCAAGAGATTAGGTATTGCGTGGCTTGACCCTCCAGAATCCTTCAGGGCGTTGTAATGGGCTTGAATATTGCTTGCGAAGATCTTCCGTCCGTATGTTAGAAAGGGGAAGGTAGGTATTGACGACTCTGCGAGCCGTGAGAGGCCGATCGCACGATCAATAGCTAGAATGATACCATATGTGTAAACTACTTCCATCTATGCCAGTAGCTTTGCCTGGGAAGGCCGCTCCTCTAGGGCGCGAGCATCTGCCAACTTCCTGAATTGTTCCTCAACCCCTTTTCCCAACTAAATCAACCATGGCTTTCGAATGTTTTGTGTTTCACAGTAACGAAGTTCATAGGAAGGGTTTCACCACCACAGTTCTCGAGATATACTTAGAGATATGATTATTCAAGGTCATTCAGCTCGTGGGCCGGGCGCCACCCGCTTCAACAGTGACGATCCCATCCATATCCTAGCTAGAAACCAGAAAGAAAGGTGCAAATCATGCTCCAAGCGCGGGCTAGTTAGTGGGAACGGTGGTGCCAAAAAAGACGCTACCACCCACATGGGGCTCCTCTTCTACTTAGCATGCTCCGTACAATGACAATGGCTCGATAATTGACTATTCCATGTCGATCTTGGCTTCAGTTTGGGGGCCCTGTTGAGCCTAACTCTCCCATATCCCGAGTTGGGCCTTATCTCTTTAGGGCACGCTACCAAGAAGTTGAAGAAGTTAAAATAAGTGGCAGCCTGCGTAAGCATATCGACCTTCCTTATGGGGCGTGTATGATTATGGTTAGATGCCGAATGTGGATAGCTCAGGGGGAGTGAGACAGAAATCCTTCGTGCTATTTGTTCTTCCTACCAAGAAGCAAAAAGAAGACTCTGCCAATTGTGGGATGGTGGGTAGACGCTAGCCAAGGTGTCGATCCGATTCGGGAGCGGGCAACCACCGCCCTTTCGATGATGCATAGTTTGACATCACTATAGCTTCTGTCATGGGTGCTAGGAAATTCTAGAGTGCTGGTTTTTGCTTCATGGCCATTTTTGAGGCTTTGATATGCCAGTGGTTGAGGTAGGGTAACATCGGCACGGTGTTGATCGGCATCATCGGCGGGGTGGGAAGTATACGTCAGGATATATAATCCCTGCGGGCGCTACAACAACTTGCGGAGAAATTTCCAAGAAAATATCCCCAACCCACACTAACAAAGCCAAAAAAAATTACCCGACCGTATAATTTGATAGAATTTACCGACCTCTGGAAAGCTAGTTGTAGGATGGGAAGAAAATAAACTTTGATACCTTCTGCCCGATTGATAATCCTCAGTTCGCGATCGGCTTCGATCAGCCACGCTTGAAACCGCCGCCGAGTTTCGACCGTTTCAAGTTCAATCACTACTTCAAGCCTTCAACCGTCTTTTGCGCCGAAGTTCCCCCAAAAGGAGAAGAGAAGAGCTTCTCAACCAGGATTAACCAGTCGAAACGCATCGAAACAGGTCTGACGCGAACTATGGTTTAAACAGACCTGCCGTCTCGCTGATCCCCCAATCAATCGCCGACACAACCATGTCTCCTCTGAGCAAATATTCAGACCCCAGAGCATGCACTGCCGCCCGAAACCACGGTATTGATGGAAGATGCGGTTCCGCACTCTTCCTCTACCTCCCAAAGATCGCCCCCAAAGATCGATAAGAGACGGCGCGATGTTGTCCCGCCGAACAGGAAAAACGTGGTGGAGCGGATTTCCACATTCCAAGCGGTCCCACAAGCAACTCAAGCTAACCGATCCTTTTTGCAGTGGAGATGCACGAATCGAAGCAAATGGTGCTCGCTGATAGGGCAAACTGCCCAATTCCTTCCACTTCAGTGAATTCACCTCTGCCTGTCGGGACCTCGGGATGCAAATCTACTCCGGAGTCCGTCGTTCTCCTGCACGGCCTTCTGCCTCTTTACCATATCGAGCAAGCCTTTCGGTTCGCGGTGTGCGCTATTACAATTATCCAATGACGGCGCTTACTATGGAGGGCCTTCCATGGCAGGTTCTCCTATCATATCACTTCGTGCTCTGAAGTTAGCTCCTTCTCCATCCTTGTCGGACCCGAGCATCCATAACCCACTTTTTTCTCTTCCTTCTTTTTGTCTTCCCTTACCAGACCCTGAATAACAACAACAATGGTTCACTCTACAAGGCACCCCCATCTTCTACCATGCAATAAGCATGGAGTGGTGGAAAGGTAATCCAATCGCCCTCTTTCTTCGCGGGCCCACTCGTACACCGTGCAAATTGTCGTTGCCAAGTTCATTGAGATTTTCGGCCAAGGACCAAGGTCAAGGTAGGCAGCAGTCCCAGTCTGTCCCCATCTCTGGCTCCATTCCAGCTTCTCCATATCTGCGAGACGGAACAATTGGTGCCAAGTCCGTGCTTGAACCTCGGCTTTGACAGCTCTGGAGAAGTATTATTCATAGCATACATCATCCAATCGAATTGTATGCACTCGCACGGCCGGCTCTGCTGGAGGACCCTGCGAAGTACGAATCGGGTAATAGTTAAGTAAATAGTTGATTCTTCGTCAAGTCGGCTTCTCATAGGTTATGATTTTGGATCGGGCAAAGGTAAAAATACCGAAGCGAGGAACACTAGATGGAAAATGAAGAAGCGAGAAAACAAGACCCTCAAAAAGAGGAGCGATTATTGGGCGCTTTTGAGTTTACTGCCCAGGAACGTGCAGGACTCTCGCCTAAACGGTTCTTATTTGGATATCTACTACGCCTTTTACATATCGACATCGACATCTTCACCCGTTTATCGTATATCGTAATAATGGAAAGTATGTAAAAGCAACCATCAAAGCCAAACGTGAGGCTTTCGGAACCTAACCGAGCCGGGACGAATCGGGGACCCTGAATCGGACCCACGACCAACTTTGGCTTATTATTGGGCTTCACCATGCTCCTCTTCCGGATAACCCTAAGGTCGGGCACGGGGTACTGTACTTGATGGAGGATGGATTCCTGTAGGTCACGACCTGCTCCCTGCTCCAACGTGACTAAGTGGTCGACAGTTCACCAGTCGTCTGCAAAAGTTATGCAAAGTTCAAACTGGCTTGGGCCTGTGACTCGTGAGACATCCGCCTGTCTCACTCAATCCCCCGAGTTAGGAATAGGGGGCAAGCGGCCAGCGGCCAACAGCCAGCAAGCTCAGGTCTATTCTTAGCCCGTGGGAACGAACTCAAAACTCTCTCTTTTTTAGCCGGATATCTGGGATCTGGGGAGGGTCCTTTGGCAAGATCGTCTGTAACGGTGACAGTTGAAGGTCTTAGTTTTGGGCCTGTGTATTTTTATTTTGCGGGTTTTGAGGAAATGATAGTTTGTTATGCTTTGCTTGGTAGATCGAAAATAGCTTGAGACTAGTTTAAGTTACTCGACAGCGTAACGTCGCCCAATCGCCCAATAATCTGCCCTAGCAGGCTTCCCCCCCTTATTTTTGGGGGGATAAGTTGGGCTTAGCTGGACACGTGTGGAAGCTAGCCATGCTGGGGTATGCTGGGTTGGCCTGATCGACGGTAGCCCTACACGAACAAGATGTGGTTATAGCGATGACGATGCACGTTGAGGCTGTGCATCTCAGCCTGATTTTTGGCGTTCTAGCGGTCTGAAGCTTTATTTTCTTTCTTTCTTGTAGGGATCTGAATTTGGAGCCGATGTAACAGTAACAGCTTATCTGGGGCGATCGATCTGCCGAGAAGAAACGTGAGCTACTAGCTGAGCCTATGTAGACCACCAACAAACAGAAGACGTCGCGGGTGGCCGTATACATCAACGTCGACGATATGAGCTGGAAATCAGAAAGAACGGCAAGTATAGAAGCGGTCTGCAGATTGTCGAAGTCCTATGGGTCGCCCTAACGATATCGGCTTTTTACATGTCAAGCTGAACTAGAGCAAGGATTTTCGCTGACCGAGAGAAAAAGAAAAGAACACGCGATGCAAGACGATGACCGACCGCCACACGTAACCCCAAAGAAGACGCCGTATCCTGCCTTCTCCCCTGACGACGCCGGTATTCCATGAATGCCTGATTCCTTTGTGTCCTGCCCAAACCTCCGAAGAATATACCACGCTGAGATAAGGAGACGAAGGAGACAAGTGAAGATCACTCAGAAGATGGCGGAGCTCTGCTCGACTGAGCGACCGTAGCAGATTGGGTAGAGCTTCGACCAAAAGGCATACTTGTCCGGTCGGTTGTTCTTCTCCTCGACCAGCCATTTCGCAAAGGGTGTTTCGGTTTTGAACGGATTAGGACTCCGATACGCTGCGATCTGTGCTAAGTGTAAGCATGGGGCAGTAAAATGGAAGTCCGAATACTCTGGTTTCCCATGCACCTGCAAGCGCTCATGAGAACTGAAGAGGCACTTCCTTACCTCTTCGTACCGACGGATCGCCTGATGATGCTGGAACGAGAGACCAAGCTGGTCCAAAGTCTCTTCCTGGACCTGCTTGGCAGCATTGATATACGCAAGTGAGACCATCTCAGGGTTCGCACTGCTGCCCAGACCGATGGCGATTCCTTTTTTCATCTTGTTTGGCTGATGGGCATGGGCAACCTCAATAAGACGAGTCAATATATCCGCCTCCCAGGTTTCGAACAGCGGGTGTTGGAATTCTTTGACGTGTCGTTGGAGGAGGAAGATCTCACGTTGGAGGCGGGTTGCATTAGCCTTGAGCTTTGCAAGACAATGAGCAAGATCTTCGTTGGATTTGCGGAGGGCTGCTTGTGCAGGGGTCTAAATACTGAAAGTTAGTCTCAATGCTATATGGTTTTGTTGTTGGTTTCTGTGATACGTACCAGGCCTTCCTTTTGGAACCAGGCACAAGGATTATATGGTGGAAGGTTGAGACTGGCAGCCAGTGTAAATCCCGGACCCAGAGAACGAGTGTCGGCTCGGTTCCCCGAAGAAGACTTGCTTCTGGTGGTCATGATGAAGCGGAATCTATTGGGAATGAGTGGATGAAGGGCTGTGCAATATATGCAAGAACGAAGCCAAGTGCAGTCGACTCTTCGTTAAGAGAGTCGTGAATTGACTGGAGTGAGTACATGACCTCGAGTGATGGAATTATCGGGGATTTTAGATAGATCAAAGATAGAAGGAGAGCCTGTTGTCCAGCGATGCGTGGAAGGCGCCGGCACAAATTGGCACTGGAACCTAAACTCTTGATAGTACGGAACTTCATCTTCATTTATCTCGTCAATGGGTCATAATCTCATTCTGCTGGATTTACAGCTTGCTGGCCGAGTGTTTCCCAAATTCAATAACTAGCTTTCCGAATTGAGTGCCTTGCTTCATGTCCTCAAAGAGTCCGTCAATGGCAGCCAGGTCATCAATTTCGGTCTTCAGCACTCGCGATACAACAGGCTGGATCTTTTTAGCAGCCACAAAGTCGACCATATCTTTGAATTCCTTGCGCGAACCCATTGTGGATCCGCGGACATCGATGTTCTTCAGCACAGTCTGCATTGTGAATGGCATCTTTGGGGAGACGGTCATTCCGTAGACAGAAAGAACACCACCAGCCTATTAATGCTTGTTAGTCGTTGTTGGGAACGCATACAGTTGCATGCAAGAACTGTTTTCGCATGGTCGGTCACTTACCTTGAGCAGCCGAGCAGCCTTCTCAATCGAATCGCCACCGGCACCGTCGATAATGGCATCAAAGTTCTTTTTGCCAGATGGAAGCATGCTCAGAAGCTTCTTATCCCATCCTTCTTCTTTATAGCTCACGCCGCCGGCAGCACCAAGCTCAATTGCCTTCTGGATCTTCTCCTGGCTCGAGCTAGTCACAAAGACATGAGCGCCGCGAGCGACCGCAAATCGGAGCACCATCAATGCAACACCGCCGCCAATACCGGTGATCAAGATTGCAGCACCATCCTTGGAGTTCCGCTCGCCAGCCTTGGAGACCAGTGCTCGCCATCCAGTCAAACCCACCAGGGGCAGGGCCGCAGCCTCCGCATCGGAGAGATGGGCGGGTGCCTCTTCGACTTCTGATTCATCAATCGTAATGTACTCTTGCAGAGTACCCTTATCATAGAACTTGGTGCCTCCCATGATCCGGTATCCAGTTTCCTCCTCCGGCCCATCGGGGCAATCTTTCCAGCCAACACCCGGGTTCAGAATAACGCGTTTGCCCTGCCACTTGTCGGCATTGGACACATTAGGGCCGGTGCCCACGACAACACCGACACCATCTGCGAGGAGGGGAACATCGAATGTCACACCGGGGTATAGATGCTGGCGGAGGAAGAGGTCACGGTGGTTGAGGGAGGCGGCGGTCAGCTTCACCAGTAGCTCTCGCCCTTGCGGGGAAGGCTGGGGCAGGGTGCGCAAGGTGAGCGGATAATAGACCTGGCCCGGCTTGCCAGGCTTGCCATCAATGGTTGAGATATATACTGCCTTGGACATTTTGCCCTCTATTGATGTCGGTGTGTCTTTGACCAAGTTGTGAGAGTGAAGGAAGCTCCTTATTGTTGGTCGTGCGGGGATGGTTGATCTTATCGATAACCGAGGCACGGACAGTGATGATGATGGAATCACAATTAAGAGGCAACTGGCAATAATGAATTATGAATCTGATTCATATACACTGAAGTTATTAATTTGGCGCAAAAAGACTTGTGCATATGTTCTAAAGTCTAGTGGCACAGCCCAGACTTTTATGTTTAATTTGTGGGAGCTCCCCATTTCATGCTCCGCAGGACCTCTCGGCCCACGGACCGGAGTAATGGTTGACATTAGTAATTATAATTTGGGGATCAGCAGCATCCCTTTCTCCAATTTGGGGTACCTAAGACTATGTACAAGGTCGGGCTGGACTGCAAGGACTATATGTTCATTGTACAATTGGGAACAGGTCTAGGGATTACCGTTGTCTAATTGAGTAGGTCCGGTGGATTGGCTAGGTTGGAGGGCTTTGGTGACAGCGAGCCCACTCCGTCAGTACATCAAAAGTTGACGAACGTTTCCATGAGGAAAGCTAAGGCTTGATTACCTATCCATACAGGGCATCCGGCATCCATATGACATGCCGGGCTTTATTACCAGATGTGGGTGCTTACTAGTTAATCCAGAGATATATCGCGACAGAATACCCACAAGGTTGAGTTCATTAACCAAAGACCATTTTATTCTGATGGACGAATGAATTCTACAACGATACAGTCCAATTTCTTCAGCTGTCCTAAGGAGGTGCTAGCCATTGAATAAACATGATCTTAGTGAGGGATTATTCTAGATCCGCTCAAAGGGAATCATTGATCACGATCCTCTGGGAGCAAAGAACAGAGACACGGGTACTTTCTCAGCATAATAAACAGCTTGGAGATTATTAAAGAGGGTCTACGGGGACATAGCAAGCCAGAGTATAGAATATATTATATCGGCATTCCGTTGTAAAACGATTGAATTGAAACATTCAAGTAAACAATAAACTCCATTCCTTTCTATGACATATCTCTCTGGGACTTCTTCCATCCTCTCTCACTCAACCCACACACATTTGCCGAGACCACAACTGGTTAAAGCGGCAAAGACCAAGGAGCCAAGATCACCGCAGAATATAAACGACGGGATGTCCGCAGCAGCACTCATTGCAAAACTGCCAATCATTCGGCAACTCATACTCAACCTTTTCACCTCCGGTCCGAGTCTCCACATCGCTCTCCGAACTCGTATCATAGACTTCATCATTTGTCGTGTCAGAGGAAGAATCGGTCGTGTAGTGGCGGTGTCGACGGTGTCTGCGACGCCGGTGGCGATGAGAGCGGACCTCCTCCGGTTCAGTTGAATGTCTGTGGTGCCCCTTTCGATGCTTTTCAGGGCTTGTAGACCGAGATGACTGCTCCCGAGCAGGTTCAACATGTACGAATCCACAACTGCAAGGGACCCGGGGATCAACGGGAACAGGATGAGCACCCAAGGAGTGCGGATGGTGCTCATAGACGTACTTGGGTGGCATGGGATGCTCTCCGGTGGTATCGACGGGCAGGTGATGACCAGCATGAGCTGCCTGAAGACAATCAGGGCACTGGCAATTCAAGGGTGCCTTGAACACGACATGATCAGGCTGGGCGGCATGATGATGGTGACGGTGATGGTGGTACGGATGGTGAGGAGTCCATGGGACGTGCACGTTGGTGCTCCAGTGGGATTCGGTATCACTGCCAGGCCGCCGTGGTAGTTCGACAGGCTTCGATGCCTTCCGATGGTGTCTAGTTGAATGCTTGTGCGTATGTGGCAGATGCTCAAGCTCGGGCTCGGACTCCCGCTTTGAATGCACTCGATGAGCATGAGTGTGACGTGTTTGTGGCGGGACCGAAATGGATCTCTCCGAAGTATCGCTGGTTGAAGAATGGGTTTTGGCCTTGCGAGCTTGCTCTCGTGCTGCGTAGGCACGCCGTTCGGCTGGAGGCGTCGTGGGCGAGGAGCACCGGGTAGTGCGTCCTCTCAAAGGGTAAGGACGGCCATCTTGTGCATTGATCAAGATTGGATGAGGGTGCCCATTGCGGAGATGGCCAGTAAAGGCTCGAATACCTTTGCCCGGGCCAAAGAGCCCATGATATGGATGTTGCACTGGAGGCATTGACGGGAGGTTCTTTTGTCCCGGGAGCTATACGTAGACACGGTAAGATCCGAGAAGATAGAACAGTCTCGCAGGGAACAAGAGCAAAAGAATAAAGGAGGACGATATAGCAAAGGGCCCAGAAGAAGAAAGCTGTAGTAAAGAATTGTGGAATCTACCAAAGGACGAGGATCGGAGGAAGCGAATGGGGATGTGTTATGTATTCTCAGATCTATATGAGGCTCACACAGAGCCCCTCATCTCGTTTGCAAGCTAAGACCATGAGTGACCATCCAGACAAAGAATGGAGTATAAAGCATTGTTGTTGGCCAGGCACTCGCAGCAGCAGCCAGAGCCCTGGAGTTCTAAAGTTTGAGCAAACCTGTATGTCTAGGGAAGACCACCGATGTCAACAAAGAAAGGTCTCTGCACGAAAACGAGTCCAAAAAGAAGATTCTAGTTCTAGCTATGAGGCCAAACCCCAGGCCAGACTTCAACAGCAGAGACCAGAGGGGGATGATTCAGATTCAATGGGATCCTATGCTAAACAAAGAATCGAATGCAGCATCCGGGGCGGGTGGTGGCTGGGGGACAGAGGAGGAGGAGAAAGGGATAAAGCGAAAGCGAATATGCACGTATCCCTCCCCTCCTCCATGTCTGTTTGATTGTTTGACGGGGGGGGGATCATTCCTTAATTCTTTTAATATTGCTGTGGTTGTGCGTTGCAACCAACGTATCATCGGCGTGCAGCAAGGGCGAACAGCATTCAAAGGCTCAAAGGAACAAGAGGCAGCACGACACGTCCAAAATAAGACCAATCAAGCCAACTTTAACCGTTTGAAAGCACTCGTGGCCTCCAATGACAGACAGGGTGTGGGCTTAGCTGGGTAGACGTGTATCATAGGTAGTGCCACGCCCACAGCTTTGCTGGAACCAAGCCATCGGATTCATAGATGCCAGTCGACATCATCGTTTAGAGCTTTTTTGAGGTTGGGGTTTGAGGGAGGAAAATGGGCGAAATCATGGTAAATATCGTTAGAATATAGATCAACCCACTGAGATTGAAAGCATCTTCCAGTTAATTCCTCATTTATCATAATCTAGCTGGTCTAAAGAGGAGGTTCCTGGGAGTAATGATGTGTGGTGTGTGGGTGATGTGTGTGTAGTCACCACTCGGTGGACTCTGCTGGGAGTGTGGCAGGGGTCATTTTGGTTTTCTGATTACCATGTATTTTATCCCCTCACGTAGGAAAATACTAGTAGTTCACACGCGACCTCCGTATCCAATACACCGTATTTTCGCCTCGGCGCGCCTATTGCCACAACCCGCTAATTCCATTTTTGCTCTGGAGAAACCCAAGCGAAATCGAGTTTCGATCTCTTCTTTCTTGTCGTGACCTTTTTAGTCTCTCGCATTCTTCTACATACACAACAGCTTACCTCCTCCCTCACCACCTCGAGCTCTTCGATTTGACTAGCGTTCTGCTACCTCATCCACCCCACCCAACCTTTCCAGGCCTCCTCGTGTTTTGCGTTCCCATCTCCGTTCGCATCACACATCTCGCACTTCCGCCACTTTCAAAGTCTCGCGACAAACTCTCACTCTCTCTCAACTCCGGTTGTTTTGTGGACGATCTCGATCCGTCCTGTTCAACCTTGTTCCCATAATGCCTACACCACTTCCTTCGAGTTTTGCTTCGGCCGCCGCTGGCAACACCCAGGATGCCAGTCGGAGAGGGGATGGAAGCACTGGTGGAGAATGGTATGCTCTCAAAGACAAGCCCTGTCCACCCTGAACCGAGCACCCGAGTCATCTTACCTACACTGTTTGGGGTTCAACTCGCTGCCTCGTCGCTACCCAATGAGTCGCAAGTGTGAGAATTCAATGCTAACATTGAACCACTTTCCCGTAGGTCGCGATCCCGCATGAACGGAGCTACGCAGACCTTCCGGCGCCCCTCGGTGGCTACTAACCCTTCGCACACTCGCGACAGTAGCCAACTTGCTTCCGCCTCGACACCTACTGCCTCCGGGGCCTATGTCCCTCCTCACCTGAGCTCAAATACCTTGTCTAGTGCGCTGCGCAACGGCGATGCCAGATACTCCAAGGAGCAACTCCTAGAACTGTATAAGGCGCAACGGGAGACTGGCTCCTTGAGCAAGCATGTGGAGGACTACTTTGTGGCTGACTGGGACCCTCACACTGTCTCAACTCCCGCGAATGGGGCGTGGGGGAAGCGGGATGACCACAAGACCTCCGCAGGCCCTGAGGTGTGTTGGGATCATGGCGGCCAGGCCGAGCCCTTGGGTCTGACTGATATGTCCGATGGTGAAAAAGAGGTATGTTTCATCTTGAGCGCGAGTTGAGATTGCAACCTGTGCGCTTGGTTTCGAATTGCTAAAACATTGGGTTCTCTGTGTAGTTGTTCTCCGCCTCGGTCAATTCCCCTCTCAAGCCGCCACCCACAAATGCAGCAAAGGAGAATGCAGGTACAGGTACTGCAGGTCGCAAGTCGTCGATCTCCTACACTCAGGGCCATATCAATAACTACAACACCTCTTCCCCTAACGCTGCCCGCCCGGGCGCCCGCCGCCGTGAGACTGGGGACTCTGTGGGCAATCCCATGTCACCCACTGGAACCAACACTCGTTTCTTCCGCGACGAAGCAAATACCTCTACTCCTCCTCCGGCTCTTCTCCGTCGCAAGACCGATTTCCGCGAACCGAATGCCAAGGATGACAAGCCAAAGGAAGGTGCCGTCGAAGCCGCCTCTCCCTTTGGTAGTCTGAAGCGCAGCTCCACCAACCCTTTGAACACGGCCATCGGTGGACCTAGCTCGCCCTGGGGCTCTGCATCGGCTTCACACAATGCCAACTTCTCCCCGATGGGTGCCTTTGGTGCCTTCTCGCTGGGCTCGAACACCGCGCAGACTCCCACCACGGAGAAGAAAGCTGGGTTTGGTAGCCTTCGTGGAGAGAGCAGGTTCAAGGACCTACTCTCCAAGGAGGGTGCGGAGGATATGGCAGGTTCTGCAAAGGACAAGTCCATGGGCAACCTCGAGCGACTCGCCGAAGAAGATAGCGACAAGCGCTCGCAGTCACCCTGGGGCGACGCCGTCAAAACCCGCGCCAGCCGAAGCGAGACCAATCCGTTTGACGAGCCTCGCAGTGGCAGCGCTGCTCTTGGCGGATCCCAAGACGTGGAAGCTCCGTCTCAGGCTGATCTTGGATTCGGCGCCTTTGGCATGACCTCGAGCATTCCTGGTTTCCGTGAGTTGATGCAGAGTCAAGAGAATTCCCGGAACCCGACCCCTAGCCTGCTCCAGGGACATGAGCCTACCAGCCCGACCAACACCAACCCTTACCAAAGTCCCCACGGCGATCGGACTGTGGCAGATGCGGAGGATGTCGACACCGATGGCTCGGATATCCAGCACCCGCAGCACCCTGGCCTTAGTGGTCTGCGTGATCCCTCTAACCCATTCGGATCGATGAGACGGGTTGGTTCGGGCATGGATCTTCCCGCCATTGACCGCAGCCAAAACTCCAGCGTCAATGCGAACCGAAACTTCTCTGGCCTCGGTGGCCTGGGCGGTCTTTCGGGTCTCGGTGGCCCGTCTGGATGGCCGTCTAGCGATGCCCTCGGCACACCAACCCGTGAACGCTCAGCGTTCGCAGGTGGTTTCGGCGATCCTATCTTTGGCTCAATGGGCGGGTTGCAGTCCCCTAGTCTGGCCACGCTTGGAGGTGGTGGTCTCTTCAGCCCGCACGCCGGCCTCTCGGGCACCGCTAGCATCGGTCGCTCGAGCAAGCTCGGCGCACTCTTCTCTGGAATGGCAGAGGAGCAAGGCCGTTCAGACTCCGTAGGGTTGGATCAGGGTGATGCTCAGCAGGCCGAGAGGGCTGGACAAGCAAGCAAGCCTGGCTCGAACTCTGCTTCCCAGACCCCTGTCTCTGCCGTCGGCTCTATCCCTGCTAACTTCACCCACGACCCAACTCAGGCCCCTACTCCTGGTGGCTCTATCTCTGCTGCTCAACAACGAACCATGGTCATGCCGGATCGGATGCGCTGGATCTACCGCGATCCACAGGGTAACATCCAAGGCCCGTGGACTGGTCTAGAGATGCACGACTGGTTCAAGGCTGGATTCTTCAGCCCCGACTTGCAAATCAAGAAACTGGAGGATGGAGAGTTTGAGCCACTGGCTCAGCTGGTTCGTCGTATTGGCAATTCGCGCGAGCCCTTCCTTGTGCCCCAAATCGGCATCCCTCATGGCCCCGAGCCTGCCCCCGGCCAGTGGCAGAACACCAACCAGGGCTCGGCTCAGCCTCCGTTCCCCGGCAGCTTCCCCAGCTTTGGTACCACCCTGACCGCCGAGCAGCAAAATGCGCTCGAGCGGCGGAAGCAGGAGGAGCAGTATCTGATGGCCCGCCAGAAAGAACATCTTGCTCAGCAGCAGGCTATCATGAAGCAGATGCAGGTTCCTGGCGCTCCTCCTTCTCTTCAGCCTCAGCTTCAGCACCAATCCAGTGCTCATAGTCTGCACAGCCAGCCTAGCTTCGGAAGCATCACCTCTCCCGCTGCCTACCAGCCTTCTCCGATCCAAGCTCCTATCCAAGGACAGCAGCAATCTCAGGGTATGCCCGGTTTCTTCGATGCTGCCCCCTCCCTTCGACAGGGCGGACTGCCCAATGTCCTCCCAGGAATGCTTGGAACCGAGCTTGGTGGCCAAGATCAACTACCTGCACTTCTTGAGCGTTTGAATGTCGGTCGTCAGGATCCATTTGCATTCGGCGCCGCTGGCTCATTCTCTGCACGCCAGCCGGACAGCTTCCTCCACTCCCAGCAGGTGGCATCTATGCTCCAGGATCGCGCTCAACTGCAGCAGGAGCAGGAGGAGTTCGACAAGGCCAACGCCAATGATCCCTTTGACCAGGAGGCTCGTGAGGAGCGCCTGCGCCAATTCCATGCCCTGAGGGCTCAGGAGGGAGAGCTTGGTATGCGCACCGCTGAAGGACTCCCTACGCACCCTGCTGCTGCTCTGGAACACGAGGTGGAGTCCTTGGCAACTGAAGTTGTCGATGAAGAAGAGCCCGTCGCTTCGGAGCCCGCTCTTACCCTGTCTCAACAGGTTCACAAGGCTGCTTCTGCTCAGCGTCAACAGCAGCAGCAGCAGGAACAGGAGCAGGAGCAACAGAACCAGGCTGTCCCCGAATCTGCCTGGGGCTCCAAGATTGATCATGCTATGCCTCAGCCCTTCCCTCCACCTCCTTCCGCCTCTCCTCTGCCTGCCCCTGCTGCTCAACGCAACCGCCAGAACGTGGCCGAGTCTTTGGCTGCTGGCTCTCGCTCCCAGACTCAAACTCCTGTTGATGCTGCCCCCACTTCCCTTGCGCCATGGGCCAAGGATACTCACGAGGTGCCTAAGGGTCCTTCTTTGAAGGAGATCCAGGAGGCAGAGGCCCGCACTGCTGCCCAGCGGGAAGAGGTTGCTGCGGCCGCTCGTCGTGCCCAGCTCCTTGCCGAGCAGGAGCGTCTCAGCCAGGCTCAAGCCCAAGTCGTTCCCGGCCTTCCCTCGTCGGCCAACTGGGCCAGTGCTGGATCACCCGCTACTCCCTCCTCCGCCGGTTCTCCCTGGAACACCAAGAGCCAGCCCGTCCAGACCAACACCGCGACCAAGAAGACTCTTGCCCAGATTCAGAAGGAAGAGGAGGCTCGTAAGCAGCGTTTGGCTTCTGCCGCTGCCGCTGCCGCTCAGACGGCCACTCCCAGCCCTCCCGCTTCTGTCGCTAAGCGTTATGCCGACCTTGCTAGCAAGGCCCCGGCCCCTGCCGCTTCTGCTACCGTTGCTGCTACTACTTCTGGTGCTTGGACCACCGTTGGTGCCGGTGGCAAGGCTAAGGCTCCTCCCGCCGCGCCTCTCGGCCCTCGCTCTACCAGCGGAACCGTCCCTATTGCTCCCACCATCGCCAAGCCCCGTCCCGTCGTTGCTACTCGCACGACCGTTGGTAGCGTACCGCAGTCCAACCCTAACCGGGCCGTCGAGGAGTTCACCAAATGGGCGAAGCTGGCCCTTGGTAAGGGTTTGAACAGCAACATCAATGTTGATGACTTTGTTCAGCAGCTTCTCTTCCTCCCTGCCGAAGCCGAGATCATCTCCGATTCCGTCTACGCCAACTCCCAGACTCTAGACGGCCGTCGCTTCGCGGATGAGTTCATTCGCCGTCGTAAGCTTGCCGACAAGGGCGTTGTCGACCCGGTCTCTCCCAGCGCTTTCGCTGAGCAGAAGAGCGGTGGTGGCTGGTCTGAGGTTGCCAAGAAGGGCTCTGCTGCCAGCACCGTCGCCTCTCAGCAGCGAGAGGAGGAAGCCAGCAACGCCGCGTTCAAGGTGGTTGCTCCCCGCAAGAAGGGCAAGCGGTAAACGTATCTTGTATTTGTCCGATTATGGTATCGAGTATCTTGGAGAAGATTTCATCTAGATGCTAGGATTTGTTTTTTTTTTGGTCAAGACCAAGTTGATGGGCGTGGAGGTATCTACCGGTTTTGTGCGGTTGATCTGCTTCTGTCTGTACCAACATACTTATTAGCAGCATTTGAAATGTATTTTGTGCATGTATTCGACTTGCTTGTGTAAACCTCGTAGGAACGAAACCAAGTCGTAAAATTGAGAATATTAAGTTCAGACTTGGGTTGCCTTTTCCGTTCTAATGCTGACCGCAGAGATACCAATATCTCGGCGCGGAGAACACCAGCCAGAGCACAAGCCACAGCAGACTTCGCCATGAACCTCTCTAAATCCAACCTCCCACGCATCTTGATCTCACCAATCTACCTCTCCTCCATAAACCCCTCCCAATCAACTCACATCCTAAACACCCTCTCATCAATATCAATCCACCTATCCCCCACATCCCCTTCATCCCTCCCAATGCCCCCCAAACCACCCCCAACAGACCTCCCAACCTACTCCTTCCCCACCCCCAAAGCCCTAGAAACCTTCCTCGAAAAATCCCACACCACAACCCCAGGCTTCTACCTCAAACTCGCCAAAAAGGCCTCCGGCATCCAATCCATCACCGCCCCCGAAGCAGTCGAAACAGCCCTCTGCTTCGGCTGGATCGACGGCCGCGCAAACACCCTCGACGAAAACTGGTGGCTAGTCCGATACACGCCGCGCCGCGCGAAAAGTATCTGGTCCCAGAAGAACGTGGCGACGGTTGCGCGGCTGGTGAGCGCTGGGCGAATGCGGCCGGCTGGGTTGGCGGCTGTGGATGCTGCGAAGGCTGATGGACGGTGGGAGCGGGCTTATGCGGGGCCGGCTAGTATGAGTGTCCCGGAGGACTTTAGGGTGGCTTTGGAGAAGGTTGATGGGGCGGGGGTGGTTTTTGAGGGGTTGAAGAGGAGTGAGCGGTATGCGGTTTTGTGGAGGGTTGAGACTGCTTCGCCGAGTGCGAGGAAGCAGAGGATTGAGGCGCTGGTGAAGATGTTGGCGGAGGGGAGGGTACCGGGGGATTCGACAATTTCTTCGGGGAAGCGTAAGACTAAAGTGGATGAGGGTGATGGTGAGGTTAGTACGAGGAGGAAGAGTGCCAGGGTAGCAGCGAAGACTAAGTAAAGAGTTGGAGCTTGAAGATATTGAGTACTTGGTGAGGGTCTGTATGCAGTCCGTCATACAACTTCAAAATGATTGATTAAAACCCCTATCTAAGCAAGTAACAAGTACTATTGAAAATGAAGAATAATTGCAGAGAAACCTGTCCCCGCGAAGCCATGACAGCATTGATTATACGACTCCTAAGTAAGTATACATGTCTCTGTTACTAATTTACATCTATTTCCACAGACAACCCTCTAGTGGTGCTTGGCCTTCAGCTTGGAGAAAGGAAGCATCCACGAGTCCCACATGGCACCATCACCATCAGGGTTGGGAATGTTAGTCAGGTTCCAGTTTTGCTCGAGGGTGGTGAGCTGGGTGAAGTCTGTTGAAAAGGTTAGCACGCGAACACATAGATGGGATGATCTACGAGAGACTAACGGTTGTAGAACTGCTGATCAATGCAGCCAGTGCAGCTCAGGACGTCTTTGCCGAGGAGAACGGAGTAGACATCGTTCGAGGTACCGTAAGAGTCGGGAGAGTAGACATCTTGAATAGAATCAGCATGCCGTTTATGGCAAAATAACAGAATGCAAGGCCTTACCGTTCTCGTCAAAGGTAACAAGGATAAGAGTGTTCTTCATAAACTGCTCGTTGCCCATCATAGTGTTGATGAGGTACTTCAGGTCGGTCTCGGTGTAGGTGACGTTGGTGTCGTGGGCATCGTTGGCCAAAGTGGGAGTGTAGAACATGTACTGGGGAGCATACTTGCCCTTGGCAACGTCAGCAGCGAAGTGCTCCTGGGCGTTAACAATATTCTGGCAACGAGAAATGTTCTCGCGAATGTTGTCAAAGGACATGAATGGGTTGTGCTTGCTGATGGGGTTATTAGCAAGGAGATCTCATATTCGAGTAGGTCTACTTTGAGCAAGCAGAGGACTCACCGGACGTAGCCAGAAGTCTTGTTCTGGTGAATAGGGTTGCAAGCACCACCATCCAGAGGGTAGTAACCCTCCTGGTACGCCTTCCACGAGATACCAGCAGGCTCGAAGATGTCGACCAAGCTGTTCTGGGTGGTGTTGTGATCGCCGTCATCAAAGACACCAGCAGCAGTGGTACTAGCGATCATAGTAATGTAGTTAGGCTGGGAAGGGTGGGTGGTACCTAGTCATGATGAGCATCAAACTTCAAAAACAATTGGGATGTATGGGCTATCCAGTCTTACCCTGGTAACCGTTCAACAGAACACCAGAGTCGGCCAGCTGGCGATAGTAAGGGTCAGCAAGAGCAGTGGCCTTGTTGGTGTTCTCCATAACAATAACCACGAAGCCTAGCATACGTGTTAGTATTGAACTCGCATAAATTGATAGCAGTGCTTCAACATACGGTCAAACCACTTTCCAGATGGCCCTGTAGCAATCGGCACAGCCGATGCAGAGGCGAGGAGCCCCGAGAAGACGAGGCTATTAGTGAACTTCATTGTGACAAAGAGAGAAAGAGAGGGAGTGATCGAGATCCGATAGTTAAGATAATCAAAGAGAATGAATTGGATGTCTATCAAAGATCTTTCCTTGTTGAAATCTGGGCTATGCACGTCTAATAAATAGTAGGCCGTGCGCAGAAATTGGCTTTGTGAGCCATCGCCGATCGAGTAATGATACTCCTTGCCACGCTTTTATTCTATAGTTATCCACGTGCTAGGCTCCATCCATTCTGAAGCAAACACAGTATTCTGTCAGGCTGCCCCAGTTTATCCGCCTAATTCCTTATGTGTTGTGGCTTGTTGGTCTTGCTACGTGCGGTGAATTGTCGATCCGATGGGTTGGCCAGTAAAGGCAATGGCAGTTTAAGTTTACCCTGGCCGCCACACACGCAGTGATTTAAGTATAAGCAACAGGCACCATCATTCAAGGAAGATAACTACCAGTTTAGGCGTTGCCTTTACCTTGGACTCAATCGCTGGCTATAGTTTTCTAGAATGTTGAAAGGTCCAATAGTGGAGCCCAAATCCCGGAGATTCGGGAATTCTAACAGGTGAACCAGAAAAGCTTAACGTGATAAAACCCGACATGCAGAAACCCCCCACGTGGGCCGAAGCAGTGGCTAAGAAACCCTGTGATCGTGATCGTGATCATGTCAAAATGCCAGGGCTCGGATCGCTCATGATATTTATGGTGGCCTAGACAAAACAGGGAAGCACCCTTCCGGTCATATACCCCGATTGCCATTGCGGGGAATGCATTGACAATGCACCCTGCCCGAGGAACCTGGTCCATGGACATGATGGTAAAGAAGGCAAGCCACCTTCTTGACTGTCTATGTGCCTTCCTTTTTGGGACCGGTGGGCATCAGGATATCAGAATCAGTTTGCAATGTTTTGATCCTATCCTAAGAGACCCTCGTCAATATCGAGTACTAGTATTGGGTCTTCCCACCGTGGACAACAACATGGCCATCGGTGATAAGATGAGTATCACCCCGAGCTTGAAGACCTTCTTAAGGAATTTTAGAGATCCTGAACCTCTTTTTATATCTTTGGCACCTTCAACGCTCGGTAGAACCGGGTAAATTTGTAATTGCGATCGGCAGGGTCATATCTGGGCAACCAACGACTGACCACCCACGTGGGATACGACAGGGTAACATCTACTATGATAATCAATTAATCAACAATGTTTAGGTATATTTACACTCGTTTATATCTCATTGCCAAGATAATCCAGATTCATGTACGCCTATAAGAATGGATGATCTCTCCCTTCACAACTAGAGACGTCTCGACTCTAGCATTCCATGTTGCTTCTGTGCGAGAACCCCATCAAAGATGAAGGCAACTACGATTCTTCCCTTGATGGCCGCCTTTGTGGCTGGTGTCTCTGCTCGGGCTCCCGTCACCCTCAATTTGACCGGCCATATCGATGCCTCCCAGGTCATGTCCTTCGTCTATGTTCCGTTCCAAGTGGAGCCCGAGACCACCTCGGTCTATGTCCTGCAGAACTACTCCCTCAAGGGCCAGGGTAACGCCCTGGACCTGGGTGTTTTCGACCAGCGTGGATACCAGCTGATGAATGGTGTCAACGACAACTTCGGATCTCGCGGATGGTCTGGCGGTTTCCGCAATAACTTCACCATCACTCCCACCTGGGCCACTCCTGGCTATAACCCCGGTGCCATCGAGCCCGGTACCTGGAACGTCGTTCTGGGTCCCTACAACTCTGTTCCCGCGGGAATCGACTGGCAATTGCAGATTGTCATGGGCTTCGACCCCGTCGACACTTACTTCTCTCCCACTTTTGCCCAGGTCGACTTTGATACCATCGGTCAGTTTGAACAGCAGGAATGGCTGCGGGGTGACTTCCACATGCACACGGTCTATTCTGATGGCAAATATACACCGGATGAGCAAATCCAACATGCCGTGGCTCAAAACCTCAACTTCATCTTCTTCTCCGACCACAACACCGATACTAGCAACAACATCATCGGCGCTTACCAGCAGGCCTTTGCCCCGGATCTCTTGATCTGCCGCGCCATCGAGGTTACTACCCGCCACGGCCATTGGCAAGCTGCCGGTCTCGACCGTGAGCAGCTCATCGATTGGCGTTACCAGGACGTCGCCGGCTTCGTCGATGCTACTAAGCAAGTTCACCGCGCCGGTGGCTTCGTTTCCGTCAACCACCCGTTCGCCGCCTGCCCGGCGTGCAACTGGGGCTTCGATGACTGGGACCACAACGATGCTATCGAAGTCTGGAATGCCAACTTTGATTCTACCGATCAACAGTCTATCCAGAAGTGGCACGAGCTCCTCGTTGCTGGAAAGTACACTGCTGCCATTGGTGGTAGTGACTCTCATTCTCCACCTTCCATGAACGGTGTCCCCACCACCGTTGTCAACGCTCGCGGTCGCAAGCAATCTGCCATTGTCGCTGCTGTCAAGAATGCCCGCGCTTATATCGTCGAGGGCCCTGGAAAGTCGATGTCGTTCAACGTCAATGTGCAGAACAACGTTGCTCAGATTGGTGACAAGGTTCACGGGAGCTCTGCTGGTGCCCAGGCTTTCCTTACCGTTGAGGGTATGAGTGGCCAAAAGGCTTGCTTCATCTCTGATAAGGGTTACTTCTATAACACCACTATCACGGATGGCCAGGCCCTCCGCCACCAGCTCCCTGCTGGCCTCAAGTTTGTGAGAGTGGAGGTCCGGAACGTCACTGACGATTCTGCGCTTGGTCTGACCAACCCTATCTGGTTCTTGTAGAGAGATGCGGATCAAAAGAAACCAACGACGTGTGATGAGACGGGAAAATTGTATATGAGTGACGGGGTGCTTCAAGCTATAAGCTGTTATGTTCTCAATCTTTGTGTTTAGAAATTGTCGATAGAGATTTCATTTTCTTTCATTCTGGGACGTCTGACTTTTATCCATAGATCATACCCTTTTTTTTCCATAGCGAAAAGTTATCGCTGGAACCCGAGGGTTCTTATACGAAGTAGAGGAACACTTTGAATCGCCCGTTTCGTCACCTTACAAACAACCCACGATGCTCATACTTGACAAATGCTACGTCGAATCTCACCAAATCCCTTGGAAACTAGTCTGAGAAAATTTTAAAGTGAGATTAAAATATCCTCCTAAATGTAATTAATATATTTGTATATCAAACATATTTCAAAAATAACAAAAATTTGGCCGCAGTGGTAACCACTGTATCGAGCCAGCATTACAAAAAAGTACCCACCCCACCATACTACGAGCTCCACCAAGGCTTCGTAGTACTTTAAGCTAAGTAGGACCATCTCTCCTTGTCTGCCATGTCCATAAAAATGTTTCAACTATTATAACAACGTAATCTTGTTGAATTGGAAGACACTAGCAGGTTGCTTGGTAATACAAATCTCTATGATGCTGATTTTTCTGGCAGGCGGAATTCGGATGGCGAGCCGTGGGAACCCCCCGCTGATTTTTCGATTATTCAACACTCCGACGCCCCCGACTCCGATGAATAAACCGCCGCTGCAACACCCTCGTCGTTTCTCAGACCATCCATTACATCACTGCAAGGCTTCTAAATAGCTAGAGAGTCCCCAGGAAGCAAAAAACTACACGATGGTCGAAGCAAAGACTGATGCGCCCGCGCCCCGCAAGAGAGGCCGTCCACGAACTGTGACGGACGATCAGCAAGTTCCAGAAGTGGGTACTCCATCAACAACTAACTACATCGCAAACAAATGCCTGACTCCATGAATCCAGAGACGTCGCAAGCAGCTTCGCGTCGCGCAGCAAGCTTATCGCAAGCGAAAGGAAACTACAATCACCAATCTGCAATCTCGCGTACAGGAACTCGAATCTGGCATCGAAGAGCTCAGCGAGTCGTTCCTTTCATTCAGTAATCTTCTCTTCGAGGCGCAAATCCTCCAAAATAATCCCCGTGTCACATCTGCGCTCCAGAAAATCACACAGCAATGCGTGTCGCTCGCCAAAAGTGGCTGCGACGAGCCCGAACAAGCGACCCCAATAGAAGCATCGCCAGTGACACCTCGCAACCTCAGCACTCCCCAAGAACTAAATCTAGATTACGATCCTCTTATCACACAACTTGATTCATTGCCGATGATCGATGAAACTTTCCAACCTTCGTCCGAGATCTTGAACCAATGGCCAATCTCACAACAATTACCTCCCACACCACCCTACCAAGAACAAGCACTTCTACCTTTCGGCATCGTCTTATCGTCCCCGAGTATCCCATTCACATCGGCTCCTATCCCTCCACTGAATTTCCCAGCAACCATATCGCCTAATAGTCTCACGAAGCAAGGGCGCTGGACACTCTCACACCGTCTTGTCCGACAATGCTGCGAAAATGGATACCGCCTATTGACTAGCTCGGCAACCGACGATCCAAGGATTCAAGCAATCTTCGGAAAACCATTAACTATCCCGGAACGCAATCGCTTAATTTCTGGATTCTACACCGCCATGCATGATGAGATCGGGGATAGTATTGAGTTGAAGACCAAAGTTCTCAGCCCTCTACATTCAAGGAGAAATAGCTACTCGGCCGAGCAACTCGCGCTTTCATCCAGAACGTGGCAGATCGTTATTGAATCCGGTGCGGAGGAATGGCTGGATGCGAGTGGAGTGCAAAGGCTTCTACAGGAGAGGGGCATCCGTCTCCAAGATACTAGCTCGCCGCTGTCCAGTCCTCGGTTCAATGCATCCCCGCAGCTCAACGTGGCGAGCTTCGTTAGATGTGAGTGATCATCAGCCATTTTCATCTATTGCCGGATATTCTTACTGACTTTGTTTTAGTCCTCTCTCTTGGCCCTATCTGCGTTGGTCGTGGGCCGGCATTCCGGAAGCGTGATGTTGAGAACGCCCTACGCCTTGCGACCTCGGAGGATCCTTGGGCTTTCGATGCCGTATGCGAAATACCGTGATCCATATATAATTATAATAATTTTCTATAGATATAATCTCCTCTTACATTGCATGAGGCGGCAAATTTGGGCAAAGGATCATCATGGAGTTAAGGAAAGGCGAAATGGAAATACATGTTCTTTTATTTTTCTCAACTCTGTCTTGCGAGTTTCTGTGCGCTCGAAAGTGTCACCATTCTCCAAACTCCAATGCCACAAAACTTTTCAAATTGCAGGATAGTCCTATTTCCAACTCCAATATCCATTAATCAGTCCTTCAAGCGCACCACGAAAGCACCGACAAGGTCCAACCAATAGCCAAGTTCACCGCATGGGTCGTCCAACTAGTACCATCCTGTATGCAAAGAAAGATATCCTCGGGACCAACAAGAGTGACCCAAACAAAGAGAAAGACTCCAGCAAGCTGGCGATGTCCCTTAAGACTGAGAACGAGAAGCATAATACCAGCCGCCGCGTTTCTGCAACCAATCGCAGGGCCTAGCACTGCCTTATCGACATTGGGATTGGCGATACCAAAGAGGTCGATGACTAGACAGACACAGTAGTGAGCATAATATGGATTTCATTCAATTGGAGATGTTTCCGGACCTTTTAGGGCGTTGAATTGCCAAAAGTACGCGCTTGAGATCAGCACGAGGCCGATAGTGCGGACGAGAAAGTCTGTCGTTTGACGAAGCATGGTGGTTATTCAGTGGTAGAATGATTTATCCAAAGGCTATTTTCAGCAACTAGAGGCTCCTTGAATGAGCTTTTATTCAGATGATTCTAGACTATTTATCAAGCTTTGTCCCCCCCCCTCGAGCGCAGGCCCTCCGTTGTCCGGGGATAGCTAGAGTTTGTATCCAGAAGCCGCAAAGACCGACGACGGCGCCCCTATTTCTACTTCCCTCGAGTGGCTTATTCAATGGCAGTTCCATTCACCGCTGTTTGCAAGGTTGCTTAAAGCTTCAAAAATTGGTCCTTGAATATCAACCCAGCCTTGTCCTTTGTGCGGTTATCGTCGGCTTCCGTGCAGGCTGCAGCCCTTGGCGGGAACGCGGATGAAGTATAGAAGGATTTCGGGTTATCAAGAGTTAGGCCAGACACATCAAGATATTTTGCCAATGGAACAACTTAATATTATACTATTTGAGTGAAATATCTATCAGATCTATTTAAACTTGGCTGACAGCTTAAACTAGCTTAATGTTAATCAATGTTTTAAATTTTAAAGATGCTTTACGTACGATCCGGCGGGGTTTCGGACTCCGCGCCCTTCGCGTGGCACTTTGTGGATCTGAAGATTAAAATCCAACTCGTTGATTGGTTCCGCGGATGAAAGTGACTCAAACTCGGCATGTCATGGAGTTTCATACCCCTCACGAGAGTTCTTATACAGCTGCAACAACCCCATTAACTGAGTCATTGTGTCACTGAGAGTCTATAGTTATCTATACTTGCGTTGCTACAATTTCGTTGAGACGCACTACAAACCCATTAGCATTTTACTTTTCCAATTTCTTTTCCAGCAATCAATCGTGTCTTTGGCATAATGGGTTCCCTCCAAACTCCTTTCGGCAAGCCGATGCTTAAGCAATGGCTCTTCGACCCATCTTATAAAAATCTCAATCATGGTATACATCGGCCATTCAGACGTCGCGGGTCCCCTGCCAAGCTAACACTCAACCACCAGGTTCCTTTGGCGCACATCCAGCAGCTGTCCGCGACGCTCAGCGCGCCTTCCTAGATCTCGCCGATCTCCGACCTGATCCATATATCCGGGTCCAACATACGAAGCTTCTAGACGAAGCGCGTGGAGGCGTCGCGAAGATCCTCAATGCGGCCAAGGACGAATGTGTGTTCGTCAAAAACGCTACTACCGGCGTTGCAACTGTCTTGTACAACCTCAACTTCCAAGCTGGTGAGGTCGTCGTCTACTTTGAGCCTGTCTACGGTGCCGTGGAGAAGGGTCTCGTCTCACTGCAGGAACATTCTGCTCTCCAGACTCGCAAAGTGCCATTCCAATTCCCCATTGCGGAGAGTGAACTCGAACAACGATTCCGAGACGTTGTTCAAAAGACGCGCGCCGACGGTCTCACTGTTCGTGCCGCTGTTTTCGATGCCATCGTTAGCAATCCTGGTGTTCGCTTCCCGTTCGAACGGTTCACTGCTATCTGTCGGGAAGAAGGGATTCTGAGTGTGATTGATGGAGCCCACGGCATTGGACATATCCATCTTGATATGGACAAGCTGCAACCTGACTTTTTCGTCTCAAATTGCCACAAGTACGAAATCACCCAACTCGAATAAGAACTAGTACAAAACTAACCCTCTATCTAGGTGGCTATACACCCCTCGCAGCGCGGCAGTTCTATACGTCCCCAAGCGCAACCAACATCTCATGCGCACAACACTCCCTACCTCCTGGGGCTTCATCCCCGGCGCGGACTCACCTTCCACCATCGCTTCAGTCCTTCAGGACGCAAACGCAGTCAAGACAAAGACACCTTTCGAAGAACTTTTCGAATTCGTCGCAACCAGTGATGACTCCGCATATATCTGCGTTCCCGCCGCACTTAAGTTCCGCCAGGAAGTCTGCGGCGGCGAAGACGCCATTATTTCATACTGTATCAAGCTCGCCAACGAAGCCGCCGATGCGGTTGCCGCTATCCTGGGAACAGATGTCATGCAAGAACCAGATCTGAAGCCGGGTGAGACGAGCAATATGCGCCAGTGTGCGATGACGACGGTCCGTCTGCCTATTGGCGTTTCTGATGATGGATCTACTGTTCCTGGGGCACCTGTGACTGTCACGTCCAAGGAAGCTCCTCGCGTATTTGGATGGATTCAGACGACACTCATGGAGAAGCATGATACGTTTGTGCCGGTCTTCCGTCATGGGCCGTGGTTGTGGACGCGACTGAGTGCTCAGATCTTTTTGGAGAAGAGTGATTTTGAATGGCTGGGTGGTATTCTTCGTGAGATGTGTGACAAGGTTGCCCGGAAGGAGTACTAAAGCTGCAAACCGCCAGGCAAAAGTATAGCTGGCATTCAATTAATATTGTAATAATCTCTTAATACTGTATTCATTTCGTAGCGAGGATGGTCAATCGATGCTGAAGCAGTTGGTTTCGAACCATTAGCCTTTTGTCCTTAAATTGAATCCTCTGGGCCAAGGGTTCCTCCCCACCATCTCTCCACTAAGCCCTTAATATCTTGTCAATACTTTCACATGGTCATTGACAATCTCAAGGCGGATACTTACAATCAACAGAACAAAGTAGCATGAACTCAAACGATAGCCATGTCTCTCGATTGGCTTATAGATGAATTGGCTCCATCACGCCATCAACAGTCAAGCTAACCCAAGATCACATCATCTCATCACGAACACCCGAATGCGGGGGAAGTCCCACCTCTTTATATCCTGTTCCCTGTCCCCAAGGTCCCTCTAAATTAACCTGACTGTAAAGCGATTAAACGACTTATCTCCACCATGTCCGTCGCAGCCGAGTTCGAAGCTTCTAACGATAAATATGCCTCCTCCTTTACTAAAGGGGATCTGGCACTGCCACCGCAGAGGTATGAAAGTAAACCCTCAAACGAAGATATGTGGTTAACCTATATTATCCTATTAGAAAGGTTGCTATAGTAGCTTGCATGGATGCGCGCCTCGGTGAGTCCCCTAGCAATGGTTCACGCGTTGTTTAATTTATCATGGAGACACTAATCTATCTAGACACGGCTCGAGCCCTCGGTCTCGAAGAGGGCGATGCCCATGTTATTCGCAATGCAGGCGGGCGAGCGAGCGATGCACTTCGTAGCATCGTCATCTCGCAGCAACTTCTCGGTACTCGGGAGATTGTTATCGTGCACCATGTACGTACTGTAGATTGCTTACTTTCGCCAAATATATCCAGACTAACTCATGTCGACCTACAGACTGATTGTGGTATGCTCACTTTCACTGATGAGGTGATCCGGGGCAAAATTCGATCGGAACTTAAGCAGGATGCGGATCATATTGCGTTCTTGCCTTTCGGTGATTTGGAGCAGAGTGTGCTTGATGATATTCGGGTTCTTAAAGAGAGTCCGTTGGTGCTGGATGTGCCTATTACTGGGTATATTTACGAGGTTGAGTCGGGGAAGATTGTTAAGGTTGGAAGTAGCTAGTGAAGATAGGTGACGGTTCGGGGTGTCTCTACTGGATATGAGGTATGATTAATGATTGGTGCTATTTCATAATACATTCATGATGTATCGTCAGTGGTGATCAAGGTCCTACGTATCCCAGTATACGAAGGTTCAATAGAGTCTTCTACGGTCGATTGTAGAACACTATTTTATAATAGCGGTGGGAAATATGCTCGAGTATGTGTCATTCGTCTCTAAGATTCCATAGAAAAGGGTAACGTGACGAAAAGAACAAAGGAATAAGTACAGATGTAGAAAGGAAATGTGAGGGCCAGCCCGAACACATAAAGAACCCGCCCGAGTGAAAAGTGAAGAAGGAGTTGGCTAGAAAACAAGGGGTATGAAATAGGAGGCGGACCAAAAAAACCAAAGCCGGGGAATGACCGTGTCACCAACCAGAGACAAGGATGTCGATGTTCCCAAAAAAAAAAGAAAATAGAAAACCCGAACGCTGCATATCGTACTCGTCGTCATATCTTAATCATATCAGCTGCTGCCACCACCAAACCGGCTCCAGACCCAGCCCGTTATTCCTCCACGAGAGCTTTCGCCGCTACTTCCCCGTCGTGTGCCGGACTCACCCATCTCCGGGGAAGGTGAAGTGCGACTGGATCTCGACATGGAAGACCGAGCGCTACGGATGCTTCGCGAGGTGATTGGAGATGAGCGACGACGTAGTCTCGGGGATGAAGATGATTCGGGACTGTCTGGGATAATGACCGGGTTCTCGCTGGTGCCTTCGCCGGGGCTTGTGCTACACAATGTTGTCAGCCGAAGGGGGTCTCGGTTGGCAGATCATCATAGCCACTATGACATAGCCACGATTCAACTTACACGCCAGTCGCATCGATGCTCCGTCGGCAGTGTGGACAAGTGTTGTGCTGGTTCAGCCACGCTTTGATGCAGTCGAAATGGAACCAGTGAGTGCAAGGCAGGACAGTCACCTCGGTATTGAGTTCCACGGGATCCATGCAAATCGAGCACTCCGCCGTACCGTCCGATCCCATCATCTCCCGAGTCATTTTCTTCGTGGGTAGCGAGCGAATTGCAGTATCAGTAGCCGGTGGTGGAGCCGTGCCTTGTTGGGTATGGTCGATCAATTGCGATATCACCCGATCGAGCTCTTCCTGGGAGTACACAGCATCGCCATTGCGGTCCACGTTCATTAGAGCTGAGAGCATTGCGAAAGGGTTGGCTGCGCCCTCCCTGGTGGCAATTCTGGGATTTCCTCGGAGGGCCTCGAGAAAGCTGCGGTGAAGAGAAGGTCGAATTAGCTACATGCTGGACGGTGCCAGATGCAATAATAGAGAGGGGAAGTTCGATCACTCACTCGACTAGGTTTGGCCCAGGAGATTCCATATGCTGCGGACCATCTGGGTCGCGGAAGAAATACTCTTCGTGGCGTCTGGCACGTTCGTGATGAGCTTGGAATCGATCATGCATGACATCCGGCTCTCGCATGCCCGCTGCATGAGAGTGAGGGGGCATTTCCATCCCTGGGCCCCGCTGCGTCTGGTGATGATCATACGTTCCCGAAAGGCCTTGAAATAAAGCACCGATGCTCTGCATCACCGCTGGCAGCTGGTCTAGCTGGCCCTCATGGCGCGACGAGTAACTGCCACCAATCGTGGTAGTGCTGAACGTGAAGCGGCCATCGGGGGACCGGTACGAACGGTGAGAGTATCCAGGGGCCCCGGCCTCCGTCCAGCCGGACGTCCGCGGTGGCATTGTTTCTTCGTGAGCCCAAGGATTATGATCCGCCCACGGATTCACTGGCGGCGAATGCGGTTCTGCTTCGAGTTCTGGCGGAGGGGTTTCGGGGGGATTTCAATCTTCAGAGAAGACGAGGGTTAGAGTGGAAGGTGAAAAGGAAATAGGAAAGGAGGAGGAAAAAAGCAAAGATTGTTGATCACTTACGATCTCAGTGGCATCGGATTCGCAATGTGGGCACCTTAGGTTGGTATCATGTCCGTCTTCTCCGGTTTCTAGCAACCAAACTCCGCCGCAAGCATGACACATGACACGATCGCCGTTGTCGGCCATTTTAAGCCAGGAGCTGGCGCGGAGAGGCCAGACAAGTCGCAAAATAAAGAAAAGTGAGTGGAGACGAAGGGAGAGTGACAAAAGAAGGCAAACAAAGGATGGTGAGTCGTTGGAGTTTAAGTCGCCGGGAGTCACGAGTCATGGTCTTATCAGGCGCGGGGCAGAGACAAACGAGAAAGCCTGCGCGTCTCTGCAGTTGCCTCGGTCGATCAATCCAGCTCAAAAGCAAGAACGGAGATGGACAGGAAAAACCAAGCGATAGAGGCAAAATGAAGCGAAATTTGACGTGTTCAATGCGACTAGTAGTTCTAAGAGGATGACGTCGGCGCCTCCAGTTGCCTGAACTATACGATCAACTTATGAAACAAGCGACACGGCCAAGAGGAGGTCCATATGAAACTCACTATTTCTTCTTATTATTTTTTTTCAAGAACTGTCGATCAACTGGATAAGTAAAAATAGCCCATGCAGGAGCATCAGGCAGCGCCGTTTCTTCGCCAGTGAGACGTTTCGGGGGTTTGGTGATGCAAAGTGGCAAGGAGAAGCGCGGAAAGAACAATCTAGAAAGAAGCCAAAGACCCTTTAAAAGGAACTCCCAAGAGCATTAATACATAGAAGACAACTAAGCCAGATTGAAAAAAATATTCCAGACATATATGCGAAACAATGAATTCGTTTTATGCACGATGTCCATCGCTAGAGCTTAAATAAGAGCTATGTAGCTGGTCGCCGGTCGCCTATCCATCTCAGGCGTCGAGACACAATGTATAGTCTGGAGAAGGAAAAAGAAGTAGAGACAGGATAAAATATGTAGAGAGCCAAGTCAAGTAAACGCCATCGAAAATGCTAAGACATCAAGCAGGCCTAAAAAAAAGAGCTCCCACATGAACATAATTACAGTTGAAAGTATCATGAAGACCGCTTAAAAAGAGGGCCCACGACGCACCCCCCGGGCTGTGTACAGCCCTTGCAGGCATGCAGACCGCGCCAATCGCCAACTTGCAAAGCTCACCGTCTTCTGGCTCCCTTGACAATCAGACTGCCCACCACCCCCGCGGCCACGGCTAAGCCACCCACGATCGCAATCCCCATCAAGCCTTCCTTGGCCACCTTATCGTCGATGAGAGAGCCCAGACTGGCCGCTTGCAAGTTGGCCGGCTCCTTCTCCAGCAACAAGTCGTTGTATCGGCGGGCCTCGCCATAGTTGCCCAGCTTGTAGTTGCCCAAGGCGAGGTAGTATAGGCACTCTCGTCGGCGCTCTGGGGCCCCACGGAAGATCTCGGACAACAGGCGGACACCTTCTTGCTGGTCGGTCCGGACATTCGACTTGATCAGACCCTATAAAAGCAGTTCTCCGCAAGGTGCGGAGAGAGCTGGTCAGTACAGATGTTTTTTTTCTTTGGAATCAGGGACCACCAGGCTAGGCCACCGCAGGGAGTCGGCAATCATACCCATGCATAGTTAAATTTCGTTTGGATGCCGACATAGTCGCCTTCCTTCTCGTACTGTGCCCGAAGCACCTGCAGCTCTGCGGGCTTCAGCGGACTAGACTCAAACCAACAAATCAGTTCCTGGAGTTCGGAGTAGACGGGGGATCGTCAGCGGAGGACAACAGACCTTTCCGCATCCGCAGCATCTGTGTGGCGCCAACAAGTCAGTCAAAATGGCCAGGTCGCGGATGGGAGTATAGACAACGTACATGGGAGGTTAGACATGATGGAGGGAGGTAAAATGTGGGTTATCGAGGTTAAAGAGACGAGTCCAGATGGAGGGAGGCGAGAGCAAAAGATCCAGGGACGAGGCAGCAGAAAAGGCCGTCACAAGCAGACGTCACTTGCGGAGAGAACCCAAAACTTGTGGCGGTGCTGCCAGCTGGGCCGCGGTGTGGCGGTTGCGGCAGCAACAATCAAAACACTCCATCCCACCCTCACCATCACCACTACTTTTTTTGAACAGCCTGTCCACCACCAAACTACACTCGAAATACACACTGCCACCATGTTGCTCGACGAGGATCCTGGCACTGTACGTGACCTATAGGCTGTCATAACCAACCCAAACCAACCCTCCCCGCTAACACTTCGCCAGCTCATCCACCACACCATCGGCAACTTCAACATCCAACCCGACAAACAAGCCGTCACACGCATCAATGACTCGCTCTCCACCCTCCAGCAATCGCGCGACCTACGAATCCGCGAAGCCGAAACTTCCCTACGAAAACTCGCCCGCAATCTCCACTCCATAACCACCCAACACGAAGAAGCAGTCGCCGTCCACGACTCCAGCAAGCACGCCGCCGAGATCGTGGAACTAGACACCAAGAAGTTCCGCATTGCCAAGGCTGCTTCAGAATTGGAGATTGAGAGTGAGCGTTTGGAAAGTGAACTTGAGATGCTCAAGGAGCGACTGGCCGATTTGGAGTCGCAAGGTCTGGAAGGGGATGAGACGACGCGCCGTGAGCGGGAGGCTGACGATGCGACGATGTGAGTTAGCGACTTGCGTGCATGGATTCGATAAGACTTCTAACAATTGCATAGATTGCGACTTAAAATCTTCCGCTCTCTGGGCATTGACATCGAGCCCGATGAGGCGGGGAATTTCAACCGCGCGGTTATTCGGAACAGCCGCAAGGGCGACGTGCATGTCGTCAATATCGACCCGAAGTTTTCCCGTTTCTTCTACGCCAACTACTTCTGGTCGACAATGCAGGGGTAATGCAGGAAGTTTGTGCGTGTTCTTTAGGCGTTCATGGTTATGTAATGGTTGGTGGAGTTTGCTATACCCCGGATGCTTTGATATTAATGACATGGCAATGCCACTTTTGTCCTATTCTTGATCATATTATTGTACAGTATACATGCTATTTTTCTCGTAAAGCAGCCAGGACTTTTGACTGATCTACAGCCGATAAAGACCCGTCTGGCTGTGGTTCTGGCTGGCCATCTGGGAATATCCTCTCGACAACATCCAAGAGAGCTTCCTTGTCGACCTTTGACCAGTCTACGCCCCATGATTTTACCCATTGATCCTCATGGCGGAGTAAACTCTGCTCCACCAAATCCATATCAGGGATATCACCCCCATCCCAAGTCAAAGCGACCTCCTTCCTCACAGACCCAGACTCGGCATCAACCGCACCAGCACCATACCGGGTCTCAACCCCCAAAGGCCCCAGTCCCAGCTCTTCAGCACGGGCATTCCAAAGCGCCTGTTTCAGCGTCCCATCCAACTCAACCATCATCCAAAAAAGAGGGTATGAGCTCCGCGCCAGCGCATCCCGCACACCCTTGGTGGCCTCGCGCGGGCTCACCAGCACGCCTGCAGTCTGGCCCGTGCGCCAACCGACAGGCGCCTGGCGGATTGCGCCCTCGAGCTCGCGGACCAGATTAGGTCCGAGCTTCGTCTTGAGTGCCTTGCATTGCACCAGCACGCGAAGGGCGCGTTCCCGCTCCCGCTCTGGCAGGTGCCAGGTGCCGACGAGGTCGATTCCGGCGTCGTCGCGGCCGCCGATACGGTGGAGGGCTAGGGCGTAGTGGCGGAGACTTTGGAGCACGGTGTATTCGTAGTGGGTGCCTACGTAGACGGTACTTGTTTGCGGTAGGGATATGCGCTCGGCGTAGGAGAGGAAGCTGGTTAGGTCGTCGTGTTGTTGGGATGGTGGAGATGGTGCGGAGGGGAGCTTGAAGATGCGGCGTGTGAATGGTGTCAGGTCATGGTCGGTTCGGGAACGAGAGAAGCAGCGACGACATGGCCTTGCTGATCTTATAGACTTGGTAGATAGGTCTCTGGCAGCGAGGCCATGGTGTAGGTGCAGACGTCGCATCGAGTGGTGTGAAAGGTGAGAAATGCGCGCTCACCGCATTGGAGCTTCTCTCCGCATTTCCTTCCGCGGCTTCTCTTATCTCAACTTTCCACTTACACTCGACTTCTTCTTTATCCCGTTTGCCATTTCGAATTGACACCCTACTTCTCTATCGTCTCTCCACTCTCACATTTCTCACCATGGCAGACATCCTCACCCAGCTCCAAACATGTCTTGACCAGGTACGTCCATCCATTTCCATCTGATCACAACCTTGAATTAACACCACCACAGCTCGCAACCCAATTCTACGCCACACTTGGCTATCTCAGTACCTACCATGACAACTCCCCGGCCACCCCTCCACCAGGCATCCCCAATGCCGCCCCTGCCCTAGCCAAAATGTCCAAAAACAACACCTCACCACCCGTCCCCGCCTCCATCGCCGCATCAGCAGGAGCAGGCGCAGCAGCCGCCGGCGCCGCACAATCCCCAGTCCCCCCACCAACGCAGCAACCCGGTGCAGAACCGGGCGCAGTCGAAGGCGAAGATCCCAATCTCCTTCCACAACCGGACTCACCGCGCACATTCGCAGCCCGGCAGCGGGAGTTGGCCCGCGATCTTATTATCAAAGAGCAGCAGATTGAGTATTTGATCTCTGTGCTGCCGGGCATTGGGGCTTCGGAGGCGGAGCAGGAAGCTAGGATTCGAGAATTGGAGACACAGTTGCGGGAGGTGGAGAAGGAGCGTGTTGCGAAGGCGGAGGAGCTGAAGCAGTTGAGGGGGAGATTGGAGAATGTGCTTGATGCTGTTTCGGTGGGACTTTATGGTGATCGGTAGTATCACCGTGGATTTTGATGGGCTTCAGATACCCGGTGTGGCTTTTTTTCTTCATTTTCTCGAGGCAATTTAGGAGTTATGGATTCATGGTTCTTGCCATTATTGTACTTTCGTCTTAGATACCAATTGATGATTTGATGCGATCTGCCTCCAATCTGCCCTGATCTGAACTGCTCACGTAAAGAAAAGAAGCAAAGAACAAACTCCTCCGATGAACAGAATACCCAACCACAACGGTCATTAATCTCCTCGACTCAAGGAAGAACCGCCGGTAGAACCCTATTCAACACATCATCCGCGATATCAACAGGATCCGGCCCAGTATAATGCTTACACCAAAGCCGCTTATACCCAGAAACACAGCTATGGCCATAATCTCGACAACAATCCCCATTTCTATTCTTCCCATTGTTGCAAATATCTTTCCAGTCTTTATCCCTGGTCCATTCGACCAGCGTGCGGCCGTCGATTTTGATTCCGACGTGGTCATCCGTAGTGCCGCATAGCGGCCAGCTACCTTCCCAGGTACAATCTCTTCCGATATCGAGGAAGTCGCAAGCCAGAGTTGGTGTGAGGAGGAGAGCTGTTGTTGCGAGGGTGTAGAGCTTCATTTTGAATATTTTGAATGTGGATGGTTCGTTCAAGAAGAGGTGGAAGTTTGGATAGCTTAATTGGTTCGAGAGTTCGCCTAATGGATGAAATCTTTGGATGTAGATGATTCTCTAACAAGTGGAACTGGGGCCCTCGCACCATTATTTATAGCCTGGCTTTGGAGATACAGAGATCTTCTTCATGCAGGGACTTGGCTGCTCGGTTGAACGATTACACGAATTGTCTCGGACGCCCCGGGACCAACCATGATGGACTAGACAATGTATACAAAGCTGATCAACTTCTATCCCTATTCCTTGGGAAACTATGTTAAATAGCTGGAGACTCTGGATTACGCGTGGCTATGTAACGTGCTACAATATCTGCATGGGCTGGATGAACTGTAACCCATGCAGCTGATAGAGCAGATTCAGCCTCGAATGCGACGGGTGTCAGCTTGATGTCTTGCTTGTTTCACACTTTGAAATGTAGACATCTATTGCGTAAGATTCAGCGCTGGTGTCATGGAAGTAAATGTTTCAAGACAAATCCTAGAATCACTATGAAAGGAGATGTTGTCGCATCGAAGCATCCATTCTAAATAAGACCTATCTAGTTGTCGACTGGCGTGTCACTCTATTTAAAGGGCGCACGCATGTATAAACCAGCAATCCGCGAAACGAAAAAAAGAGGGGAATATACCATCTGTGGGAAAGCAGAAAACAAAAGAAAAGAAAAATGCAACGATTCCAGCGCCTGAAAGAATATCAGTCCGAATATCCTTTTCCCCGGGTATCAATTGAAACCAGAAAACGAAAACCTTATCCCGCCCCCTAAATATCGGCAAAAATAACGCAAGCAGAGTCAAGGCTATGCCTTGCAGAGGCTCCAAAAGTGGAATCCTTAAACGGCAGATGCTGTCGTGCAAAAATATCATCCTCACTTGAACAGGCTGCGGTATTCCCGCATGCGCTGTTCTTGAGCCTCGCCCTTGTCAAGCTTGCCGCGGTTCATGCTCATGTCGGCGAGCTTTTGCTTCTTCCGGGCCAGCTCGAGGATCTTTTCTTCAATGCTATTCTTCATTATGAATTGCATGATCACGACCTCCCGATGCTGACCCAAGCGGTGCACGCGATCTACGGCCTGGGCAACCGCCGCTGGATTGTAGTGTGGTTCCATAACGAAGACACGCGACGCGGACGTCAGGTTCAGCCCGACACCACCGGCACCAATGGTAGCCAGTAAGATAGTGACAGAGTTGTCCTTGGCAAAGGCATCGAGCGCCTTACTGCGAGCCTTCAAACTCATGGTACCGTCAAGGCGAGTAAAGCAATCCAGACCATTCTGCTTCAAGGCAATCTCGATCAAGTCCAAATGCGAGGTCCACAACGAGAAGACTACGGCTTTGATAGGTGCTTCACCAACCAGCGTCTTGCTTTCCGCAGCGATCGATTGCAGATTCTGGATAAGCGCGAGAGTCTTCGTATGCGGACCCTCATACTCGCCCAGAATCTTACCATTCTTGCGCGACTCCTTTTGCTGGATCTGCAATCTGTCAAGACCAGCAGCAGTGACCGTGGAGTACTGTAGCCGGGTCCAGCCACTACAGACTTGGCACTGGATCTCGGTGTCCGGCTTCGAGTCAAACACGGCTTTCCAGGACGAGAAACACTCCGGGCAAAGGACACATAGGCAAGGCAAGTAGATAGCCATCGGGGCATTCTTGTCTTGAGCCCCAGTCTCCGTCATTGGCGCCTCAATGAGTTTATCGCAGATTTTGCAAGTGTCTCCCGACTGGACCATTAGATCAACGTGACGAAGGGCCTTTTTGTCAAAAGCATCCTGGGTCTCATCTGGTTCACTGTCCTCCAGGTCGATGGCATCCTGTACGCTCAATCCCTTGGTTCTCTCTCGATCTTCGACGTCCAAAAGCTCCTTTCCATGAGCACTGACTTGGCGGAGAATCATCATCGCCTTCAGTACAACGTGGTACATGCGGCCGCTAATGGTCTTCCTGCTCTCCTTGGCAATAACACCCATCATAGCGTTGGACTCATTCCGGAAGAACTCGTGCAACTGTGCTTCCTTCTCATTGAACTCCAAGGTGACGATCTTCTCCGTCCGCTCCGGTAAATCAAGCATCTTCTTGACACGGCGCAGAGTAAACGAGTCAATCAAGACTCTCAGACTCGCAAGTGCATTGGCATTTCCGGTTTTCATGGGACTGATGACATGCTGCGAAAATCTAGCCCGATCGTCGTAGGGAAACAGCCGCAGGAACTTTGTGACCGAGAGTAGATCTTCCAGGCGATTCTGAATTGGCGTGCCTGTGACGGACCACCGACGCTGGGAATTGAGGCTCATTATCGCCTTAGTCTGTTGATTCCCCAGCTCTCGAATATTGTGAGCCTCATCCAGAACAATGCGGAACATGTTCATTTTTGCCAAAGGACTGCCGCGCTTGGCACCTCTGCCGAGGATCTCACTGTGAATAGTCGGATAAGTTGTTATCAGCAGATCCAATTTGGAGAGCTCCTCCAGGTCGGTGTTCCGTGAAGCGCCATGAAAAACGTAATATTTCAACGAGCCCGGTTGTATATGCTCGTTGATTTGGGAAACCCAGTTTGCAATGGTGGAAAGCGGCACAACCAGAAGTGTAGTCCTCGTATTGCGAACACCTGGAATGCAGCGAACGAGTTGGCGATCGGGCATCTTTCGAGACCAATCGGTGGCCTCTTCAAGCGTAGACAATACCAACGAAAGGATACTCAAAGTCTTTCCGAGGCCCATCACATCAGCCAAGAGGCCACCGTAAGTCTCCTCCGGCTCATCGTCACAGATGACCCCGCTGATAATGTCCCGGTACTTGGTGTGGCCATTTTGAAGAACCTTGCGCCACAGAGAGTTATGGTCCTCTTCCTTGTCACCATACTTGCGCGGAGCTTCCTTTTCCTTCATAAACCAGAGTGCTTGCTTCTGGTGGTCCAGAAGAGGTGTGGTGACTGTAGCGGGCGGTTCCAGCTTGGGAATATCCATGCTGACAAGTTTGTCAAACATTTTCATTACAGAATCGGCCACCTCCTCGGTCGTCCGGATTTCGTATCGTATGTTGGGCACTTGGCGATTTCCGTTATTTGCGGCGGCTGCTGCTGCCACCATTGCCCGTCTTTGTTCGGCATGCGGGTTGAAAACGGGTACTCCATTTTCCACAAACACCGGGGTACCCAGCCAGACATTGCGTTGGCCCAGGAACTTCCCGATCATCTCCACATGCTTCCGTGGCCCGTAGATGGTAATTGACGCTCTGTATAGTCCATGGGTCGGCTGCCAGACTTCTTCGCCGGCAGCCTTCCTGCGCATGTCCAATCGGGCGGTGACATCGATCCCCAACCCCGGTGTGTCCAGCAAAGGGCACAGCGCTATAGCCGTTTTTGCATCGAGGGTGGCGAATAACTTGCCAAATGGGTCTTTGACATCGATACGATGATCGCCTTTGCGTGCCTCCCGGACCAAGTCCAGCTTCATCGAAGACCACTGCAACGACTCCAGTCCAAGCACAGCATTCGCGCGGGGCTTGGGCACGAGATGTGCGTTGACCATCGCATTTTCCAGCTTTCCATAGCAAACACGCTGGTTGCTGAGATCGTTCGATCCAGTGACCTGCACATCGTCGTCTTCAGCAGCCTTTGGAAGATCCGCAGTCAAGTCCACCACATCAGAACGAGCCGGGGTCGAACTTGAGGTTGAAGTTGGCTTGGATTCACCCTCCTTCATCCACTGTCCAAGACCGTTATCTCCAGCGGCCACGGGCTTGCTCGTCATGCTGACTGGAGTGACTGTGCCATCCAACTTCACTTTCTTCGTCGGCTGATACTCGTGTCTGCGCTGCTCGACATCGTAGACATTTTCGATGAGATTGCGAGACCGAGGCCTGGCGTCGTGGTTGTCACTAATCTCATGGTAGTTGCGCTTGGTATCACTGTCTTCGCCGTCGCGGGTGTTGATGAATTGGACAGTGACGTCCTCATTCAAGGGCTGGCTCGCCTGAGAGCGCATGATCGGGACCGTGCCTGGAGGTGCGATGGGCGAAATCTGGGGGGCGGTGTCAAGAGGAAGTCGAGGGGGTGTTGGCTGTCCGATGCCTAAATATTGTGAGCCAGTGCATTCAGATGACTCTGGGATCTCGTTCGTGGGGAGTAGGATGGATTCTTGTTGGGAGCGTAGAAGCTCACGAGAATCCACGAGTGCAACGGGTTGGTTTGGCTGTCAGGTGTATGTGACAGGAAAATAACGGGAAATTCACGAGTCCTTACCATTGCGTTGAGTCTGCTTTTTATAACCCTTGGGGTTGAGAAGCATCGCCGCGTGTGGCTCCATGATGGCGCGGCCGAGAGGAATTAATGTGGCGAGAGGGTTGGAGTGTAGTCGCAGGGATCGAGGGAGGAGGAAGAGGAAAGTATAGGGTCGACGAATGAAAGATGGTCGTCGAGGCTGAGGCTCATCAGAACGAGAGAGTGCAGGTGACCAAAAAGAACGAGGGGCGCGGGTCCCGTCGCAAGATGCAGGCAGGCCTCACGACATTTGAGGAAGGGAAAGAGGAGAGAGTCCGAGAGCAATCACCAGCAGAGGCCAGCGCTGCGCTCGCTCATAGGAGTCGGTTTTCGCTTCGAGGTTGGGAGTGAAAGAGGTTCGAGGTTTGGCAGGGAAGCGGACATGACCTCACTCGAGTTGCTTAACTCGGAAGAACCCGCCGATAAGGATGGGCTTATCGAGGCAGTCAAGGGAGCCGCAGAGACAAATCCAGCCTCGGTGTGCTACTAACACGATGTATATTCCACTTGATTTTACTAATATGGATCGCAATAAATTACGAGAATTGGATCAATACATTATTAGACTGAAGAAATTTGTCCTGGATTTGCGGGAATTAGAAACACAATAGTGCAGTGTGGAGGGGCAGCTATCATCTCACCAAATGGGAATTACACCGGTAGCGATATCTAAAGATGCGATCAATGCAGACCAAAATACAAAAACACAAACAAATATCGGACGATGGTATCATAGAATTAAGTCTCGTCATATATGCTACATGAGGCGCTCAGTCAAATGCGCCACAACCCAACCCGAACAGCCAGAGATGGTCTATATACAACACAAATTCCCCAATCATGAGCATGGCGTGCGAAAAAAAAAATACCTGTGAAGCACATATCAGGGTGAGATGTCTCTACCAAGATACACCTGCAATGAGACCCCGGCAAGACAAGAAAAAGAAAAGAAAAGAAAAAACGAACTGTTGCCGGAGTCGATGCCTTGAATAGACACCGAGAAAAGAACGCTAAACGAAGAATTTGCGGATTAAATAGTTGAGTGGAAATGCAACGACATGGAAAAGGGAGGAAGGTTAAGGGAGAATGGTGGGAGAAACAGAACAACGTGAAGAAAAGGAAAAGAGGCTTTTAGCACCAAGTGAAGACTGGGTTTTTGCTCTTGACGGCTTCCAAGCGCTCCACGATGACTTTGCGCTGGTTGCCTTCCATGCCCTCAGCAGCCGCATATCCAAGATCACCCTCGAGATCATCACTGCCAAAGGTGTTGACATGAGGCACACGGAAAGACACAGAGCCACCGTGCTTACGGGGTTTGGTCGGTCGAGCGGGTAGCGATGGCCATCCGTCCAAAGATCTAGCGTAAGCGCCATCTCCGGTCCGGCGCGCAAAGTCACCGTCATTCAAGGTCCCAGGGCTACCAATCGACTCTCTGTCCGATTGGCCGCGGTTGAGTTCAAAGCGGTTCGGGTTGGGAAGATCAGTCGGGCCCGAGTCCAAACCAAGGAGGTCATGAGTGTTCTCGGTATTAGAAGAGATTGCCGCGCCAATATCCATTTCTTCCTCTTCGTTATAGTCATAATTCGTGGCTTGGCGTCTCTGCGCGTCCATAGAAGGAGCTCGCATTGGGATGGCAACGGGCACATCCACCAAGTCGTCCCACACGCAAACCCGAGTTCTTCGGGTCAACTCGAGCGGGCCGTGATCCGGTTGCTTCAAGGTCTCGACAACGTTCCAGGCCTGACCCTTCATCACTGCGATTTGACGCGCGAACATGCTTTCTTTAAAGTCGTCATCTTGGGCAAACACTTGGCGCAGAGCCATTTGGGTTCCGCTCCACCAGGCAGTAGATGTCAACAAGGGTAGGAAATGGTCACGGGTCTTTTGCGAGAAAGGCTGTCCAATCAAAGAAACCGGCAGGAAGAGCCATCCGAATGGGAAGCTTCGCCACTATTAATTGGTTAGTGCCATGGAAGCATAAAATTGAAGACAGAAAGGTATTGAAAACTTACGGCATCCGGGTGTTTCCATGGCCACGAGAGGCTGTTGTCAATGGCACCCACTTGAACGGAAGCCTGCTGCTCCGAGGAGGCCAAAGGTGTCCCCGTGCGACTGACTGCCATCATCGTCTCCTGGCGCTTGTATGGATGCGAACCATTTGAATTCACGGAGACTGGGCGAGCCGGTGGCATAAGTTCGTCGTCGTCGTGTTTAGGTGTAGGCTCGGTGCTCTTCGGAGGGTCCGCCACAATCGACACCTGTTCAGTACCCCAATCGATCTTAACCATCCAGTTATCCAAACCACGGTCCGTGTTGCGCATGATATAGTCCAGAATGACCAGCTTTTCCAACTCTTCCCGGAATGACTGCTTCAAATTTTCCGTCCAGTTGAATCGCCGCTCGCGGCTTTCGTCGCGTGGGTTTGGCGACGGCATGTAGCCGTTCTCATCCTCGTCTTCATCGTCGGATTGCGCGCCTGACGGGCGGCATGCCTCGTTCCATGGCCGCTTCTTGCGCTTCGGCGCATCTTGGGCACGGAAGCCCGTGTTGGTTTGATCGGGCCAAGGGTGTTCGCGAAGGAAGATGTTGGCATCCTTGTATCCTTTCAAGAATACCTGGAAGCTACCTGGCTTTGGAGGCAACGTTTTCTTCCCCTTCCATGCCTTGCGCCGTTCCCAAAAGTCGTAGAAGAAGGATTTGGAGGACAGATAGACGATATCGGTGTAGGGAACCATGTTTGTTCGAAGGCGGGCATCGAGAACGTAAGCGGCGGCTTCGGAGACGTAGGAAAGGTTGGGAATAAGGCAGGCTCGGCCGAAGAAGCAAGGGAACAGGTTGCGATGAACCCACTTGGTCCATTTGGGGTTTCGCGAGGCATATGGCTCCTCATCCTTTGGTTTGAACACACCAACGACTTTGCCTTCGGGATTGCGGGCAAAATAACTGCCCGAACTACCTTGTGCAATCATGCGTGGGTGGACATCCATCTCAATTGCCAGGCGCACACTCTCGATGATTTCCTCAAACTCGGCCCGGGCTCTTCGTTGTTGGCCCTCAAACTCATCCGATTCCAGCTCTTCCGCAGTCACGGCGCGAACGCCAGGCGGAGCCTGGAATACCGAATGATAGATCTCGAGCTTTTCTTCCTCGAAGGTCTTGCCCTTGACGCGGTTGATCTTGAACTTGGAGGCAATTTCATCCGCCCACCGTTCCAGACGTGCGTTAATTGCCTTGATATCGACACCGGAGTTGCGACGGCCGCGCCGGTGGTATTGACTATGCCTGCGTCGATGACCGGGAGGCGTAGAGAGACCGGACGCCTGCATCTGGGCTCGCGATGAGATGGGGGCATAACGAGGGGCGGAGGCCGAGATTGTCGAGGATGCGACGGCAATCTCATCGTCTTCCGAGTCGTCGTGGAGGTAGCCGCGTTCCTCCTCCTCCTGAGCGAGGCGAGCGTAGCCCGACGTGGCAGGGCGGTTTTTCGGCATCGTGAAGGAGAAGAAGTGGCGGCTTTAGTGGGAGGGCCACAAAACGAGCCAAGTGAATAGAGATAGCTTGTAAAGAAACGAAGGACACCCAAAAAAAGGAAAAGGTTAATCCATCACGCGGAGGTGTTTTGGAGAAAAGGACAGAATCGAAGGTTAAGGACAAGGCAGTGAAATTAGCTGGCGGATCCGTCATGGACGATTTCGGTATTATTATGGCTAGCCAGACTCTACGGCAGGGGGGTTACTTTACAGTATCTGTATTTTACACTTAGTTTACCATGGCGGTGGCGGGTCATCCGGCAAAACGAGACAGCTCCCCGGAGAAAACACTCTTTAGTATGGGGAATTGCAGGGTCTCCGGCGGCGGAGAGTCACAGACGGTAATGCCCATACGCACCGCCACAGCTGGCGGGATCCACTGGATCCCCCTAATCCACCCACGCATCGACAAAAGGGGGTTTTGCATGTGTACTCGATGCACGTACTCGAACTCCTAGCAGTATTGTTTCTGATCCTCTGCATTGATTGAATTGATCTCTCCCACGAGTAGTATGCATAACAGCTGGATGTGGAAAGTATGTTTTGCAAAGAGTGCCTAACTCATTGGTAAATCAGCACTTAACGTGTCCACTTCGTGGAGAACTATGAGCACCAGATATCTATGACTTTGCCTATACTTTGTGCTTCTTGCATACAAGTACATGCATATCTATTATAAAGATGGTCTTTTCTCTAGCCCGTTAGAGTTTAAATTTCCTTATATATAGCTATGCAATCAAGTCAGCCATACTTAGAGTTATGAAAGCGAACGTATCGCATAGTACGAAGATCGCGTTCGCTCTCGATTGATGCCCTGCCTCGCATGATTGAACGGGGTTGAAGCCATGGCATTTAACGCTCATGTAATTAAGAGCTAGAGCCCAGGTACATCCTCCACACATTCCAGCTGGCTGGAAATGGATCCGACGCCAGAATCAAATAAAACATGCCAACGGTCGTCGTGTAATTACGAGCCTTTTCCAGTCGGTGCCAAGTATGCGGCACGCGATAAGTGATTAATTTCGATACGCCCGCGCGATAATAACAATCGGGCTGGATAAGATCATCTCGTTTCTTGTTTCTTCCTCCCTCTTCCGTTGATCGCATTTCTTCGCAACCCCCATTCTCCACCTGATTTCAATGTCAATGGAGTTCTGATCTCCGGTCTAGTCACTCCTTTGATTGCTTTCTGGTTTCGGCTTGGTTTTCTTCCCTGGAAGCCTCACGTTATCAAATAGCCGCCGGTCCAACCGTCATCGTCGCCGACGACTCAACGGGCTCTCGCTTTGCGATCATTATCCAACCACTTCCTTTCGCGATCAATTGCAGTTTCCGCAGCGGCTGGAAAAGATTCCATTCACCTAATTGACAGTCTCGCGCGACACACGTCGGATTGCCTCGCCGGTTCCTCTCTTCCCCAACCCCCTTGTCCTTCAATTCGGTCGCCCGTGGCCGGATTTCGATCGATTGCCCATCCTCACCCTCCATTGTGGCTTCCATCCTCTTCCCGGCGTCGCCCATCGACCCGGCTCTCAAACCTGCCTCGTCTGCGCACCAGACCCCCGAGCTTTCCCGCTTTGACTCCCCATCCGTCGATCCCTCCATCCCACGCCCTCCCTCTACCGACGACGAGACCCCCAAGCGCTTCTCACCCGTACTGCCTGAGCTGGGCAGTATTGGCAAGTTCCCCAGCTCTGATTATCGAGATAACTTCCCCGGATCTGTCTCTCTGAGCACCTCCCTTCCTGGATTGGCAGCGCTTGCCTCGGTCGCGTCCGCTCCTACTTCGAATCTACGGTACGTCTACATACAGTTGAAAGAGATGGGGTGAGGGATCCGAAGGCTGTACCTTTTTTAAAGGCAACGTCGGGTTGCCCTCTTCGACCTGCTGGTCCCTCATATATGGGCTGCACAGGATCCTATGTGCGAAATAGACATGGGTTTGGCTGACTGGTTTTTCCTCCAGTGAGTCGTTCGACGCGAATGCGAACATGGCGAATATAAGCTATCCAAGCACGGCGCCCGCTGCTTCTACTGGTGGACAGGGCAATAGTCCGGTAAGTGACATCTTCAACATATTCTATACTAGTGTTTTATTGCTCTCTTTTCCCTCCCTCCCTATCGCTATCTTTTATCTGAGTCGTCCCTGCACGATTTTCACGCTTATCGCCCCCGGGGCTTATCTACGCCGGAGGTTATCGGCGCGGGTTATCAGCGACTCGCTGGGGCTTGGCACCACCCGATCCGTGCGCCTCTGGCAATCGCCAATCCTTATCGAACCCATCAAATCTCTCCCCAATCTTATCATCTGCACTATCCTCCGTCCTCTCTCCCCCCTCTTTCTCTTTCTAATTCTCTCACGCCATGGCGACCACATTGACTGATGAAAAGCGACCTCAATTACAGCCCGTCTGCCAGAACTGTGGTACCTCGACCACTCCCTTGTGGCGCCGCGACGAGCTGGGCTCCGTTCTTTGCAACGCTTGCGGACTGTTTCTGAAGCTGCACGGGCGGCCTCGCCCGATAAGCCTGAAGACCGATGTGATTAAAAGTCGCAATCGCGTCAAGACGGGCCAGGGCCCCAAACGCAAGGTACGTCTTCGCGACGAGGAAAATTTTTCGCGCCCCCTTCGTCCTCGTCCCCAAGGATAAGAAATTTCTCCCGGCATACTGACCGTTGCGATCCTCTCCAGTCTGGCGGCCCAATCGATAATAATGGCCTGGCTGGGACCACGGAGGCTGGGACACCTCTTGGTTCCAATGCTTACCGTCGCGCCTCGCGTAAGATGTCCCCGGGTCACTCGGATCGCTCGAATTCCCCTTTGTCGCGTACCGAGACTCCCGGCTTCGGGTCGATGCAATCCCACAACTCGAACATCGCTCCGCAACATATGTTCGACCAGGTCACTGCTGGTCGTGATAGCGGACTAGGATCGTCCAGCCTTCCTTCCCTTCCGCTGCGACAACCCTCTCCCTCTGCCGTCGATCGTCAACTCGAGTCCCCTCAGACCTACGAAAGCCTGCTGGCCCTCAACACTTCCCTCAAGACTCGCGTCAGTGAACTGGACTTGATCAATGAGCTTTTCCGCGGTCGAGTTGCCGAACTCGAGCAGAGTGACGCAAGCGCGCGTCGGTCTGAGATGATTGCGCGCGACTCTGAAGCTCGCCTGCGCCGTACTCTTGAGGAGACCCAGCGCCGCGAGGAGGATCTGAAGCGTCGCGTCAGCGAACTCGAGCGTCAAATCGGCGGCAGCGGCTCCTTTGATGCGGATAGCTCAGAGCCCTCCGCTAAGCGCATTCGCCTCTCCGACATGGTTGAACACTCTCCTGAGGAATCGCCAGCGCCACCAAAGTCTCCCAAGAGCAACTAAGCTCCTTTACCATCCTCCGGTCATCACACAGTGCTCTACCTTCCTCCTCCCTCCCCTTGTTCTGTGTTTTTGAGTCCATCCCGCGATTGCTGCAATGTCCGATCTTCCCTGGTCCTTTTGATACCCTTCCCGAGTCTTTTATCGGCTGGAATTTTCAACACAAAAAGCTAATTCTCGCGCGTTATCTCCCATTTCTTTTCTTCCCTGGTTCGCCGGATGTTTTTGCAAGAGGTCTCCTTTTAATTTGCTTTCTGCGGGTTGTGTACGAAAACTTCCAGTATGCTTTAATGGTATTGTTTTGTTGCTTTTTTTTCTTTCTTTCTTCTCTCGCCCGTCTTGCGAGGACAGGAGATGTGGAAGGTCGGCTGGGCTGCACGCAGTGGAACTATGAGAAAAATGAAATATTCAAAAAGACATGTACTGAGTGCCTGCGGTGGTGGTTTTCTTTTCTTGTTTGCTTTTTATCGGGGTAGCTGGTCTGCTATTTCGATCGTATGTCGATCTCGGAGCTTAGGGTCTATGGTTCAATCCTGTCATAGAATGGCAATATAGGTGCTCTTCGGTGTTATTTCAGCCGGGTTGATATCCATGGACGGGTCAGATGTTTACAACCCTTTTCTCTCTACCTTACCTGGTATGCTTCCACTACCTAGACCCATAGACCCATGGATTAGGGATAACAGATGTCCCTGACATGAATGCAAGATAAACACTATTGAGAAATAGGTAGCGGGAGTGTTCTCCTTTTCTAATTGGAATATATGCTAGAATCTATTGCTACAAGCCACGGCGGTATATCTAAATCTACCCCCCTCGAAGCTTATAGGGCTCCCGTGACCCTTGCCTATCTACAAGCACATTAATTTAGTCAAACTGACGATTACTATTGCTGTATATGGGTTACCTAGTAGGTGGCTGGTAGGAAAATGTAAGGAGCAAACAAAATCAAAAACAAAATGATAACTCCGAATAGGGGAATCGAACCCCTGGCTGTCGTGTGAGAGACGACGATGTTAGCCACTACACCAATTCGGAAGGTGGAACCGTGGATACCACTAGGCTATCCTGCTGGCTGTTGAAGAATGGGCCACTTTTTGGCTACATGAACCTGTCTTGAGAATCTAGGTCCGTTCCTTCCTTACTTGAGCCTAAGGGAAGTAGCGGATGTGAGGTATGTACTAGGGGATTTTGTTATCTTCAAAATGTCAACTGTAAATTCTTTCTGGCTATTCTATAAATCAGAGGTGCTGGTCGTTTCCTATCTTTGGTTTTTGTGTTTAGAGCTTAGAGGCATTAATCATACCTTGCTAGTTGCAAATCCAGAATCAAGGGGCCCGTTTCTTTCCAAATGGCCTGTCTAGCAACTATATGACCTGGCATATACGAATATGAGTTATGTATGTCACTAGATGTCTATATTATTCTATCTTTGTAGGTGGTTATTATGCTCGTGCTATATTTGGATATATAGTCGTATTTTACTTGATGTGTACGCCTTGTCAAGCTCTTAAACGGCTCGATATGGCCGCTGCGCGTGGATGGTAGACATTCGTCGGGGGACTTCACTTTTGAAATTTCTCTCTTCCTCACATACAAGCTGGTTATTTCCCACATTTTATGGCTCTTTAGTAGTGAGGTTAAAACACTTGAATGAAGATAGATATCTACGTACTCATCTTCGCGACCTCGTTGTTCTCTGTATGTTCGGGTCGTTCTTTCCGCTTTCCGACGAGTATGTAGGCGGGTGGAAGTGGGTTGGTTATGTAGGTACCTGCCCGTTGTTCTTATGGTGTTTATATATCGCATGGTGTTATATGCGAGTAGGATCTAGGCTATGTGGGTGTAACCCTTGGTGGCTTTAAACTTATGATCTAGTCGGTCAACGTCACACCGTAACAGGAATATATTTCCAAGCAGGTGAGGTCGTTAAGCGTGCCCATGAAAACCACGTCCACTCAGCCTCCATAAACCCAGACGTGGATTAAATATTACCACCAAGAGTACATGGAGCAACATATATGGATTATTCCACACTAGATCAACAGCCTCAACACGCCCGGGAATCCTAGCCCTAGCTAGATAGTGGCAAGGAAAGAACGACCCAGCCAATATCGTCATAGCCACACCTGCGACCGCAGGAATACTGACAGACCGATAGGTTCAAGACTGAGCTTAAAAGCAAAACCAATAGACATGCTAGGATAATATACTATCAACGATCTGCTCGACTATATTATACAGCCCCATGCCTCTATAGATTCCTGCATGTTGGCTCGAACCAATAACCGGGTCATGTAGGCAAAAAGAGGCCCATTCTTCAACAGCCAGCAGGATAGCCTAGTGGTATCCACGGTTCCACCTTCCGAATTGGTGTAGTGGCTAACATCGTCGTCTCTCACACGACAGCCAGGGGTTCGATTCCCCTATTCGGAGTTATCATTTTGTTTTTGATTTTGTTCTTCTGCCTCGTTCTTATCCAAGCAGTTGAGCAGCTTAATAGTTCCTGAGACGACGAATCTTTTTAATTACCCTAACACATAGTCAGAGGTAAATGATAGTTCTACCATCGGTACCTAAACCACGAAGAAGAAGATTGAAAAGTCCCCCAAGAAGGAGCATTCAGGAGAGTAGGCTATCCTTGAATGGAGCCTTTCAATCAATATTCATAGACCCGATCTAACTTCCTTTATATACAGGTGTTATGCGGGGATTTATAATCTTGCCTTCCTAGCGGCAGACATAGGAGAAGGATGGTGGTAGAACCAGCCAACTAAACCATCAGCGAGAGGTAGGGATTTCAAGCTGGGTACGCCCCGCACTGTGATTTCACCCACCCAACCCACCACAGCCTCCATGCTTGATAATTTTTTTTCTTGTGATTTCGCGGGTTGCGTGCTACCAAGTATACGGGGTCTTGGTCGCTGTGAGCGATGCAATCCCCAATTCTGCTTAACCCATCGTCGCCCGCCGTCTCATACGTGCGAGGACACGGTATATTCCATGCACTTTGCCTCTACTTAACTAGGACCTGATAGCCATAAGCCCCTCCTAGATGATGAATTCGAAGCCAATGTACATGCCGAAGTGAAAAATCTTCGAGCAAAAATCAATGCCAGTGACCGATTTCTTGTTCTAAGCCCTCATGAGCCTTTTGATACATCCAGCGACTATTACACTTCATCCGTGGAGCAAAATCTGGCCCTCATCGCTGATGGTCAGCGTTTCACCTCTTCTCCTGTGAATTATTACCTGGTATTTTCATACTTGAAATCCCAGATCCAGGATCTTGCACCAAAGTCGAACCGTAATTCAGTGGAAACTACGGAGCAATTCTATATCAAGCATGTGGATGACAAGGGAGACCACCTAATGGTGGCCGACGAGCTGAATATTATCGGGATCATAGATTGGCAAATGGCTCGGGTCGTTCCTGCCAGTGAAGCATTTGGACCATCTTTGGCGACAGCAGAAATGAGCGATATTTATGACGGCGTGTCGTCCTTGACAATTCATGATCACGAATTAGCTCGCTTCTTGAAAGCTAAGGGAGCAGCTGAGTTGGCTGATATTATGAGCAAAGATGAGAAGCTACGAAGATTCTTCTGTCTTGATGTTGATTTCCCTTGGGATGAGACACTCCTATTAATCCGAGGCATCTGGACTGCATTTGGAATCGAGAGAAACACGGACTGGAAAGCATGGAAGATGGATATGCTGGATCAAAATATTCATGATAGACGTCTGAAGCAGATTATTGATAGGTTCGGAGAAGGACCGTGACAAAAATTTCACCATGTTGCTGTCTATAAACCGACAAAATCTGGTGGCTCAAGCTCTGACTGATTTTGTCTATATGATTTAAGAAAGACAGTATTGTGGTCTGTCATGATTTAGGTCTCCTTACGATCAGTTTTATCGTAGGATTACAATGCGGAGGGGAATTCGTGGTGTGTCGTAGGACACAGGTTGCCCTGCGATCAATCCAATCGTAGGATTGCCATGGAAATTAGACCAGGTATAAAATTTACTCAGCTTCGACATAACATGGATTTGACGATCGACATTGAATGCTATGCACGCTTCTACGTTTAAATTGTATAGAGAGCCAACTGCGCAATCTCGCAAGATCTCTTGTGCCGCATAGATGGCTCATCTTTTATTTGAGAAGCACCATATGTTCTCTTACGTGCCTGAGGCACCATGAGCCCGAGACGTTGGGTTAGCTAAGTGTCCAGACCCATACTTATCAATCAGCTCTATATATCATAAGGTGTATTATATAGCTAAGAGAAGCGGGATTCAGTAGGCTAATAAATAGCGATTTCCTATGGCAATAGAATAGCCATCGTAAGTAAGCAGGAAGAGCAAAGGAGACCGACTGTGCTGTCTGTTCAAGAGAGAACAAGAGAACAGGAAGGAAAGGGGAAAGGGGAAAGGGGAAAGGGGAAAGGGGAAAGGGGAAAGGGGAAAGGAAAGCCCTCATATAGGCTATAAAGGGGGTTCTTGGAAACAGCTAGCGCGCAGGACGAAGGGGAGATCCTATAGGGAGATTCCATTAATACCAAAGACTAAACCTGTTCTGAGTACATGCTTGGTAATATAATTATTTTTACGAGTACTGCTGTAGTCTCCCCCCAGTAGTTAGGAAGTCTTGTTGACATAGAAGTGGGACATTTTAGTTCGGTCTATTACAAGAAGATGTAGCCAAAAGTTGCCGCACTCTTCAACAGCCAGCAGGATAGCCTAGTGGCATCCACGGTTCCACCTTCCGAATTGGTGTAGTGGCTAACATCGTCGTCTCTCACACGACAGCCAGGGGTTCGATTCCCCTATTCGGAGTTATCATTTTGTTTTTGCATTTTTTTTTGCATGGAGATTGACTTAGATTGGATAATAGCGTGGGCGATGCAAATTTCTTTTTGTTATCGCTGCTATATCCTCATGCGACATTGAAGGAAAGGCTCCAGGTATGTTTTTATTTCAGTAGCTAGAAACTAAACTCTGTGCATACAGTTCAGCGGCCGCATCTAGAACGTGTCAGGGATATCTCTAGTTTTTTCAAGAGGTAGAGTTCTTACTGCCCTAGGCTACGACAACCTTGGCAATACTCAAGGCCAGATAATCGAGCGTGCGGCATGGATTAGGGCTGAAGCCCGTCTCTTGACATCCGTATAGGTCCACACTTCGCCACTGAAGGGCAACATCGTACACAGAGGCATGCTCATAACGCTCCTATCTGCGGCGTTGTTGGACCATAATTCAAGACCTATCATAGCATTGTATAGTATCTATCCTGCATAAATGACTCGATAAGCTGGATCATGTACTCGTCGTTTCCCATCGCTATACAGCTTGCGTTCATCAGGAAGGCAGCAAAATCCTAGCAACAGGGCCATGACTAGCCGCCTGGTCTTGCGTTAGGGGGTTTCAAAGGGCTTATCCAATCAATACCCCTACTATAATGCTGTACTACCGGCCCGGACCTACACATTAGGAGCTCAGGTCGGGTTTTGCACTTGGTACAAAGACCGAAGCAATTCCACCATAGTCGCCCCGGTGATAGAGGCGTCTCTCAATTGTACTGCGGGGTCAGAATAAGCAGATATAAACAAGTACTTATAAAGTCTACAGATTATGTGTAGGCCTCATAGTGACCCTCAACAATTTTTCATCCAGACACTGCTCGTCGCGTCGATACCATGGATTGTACCGCCAAAAGTGGATTCCATATACAAGTCTCACTCTTCATCGCGCCAGAGAACCTGCAAAAGTTCTTTACTGCATTCAAACCAGTCTATGATAAGACAATAGCCGAGCCTCAGTGTATCTCTCTCGATGTCTTCCAGTCACCCGATGACCCTGGCCATATATTACTCTCAGAGTCCTGGTAAGTTTGGACTCTGATTGCTAGAAGACTCTTCACCATTCGACCTAAGCCAACATATGCGTAGGGAAGCCGAGTTCGATTGGTTCATCAAGGTAACTTCATATTCGATTGATGGAACACTATGAATGCTCAGAATTGACAAGACGAGAAATAGAAGAGAGCTGCTAGAGAGGATTTTAAGGAGTACACTGCAATCATTGAACCGTTATTCATTAAGCCTCGGGAAGTGAAGATCTTCAACCGTCTTCTAGAGTTCCGCAAGGTAGAGCAATGACCGAAATTGCTCGGGAACTGAGGGGTAGTAGATTCAAGTATCCAGACCAAGAGTGGCAGAGAATGGCAGAATTTGCATTAGCCTGAATAAGGAAAGAATATCGCCTTGAACCGTATTTCTTATTCTCAATTCCTCACCCGTCGCTATGTTTTGATCCCAATGTCTGGAAGACACACCCACGACAAAGTTCCCTTATAATAATTGTATGGAAGTGCCTGGGAGCTTCATTGACGAGAAGAGATAGAGATAGTTGAAATGGGTTGTATTGCTATAAGCCATGAGTGCAATGCCTCACTGAAAATTGTCAAAAAGTAAAACAAAATGAAACCGCCAGAAAGACAACATAAGACCCAGAAAAAATGAAACGCAGCGATGCAAGGTATATCAAGTCTATGGCAGATGATGAAAAAAAGCCATGAATGCGGATGTATGAGAAGTTCTAGCGTCGACGCCAGACTGAAAGGTTGACCAGCAATTGTTGATCATACGGACATAAGAAAACCCTAAAAGGAGAGTTGGACACGAATAGTGCCACCTGCCAGCGCAAAAAAACACTGACAAATTTTAGTTAAGAAAAATCATCGTCTATGCGAGTCGGTGGTCGATCTTCTTCCGCACAACATTATGAACCTGCCTCTCGCGGAAGATACTCCACACACAAACGCAGATTCCAGCCAGACCCGAGAAGAACGTCAGGTAATAGGCGGAGCGGTAGCAGGCCAGACCATCGGGACACTCGCGGTCACCTTCGTGGCCGATAACGGAGTGTCGGTCGTAGACGGTACCGTATAGAAGGTTGAAGATGTTTCCACTGAAGACAGGGGCCAGAGTCATGACACCCCAGTTTTGGGAGAGACCGCCAATGCCAAAGGTGTGTGCGGTCAAAGAGGGGAAGACGCCGAACAAGAAGCCGTATGCGACACCGGTAAAGGCGGAGACGACGACTAGCGTGTTCGGGTTAGAGATTGAGGAGCCGGCGAGCTGGGTCAGGGTGAAGACGATGGCTGAGATTAGAAGACACCAGAAGCGGGACATATTTAGTTTCTTGACGAGAATGTCGGAGCCGATACCTTGAGGATTGGTTAGATTGTGTTGATGGATTTGAACTTTGAGAATTACGTACCGCTGGAGAGACGGCCGAGGAAGTTGCCGAATGAGAGAATCGAGACATGCATGACCTGTCGCTGTTGAATAAACTTGGAAGTGGCACTGTCATCGTAGTAGAGCCAGAGGGCCTTGGCCTAGAGGAGGGTTAAGATTTTAACAAGATGTGAAGGTAGAAGGAATCTTACGCTATTGCCAATATTGCTGTAAAGATTTTGTCAGCGAATGAGACGCAGAGCTTCCAAGCGTGATGCACAACTTACTTGATAGTCATCAATCCAATTCCAGACAACAGAGCCATGGTCAGGAATAGCTGCCAGAATTCAACATGGCGCAACATAGTCAGCCCACGAATATCCGGGTGGTGCGCCTCCGCGGCCACATCACCCAGGAAGTCGTCATCCAGAGTGTCGAAAGAGGGTCTACCATCGGGCTTAGACACGAGTGAGGAGGTCTCATCAGAATCGGCACCATAAGCTCGGTGGTTTGAGACATTTGATTGTGTGCGCGCGTGTGCCGATCGTTCATGATCGAATGCGGTCGAGTTGTGCTCGTCAGAGTTCCCTGGTACATTGCTTGCTCGGCGCATTCGCTGAGAATTACCATGATCGCCAGGACCATGGTGGGGAAGGGACGAGTAGGATTCGACGGGGAAGATTCGAAGGAGTGGAATTGAGCAGAAAGAGAGGATGGAGGTTCCAAGCGCCAATAAGAGGAGGAAGCGACCGGTGTCATCCTTGAAGATTAACGTGGAAACATTAGACCAGAACAGAGCACTCAGTCCAAAGGCAGCCAGCGGAAATGCGGTTGCTGTACCGCGGTGATCGGGGAAATTTGAAGCAGCTGGAAGGTCAAGTTTAGCTTCGAGTCTTCGTCGAGAGGAGCATGAAGGGAAATACCTGTCTTGATGGCACCGCCAAATGCAGAGCAGCCACCAGTTCCCGTCAAGAAAGCAAAAAAGCATAGGAAGATGATTGGCACCGACCCCTCTCCCGATTGATAAGCTATAGAGGTCAGCAACGACATTCCCCGCGCTATAATGTCCGAATATGCATACCTAGGTAGATTGGATAGTATCCCAATGCCAGCAAGATCGAACCGATCAGAGTGATCAGTCTTGGACCACGGGCATCCGTCAACAATCCCATTGGGATACCCATCGCATACATGCCCAGATTTCCCGCCGCACCCTGCCAAGCTGTCAACATCGGAGTTCCGCCGCTAAAAAGTCCGGGGTCACACGACTCACGATCAAATTACTCTCGGTCGACGAGAGCTTCATGCGATGCGCAAACTGGGGTGCCCATGCGGAGTATGCATACTGTAGAACCACCAACGGTCAGTTATCGGCTATCATGTACAGAATTGGGGTTGGGATTGCGAATAGCTAGGAATCACGAACATTGGTTCCGCAGGACAGAGCTACCAGAGTGCCTGCGACGACCGAGATAGTCCGGGCAGTCTTATGATAAGAGCCGGTCATGGTTGCGGTCATCTAGAGAGTGTGCTATTTTCTCGGAAAGCCGTCCCGCAATTGTGCGTCGTACAGCCTACGGAGAGGGATGCGATTGCGTCAACGCGTGTTATCGGAGCAGAAGATCGAGTTCAGGAAGTTGGGACTAGGAGGAGGATAATGAGAGGACGGGGAGAGGAGGAACATCGGACTCGAACAAAAAGAGGGACGAAAGTCGATAGCCGCGACAAGCAAGTTGAATGAAGGAGAGAGATCGAGTTGAGAAGAGGTTCAGGGAGCGTCGTAATCGGCCTACGAGGAGGCCACGATAACGGGGAGAAGCCAGCGCGACTCCACCGGCCTCTGCCGAACAGGCTGAACGGCTCCGACAAATGCCAAGCCTTTTTGTCTTGTCACGGGCTCATAAGGTTGACTCTCTCGCAGCAGATGATCGCATCTAGATGGACTGGGACTGGCTGGCTGGAAATTTTATTTTGGAGGGTCTACATAAGTATACTTTCCAATCATTTGTTGTTTATCCTCGTCTATTGTAGACTGTGTCAGTCCCCCATACTGTGGCGTCCCCGGCTATAGGAATACTTTAGGTAATACCTATTCAACCAGTAGATCGGAGGGTCATTCGCTAGTTTAGAAGAGAATAAGAGCACACGATATTTATTTCGAGTATAATTATCTCATGTTTCATTCATAGCTTGTATGTCGCTAAATTGAAACTGTCGAGATGACATACTGTCCATAGGTATGACTACCTTGCTATACGAGCCTAGGTAGGCTCAATACCCACTTCAACTATATTGCTCCCTTTATTTCCTACATAATATCCCTAGATACCTACCATTTACCTCTTTTCTCCTTAATTCCAATCACCAGAAATCCCTCTAGATCAAGTCAGGAACTGACCATGAATTCCCTTGAGACGAGCATACTTCGTACCGTCCGGGCGATCTCCGGACCCGCTGACGTAAGATGACCTCTTCACACGTGACCGGAGCATGACGAAGGCGGGTTGGGGATCTTCGGCACCTCCACTTGACTTGCGCGGAACGCCTCCCAGGCACCACTGGTTTTCTCTCACTTGCAAACCCCCTCTTATCCAGAATCCAGGTCCCGGCTATTCTCTGGCCTTGATCTGATCTTCTGCACTTCATCATGGGTGCCCTCTTGTCTCTACCGCTGATGGCGCTGCCCAGCGTCGGCACGGTAAGTCGCATTCGAGTCCACCGGATGAGCGGTAAACTGACTCCACTTGCGAATAGCTCATCACCCTCGGCGGTTCATGCTGCGGCGCTGCGACTTGCTCTGCTGTCTGCAGTGCATGCGGAAAGTTTCAGAATAGGTACTTGATCTGGTAAATGACGTGACCGCAGAGCGTAGCTAACTGCGACACAGTATGGCAACACGAATCGCATACGCCTTCATCCTGTTGATCAATTCTATCGTATCCTGGATTATGCTCACGCCATGGGCTATGAAGAAATTGCAACACTTGACTTTGGATTATATGGAAATCAAATGCGACGGCAAGGAATGTCACGGTTGGGTTGCAGTTCATCGCATCAATTTCGGTCTCGGTCTCTTCCACTTGATTCTCGCTCTCTTGCTCCTCGGCGTCAAAAACACCAGAGATAGTCGTGCCGCCCTTCAGAATGGTTTCTGGGGCCCGAAGATCTTGTTCTGGCTGGGCTTCGTCGTCATGTCCTTCTTTATCCCCGAGCCTTTCTTCTTCGTCTACGGCAACTATGTCGCCTTCTTCTGTGCGATGCTCTTCCTGCTCCTGGGTCTGATCCTTTTGGTGGATCTTGCGCATTCATGGGCCGAGCTTTGTCTGCAGAAGATTGAGGACAGTGACTCGCGTCTGTGGCGGGGCCTCCTCATCGGATCGACTCTTGGCATGTACCTGGCCTCGCTCGTCATGACGATTCTTATGTACATCTTCTTTGCCAAGAGCGGGTGCTCCATGAACCAGGCTGCGATTACGGTCAACTTGATCGTATTCCTGATTATTTCGGCCGTGTCTGTTCAGCCCGCCGTCCAAGAGTCCAACCCTCGCGCCGGGCTGGCCCAAGCCGCTATGGTCACTGTGTACTGCACCTATCTCACGCTTTCCGCCGTCTCGATGGAGCCGGATGACCACAACTGCAACCCCTTGGTCCGTTCGAGTGGTACCCGTACCGCTACCATCATCCTGGGCGCAATTGTGACCATGGCTACCGTTGCGTACACTACCACGCGTGCGGCCACCCAGGGCATTGCCTTGGGCTCGAAGGGTGGACATGGCTATATTGAACTTGGTGTGGACGATAACGAGCATGGTCTTGTCACCCAGCAGCCCAACAGCCGCCGGGAGATGCGTGCCGAAGCTCTCCGAGCTGCCGTCGAGAGCGGCAGTCTGCCGGCCAGTGCTTTGGACGAGAGCGACGATGAGGATGACTTTGAAACTAGCAGCAAGGATGACGAGCGTGGCTCTACCCAGTACAGCTATACTCTCTTCCACATTATTTTCTTCCTGGCCACGACCTGGGTGGCCACCCTGCTGTCGCAGGGTCTCACGGTTGAGACCGACTGGGACTTTGCTCCTGTCGGCCGGACTTACTGGGCCAGCTGGGTGAAGATCTTCAGCTCTTGGGTCTGCTATGCGATCTACCTCTGGTCATTGGTTGCACCGGTGGTGTTGCCCGATCGCTTTGCTGCGTATTAAATGGTGAAGAATGGGTTGAGATTTTAGGCGTTCTGAGCGATCACTATTTGTTTTTTATCGGTAGTATATTTTCATTCGGTGGCAAACTATGCAATTTCATATCGTACAAGAAATATATACCTATATCTCTCTCTTGTAGAAACCGAATGCTCGGTGCGTACTAAGGTTCCGTGGATGGAAATGCGGAGTGTCGGCGGAGCTTGGCAGATCACTTCACGCGTAAAGTGCGACGCGCCTCACCTCGCCAATGACATGTCATGAACTATGGCCACTATTCAGGCGATCGAGGCTCGTTCGGTTAGTATCTTGGTTTGTTACACGACGAAACCATGCTCTCGCTAACTCGAGCGTTTACAAGGTCCATCAAATCCAATCTGGCCAGGTGATCGTCGACCTGTGCTCCGTTGCCAAAGAACTGGTCGAGAACAGCCTCGACGCGGGCGCAACTACGATAGGTGAGCGACTCCCTTGAACCAAAGCGGGGATTACTCTCCAAACATCCTCTATATCAGCCCCACTGACTCTTCCATTCAGAGGTGCGATTCAAGAACAATGGGCTGGACTTGATCGAGGTGCAGGACAACGGCACAGGCATCTCACCAGAGAACTACGAGAACGTCGGTGAGCTTCGAACCAGTTGACATTATACAGCCAGGTCTATCAGCTGACTCTGCAATCTTACTCCCAGCGCTAAAACACTACACCTCCAAATTATCCTCCTTCGACGACCTCTCCAGCCTCCATACCTTCGGCTTCCGCGGCGAAGCTCTCTCCTCACTATGCGCCCTCGCCGAATTCCACGTCATCACAGCCCAAGCCAACCAAGTCCCCCGCGCAAACAGACTAGACTTTGAAACCTCCGGCAAGCTCCGCAGAACCCAGATCGTGGCCGGACAAAAAGGAACGACGGCCTCGGTGGAGGGCATCTTCAAACGACTCCCAGTCCGCAGACGCGAACTGGAGAAAAACATCAAGCGGGAATATGGGAAAGTGTTGAATCTACTCCATGCCTACGCTTGCATTAGTGCCGGGGTTAAATTCAGTGTTCGGAATACCGTCGGCAAAACGAAGAATGTGGTTGTTTTCTCGACGAATGGGAATCGTACTACGAAGGAGAATATTGCGAATGTGTACGGGGCTAAGACGTTGACCGCGTTGATTCCGCTCGATCTCGAGCTGGAGTTTGAACCCTCTGCTCCCATGAGACGTGCTAGCGGCGGCGATACGCAATCCAATCAGTTGGTGGTCAAGGGCCACATCTCTCGACCCGTCTTCGGAGAAGGACGCCAGACACCGGATCGACAGATGTTTTTTGTGAACTCGCGGCCTTGTGGGTTGCCTCAGATTGCAAAGGCGTTCAATGAGGTGTATAAATCGTTCAATGTCTCGCAATCACCGTTTATTTTTGCGGATTTTCAGATGGATACGAATGCTTATGATGTGAATGTGTCTCCAGATAAGAGGACGATTCTATTGCATGATGCGGGGGCTCTGATCGAGTCGCTGAAGGCGTCTTTGGTGCAGCTCTTCGAGGCTGCGGATCAGACGGTTCCTCAATCGCAGGTGCTTGGCTCCAAGACTCCCATTGCGGCTAAGCAGCAAGCACTGGGCGCGCTTCCGGGGTTCGTCACTGCTCGCCAGCTTAGCCAGAGTACTCTCGGGTCTGCTGCTACGCCGGATCGTGATCGGAGCGTTGATGAGTCTGAAATGGAATCGGAGGCCTCGCAACGAACTGTGCAGAACAGTATCAAGCGGTTTATGAGTACTCAAGGCGGGTCTGATGAAGTGGATGCTTTATCCACTCCAACGAGATCTACACGAACGTCCCAGCAGACACCAAGACCATCATTGGCTGAGCGTACTCCCTCTGTCAGGCCGGAAGAGAAGGCCAATCAGTCCGAACGCGAACCAGAGCATGATATGGAAGAAGAAACGTCCCAACCACCTCCTCGGCCCTCCCCACCCGCAGAACCAGACTCCGCACCACCACAACAGCCAGATGAACCCGAAGAAATACCCAACGCGGTTCAGAATGCCTTTGACCGAATGCGCCCTCGTCGAATGCCAGCTGAGATGGCCACCATCACTATTGGTGATCACACGGTGACCTCCATGATCGGTAGCGGTCGTCCGCGAAAACGACCATCTGATATCGGGTATTCGTCCAATGGGCAATCTAAACGTAAGCGACGCATTCATACACCGTCCCGACCTGGTATATTTGGGGAGCAGATGAAGGCGTTTGCGGCGCCTGGGACGCAGATGGACGATGACGAAGAGGAGGAGGAAGAGGAAGGAAGTGAGGATGCTGCAAGCGAAGCCAATGAAGAAGGCCTCGTGGACGAAGAGGCCGAAGAAGCTCAGGAGGAGGAGGAGGAGGAGGAGGAGGAGGAGGAGGAGGTCTATTCATCTGAACCTGAGGATACCGACTACATTCCCGAAGGGGACCGTGAGCCTGCTGGCCAGGCGGAAAATGATCAAAAGCCAATTGACGAGACACCGAGAGCCGAGACAGATGAAGATGCCCTCGGTGAAGCCGAGAAAAAGGCCCAAGAAGAAGCCATGGTTCAGCAGCTCATCCATCAAGCCGAAGAAAAAGCCGTGCTTCCATCCGAGCACAATACCAGTCGCGCAAACAAGATGAATAAGGGCGCCGCACATCGCGATGCTACCGTTCAACTCGTCACCATTATCGATACCTCGGTCTCCAAGCTTCAAGCGCAGATGGCGAAACTGCGAGAGAGCCTCGCGACACAAAATGTGCCATCCCAAAAGGCAAACACCGATCTGGGCGACGAGAAAACCGCAGAAGACCGCCTCTCGCTGACCGTCAGCAAAGCGGATTTTGCTCAAATGCGCATCATCGGCCAATTCAACTTGGGCTTCATAATTGCCGTCCGGCCGGGAGAAGAGCACGATGAATTATTCATCATTGACCAGCACGCCTCGGACGAAAAGTTCAATTTCGAGCGTCTCCAAGCTGAAACGGTCGTTCAAAACCAGCGTCTCGTCCGACCCCAGCGCCTTGATCTCACTGCCGTCGAAGAGGAGATTGTACTCGAGAACCGCTCCGCCCTCGAAAAGAACGGGTTCATCGTCACCGTGGACGAAAGTGGCGACGAGCCTATCGGTCGACGATGCCAATTGGTATCACTCCCGCTTAGCAAAGAAGTTGTCTTTGGTTCTCGCGATCTGGAGGAGTTGATCGTCCTCTTGTCGGAAGCCCCAGTGGTGAATGGGATTTCAGTACCCCGACCTAGCAAAGTGCGGAAGATGTTTGCTATGCGAGCGTGTCGGTCGAGTATCATGATTGGGAAGACGTTGACGACGCGGCAGATGCAGCGGGTTGTGCGGAATATGGGGACTATTGATAAACCTTGGAATTGTCCTCATGGCAGACCGACGATGCGGCATTTGATGAGTCTTGGGCAGTGGGAGGAGTGGGATGAATATGCGGGTGATGGAGAAGAGGAAGAGGGAGAAGAGAAGAGTTCTGGTGGATTGGATGTTTGGAAGAGATACGTGGAGGAGGCTGCTGGCGAGGATGAAGAGGAGGAAGAGGAAGAAGAAGAAGAAGCATAATCTGTTTGATACCCAATTTACACAGCAAAAGTATATACTTACTTGACTCTCACCACCAACTTAACCAACCCTTTGACTCCCTCTTCTTCCCCTTCCCTTTACTCCCATCCAGATCCCCATTTCCATTCCCATTCACAAGTAAATCTCCATTCCGCACCTCCCCATCCTCCTCCCCAACCCTATCTCCATCTCCATCTCCCTCCCTTTCATCCTCTTCTTCCTCCCCCCTCTCAACCCCATCCATCATCTCCTCCAAAACCAACAAATCCCTCTCAATCATCTCCGCCCAATTCTGCACATCCCCAATCTCCTTCAACCCCTCCCTAGTCTCATCCGCCCACCCCGCCCACTGCGCATTCTGCCTCGCCAACCGCGCCGTGTGCTCCGCCAGCTCGGCCTCTTGTCGCTGCAGCGCGACATCGCTGGCTGCGATCGTGGCGGCGCGGTCGCGGAGGGGCGTTTCGAGGTTTGTGCCGACGGAGTGGAGGGTTGCTGTGAATGCGGCGAGGGCTTCTTGTTTTTGGTGGTCTTCTTGTGTGGACGTGTGGGTTGGGGGTTGGTCGGGCATTTTTGGTTTGTTGTGGTGGGGGTATATATATATGTGGAGAGATAAGTAGGGGATTTTGTGAGGTGGATGATATATAGCAGTACCCAGGTAGGTAGGTGGGTAGGTTTATAGGGAGATTTGTGTTTTGATTCCCAGATCTGCGAGCTTGTAACTTGAAAGTGAATATGGAGCGAGAATATAAATCGCATTGCGGAGTTCGCGATCTGCAACTGCCAACCTGCAACCCCACTTGGCGTGGCGTCCTGTCAGCCTGTCGATGGAGAAGGTACACAAGACATCCAACTCATTTGATAGGTAGAACACTCTTGCGGGGTATCTCTAAAAGTCTAAGTGATACAAATCTGGAACTTACAGTATTTACTCGGAATATCTACACTCTAAAAAACAAGACATCCTCGAGACGAGATCATATTAAACACCAGAGCATATAATTTCTGGGCATTATCCGATTTCAGATTCAAATGCAATGCGCCCCGGAAGAAAACAAATCAGGTAGACAAGAGGGCACGATAGGTAGCGGCAGATGTTATGGACTGAGCAGACCAAAATTTTCAAAAGAAGAGGGAGAGAGGGGGAAACCACTCAACCCAGAAACAGAGTATGAAAAAGACTCGCTGAAATAAAATAGGAAAACAAAAAAGAAGACTCTCATCCATGCAAAGAGTTTCGCTCGAAAAATAAAAATAAAATAAAAGACGACTTGCAGAGTAGAGCGTACAGCCCACATGATGAAGTGCGTTGGGAAAAGACAGCAGACATTACTAACACAGTATCCGAAACCACCGCGGTGCCTGGGGCAATGGGTGTAATTGGTTTAGGGCATCATAGGTATCACAGCCCGGTCAGATTAAAGAAGACCGGAAAGAACAGCCTCGGTAGCTGGAGAAAAACACCGTTAGTAGACATTCTTCAGACATTGTCTCTGACAGAGAGAATTGATAACATACCAGAATTGATGTATGGCCGCTTCATGTCCAGGTTAACGCCGAACCGGCGCTCAAGCTCCTGCTTGATACTCTTCTTCGTCACGCTCATTAGATCGGCCGTGCGCAGGATCTCACGGATCTCAGCGAGAATCGCGTCGTCAGAGGGCAGGTGGCTCAAGTCCTCCATGCTCATGTCCATGTCCATGTGATGGCTCATCATCTCAGAGGGTGCGACAGACATGCGCGATCCAGATGCAAGCAGTGGCAGATCCAGTTGGGAGACGGGCCGCGAACCGGCGAAGCCGTACTCAGACTGGGCGAAGGGGTGGGCACGGGTGCCGTACGAGTAGCCAGAAACCTCGGAGTGGTCGTCGCGCGAGGTCTGTCCCTCTTGTGCCTCCCAGAGCTCCATCTGGTATTCTTCCCAGCGCTTCTTGGGGATCGAGGCTGGGTCGAATTTACCTTCGTCGGAGATGACGACCTTGCGGCCCTTTTCTCCGGTGATGATACGAGTGTTACCCCAAGTGAAGTCGTCCATGTTCCAGAAGGAGTAGAGAGGCAGGGCGAGGGTGAAGACGGGAATGGCAAGGATGTAGATGAACATCCAGCCGATCATCTCCCACTTACGACGAACAATGAAGATGAACGCTTGCAGACCGTAGATAACACCAAGCAACACGAAGGCTGTCCAGGGAATGACCGAAGTGTCACGTACTAGCCAGACGATCAGGTAGATGATATACGCAACCGTGACGGGCTGGATGACAGTACTGAGCAGGTCGACAAAGACGATGAAACGCATACTAAAGCAGCAGAAACCGCACAGCTGTTGCAGGGGAATCAGTTCGATCAAGTTGTGCACGGTCGAGTTGATCCATCGGCGACGCTGGGACAGGAAAACGGCAAAGCTCTCAGGGGCCACAGTCCAGGCATGACAACGGAAGATGTACTTGGTCTTGAACTTGGGGTGATGCTTGAGTAGGAGGGTAGTGAGGTATCGATCTTCACCGAGGTGCAGCAAGTTCTTCATGTGCAAGGTATCCACACGAATCTCAGAGTAACTTTCAACGACCTCCTTGCTGACGAACAAGGGCTTGCCGCTCTCCGCCGAGCGGACACGGTACATAGTGAAACAACCAGGCAAGCAAGTGACGGATCCGAAGAGACTCTCGAAAGCCTTGGTCAGGTTGTGCGAGATGTAGTATTCGTAAACTTGAATCATGGTAACCATGGACGTCTTGGCGTTGGACAGAGAAGTTTCACCACAAGCAGCGATAAGGCGCGTGTCGGAGAGGAAAGCGGAAACGAAGCGTGTGGCGGAATCTTGGGCAACGACGGTATCGGCATCGACTTGCAGAATATACTCGTAGAACGTCGGATTGACGCCAATGATGTTACGAATCTGGTGGTGCATCTCAAGCTCCATAGGGCTCATCGGCAAGTTGTAGTGGACACGGTTGAGGAAACGCATGAGAACCATCTGAGAATCACGCTTACCACGGTTACCCGGGCGAGAGACCTCGGAAGGCTTGCCAACCTTGACAACGACCAGGTAGGGAACGATGTGACCCTGAACCTCGTAGAGACCGGAGTAGATCTTGGCCATGTTGTGCTGCTTCATACCCTCGCCCAAACTCTCGAAGCTGAGAGGCTCGGGATCGACAGACTCGGGGACACCCAGAATGTCTAGGACAATACGGGGAGTTGGCCGATCGTTACCCTGGCCAATAATCATACCGTCACAAATAACCAACAGAAGCTTGCGCTTGTCATCATAACGCATGCGGGCCATGGAATCGATGGCACGGCGTAGTGAATCTTCATCTTCAGTGTATGCAGGTACTTGACAAATGATGAACTTGTCCAGATTCTCGGGAAGGTTCTTCTTTCCAAACTGCAAAGCAGCCAAGAACTTGAAGAGAATGACCAAACAAATCATGATGGAGATGGCAAGAATAAAGTACCGAGCAAACTGACACCTGGCCGAGTTACGGGTATCAACGTGTCCAACGAAGAACAGATTGTCCAAGCAAAGCTGCATCCGCGCACGAGTGGTCGCATCAATTTGCAGGTCATTCCAATACTTGGTCACGTCAGTGCCGGACTTCTGCTGGAAGAGAGTGACGAGGAGCGGGCTCATGTAGTTCGTGTTGACGTCCGAGGTAGCGTTCTTGCCCGTTGGATAACGGGGAATACGAGGTCCAGCGATGTAGTAAGTCATATCGTAGACCTTGCCGTCAATACTGACAATGTTCTTGCTGTCGTCATCCGCGAGAGTCTTCATATACTTGGCAGTGTATCCGACGTAGCCCTTTTTGTAGTTTGCACGCATCTGAACCATCTGCTCGTAGAACCAATCCGCGCGGTAGTCATCGGTCCAGTAACGGAAATCATGGTACTTGGCATTCACGTCGTAAGAGGTGGTAGAGGTGGTAGTGCTAGACTCGTTCATGTTGGAACGGTAATCCAGAGGCACGCTGGGATCCACATGTCCATCCACGCCCTGGCAAAGAGCGGAAACCTGAACCGGGAAGAGGTTGGTGGCATCCTCGCCGGCGTAGTTCTTGAGAGATTTTTGCGGGACGATATCAGGATAGTGGTAAGGCATAAAGTTACCCAAGTTGAAGACCACACCTCGAATGGCAATAAAGGAGCTTGCGCCATCCTTGCCGTTGTGGTTACTGAGTTCTCCTTGCGAGTAGACATGTTGAGTTGGACAGACGAGACCCGGGAAGGCAACAATCATGAAGACTGCAACGCCACAGGCAAACCAGATGATCATGTTGATTGCGAGCTTTTCACGCCAAGCAACCCGCACATCCTTGCGCTTCATACGGCCAATCCATTTGATCAAGAAGTCGGGGATGAAGAAGGTTAGCAGGTAGACCAAGGCCATCCAGCGCTTGCGAGAGCCGGAGACCACGACGTCGTCAACCTCCTCCATGTTCTTCTCATTACCCTTTTGAAGCATCTCTTCTTTGGTCTCAAGGTTCCGGAACATATCGCCAGAATGGAAAGCCGAAGCACCTGCGTCGGATTTGCCGTCCAGCTCGCGGCTGCCGAAATAGCCACCCTGCTTGGACTCATCACCATAGATGAAAGCACCCGGTGATTGATCAGTCGGGTTCAAGAGACGAACCTTGGTGTCGGCACCACCAGCGTGGTATCCAACGTCACCTTCATCAGAACCGGAAATCTTGTTGTAGGACGGAACAACACGCTCACCAATCTTGGCAAGATCGGCCCAGCATCGCTCGCTCAGGAAAACACCAGTACTTCCAACGCGAGCTTCGTTGCCAGGCCATCGTCGTTCGTCCAAGACGACCTCGGACTTTTCACGGTCACTACCAACCACGACATTACCAATCTCAGCCAGGCCCAAGAACTCCGCGAAGGGGAGGAAGACGCTGAAGTCGGCATTTCTCAGCCGTGAGCTGATCTCGGCAATGCCAAAGGTTTGAACCTGCATGCGAACGCATTTGCTGTCGAATTGGTTTGCAATACGGCGATCGTTGGGCTTGAGACAGATCACAAAGTACGGGTTGAGGTTTGACGAGCTCAGGCACTTGTTGATGATCTCGAGACCTGAAAGGAACTGGCCGGCTGCACCTTGAGCGTGACCAGTCATAAGTGCGCTCTTGCGTCCAGCAACGCTTCGTCTAGAGCTGGCTGCCTGACTATCGCGGTCATCCGGTTCTTCGCTCTCGCCACGATCCGAGAACACTTGGCGGGCCTGTTGGTCGTGTTTGCGGCGGGCCATGCTGGGCATCCGCAATGGCTTCGAGGAGACCTGGGCTTGCATGATCGCAGTCTTCTCCCGCGGGTGGGAAATGGTCTGCAAAGCCTCTTGTCCGAACAGCTCGCGGACAAAGTCACTGCGGGTAGACTTCATGAGATTCATCAGGTCACCCGAGATGACTTCTCCGTTCTCCTCAATGAGACCGGTGACAGAGTAGTCTACTTCACCAGCGAAATGCTTCACAGTGAAGGCAGTCCGAGCTTGGGATAGATATCCAGAGCTGGTTGTGCCACCGCCACCCACGGAGATCGCAGGGTTCTTGCCCTCGAAGCGCTTGCGAACGCTCTCGAGGAACTGAGCATCGCTGCGTCCACGGCGGGTCTGGTCGTCCAAAATGCTGAGCAGACCATTGCCGTGCTTCAAGAGGCCGCGAACTGTGTCAGTGTTGTCGAAGTAGCTGGTTGCTGCAACGGTAATCTCCTCGCGATCCAGCACATCGGCCTTGTGATCGAAGAAGGATTGCAGGCAGTAGTTGTACAGGGATTCCGTCGCAGCATTGCTGAGCAGTTGATCGAGGGTCGAGCCAGTGGCCGGTGCTTGAGCAAAGCCAGGGAAATCGACAATGGAGACAGTGTTGGCAACGCTATCCTCCGCGGCACAGATCTTCTGGTTGACGGTTTCGATCACGTAGGTGACAAGAAGCGAGTAGATAGTGCGAGCGAATGCATCGGCGTTCTCGCGAGCACCCTTAGGATCTAACATAACCGTCACACGCTCCCGGTGGATGGTCTTAGTCTTGTAACCTAAGCTGTTCTCCAAGGCCTCGACACTCAAACCCAGGAATGCAGCAACGTTGCCGAGAGCATCCTTGTTCTTCACAACGGTAACAGTCTCACCACCCTCGTGGGAGTAACCGCCACTCTCCTCAGCAGCAGTGGTGGTCGACTGTCCCGAGATGAAATCCAGCTGGCCAATGTGCAGGATACTGGCCAAGATCTGACAAATCTCGGCAATCTCACCGCGGGAGAACTCAAGCTTGCGCAGAGCGGTCTTGAAGTGCTGGAAGCCCTCGTGATCATTCACTCCGACCTTGAGCTGGGTTGGGTGGCCAAGATACCGCCATCGCTTATGGGTCACCGAATCGGATGCAAGTTTGCCGCCGCCGGTGGTGATATGGATAGAGTTATCGAAGCCCAGGTGAGCCTTCTCAGCCGCGCTTGTACCGGCCAGGAGGTAGTATAACACGTGGAAGCTGCGCTCGCCAGTCGGCACGGACGAGATGCGGCTTCGCTCCAATCGGTAGTCGATAATCTTACCGCCAATCAAGGTGGGGTTGACGGAGGACGAGCCATCGTACTGCAATTCAAGGAACAGACCGGCCTTGGAGGCAGTCGGGGTGGTCACAGATTTGGTGGTCGTCAGGGTATCGAATACAAAAGCAGCGTAGGAGAGTTTAGAGGAGAGCGGGGTCGAGGAGAAGGACAGGAAGGACGATAGCAGGTGGGAGCGAATGGTGGTTTTACCCGAACCACTTTCTCCTCTAGAGGGTGGAAATATCCAAGTTAGTAGCTGATATCGTGGTGATGCTTTGCCGCATATATTCTACTCACAGGAACACCACGGCTTGGTTTTCCCCACGCGCTCCCAACCGAGTGAAAGCGCGACGGGCGAGATCCTCTGCTTCACCAGCAGCACTACCTTCCTTTCCACCATCTGGACCTTTGGTTGCCGATGTGTACGTGTTGAAGGAGATCAATGCTTGAGATGAGAGTCGGGCAGTGGGAAGTCCGACATGGAAGCTAGCGAGATTGTTAGCATGCTTATTTCCCTTTTGAAATTGGCCGTTTCCATAGATCTCAAGCATACCGACTGGCGAGATGGGCTGTCAAATGGGTATCCGACTGAAGATGTGCGGGGAGCGAAGGAAGTGAGGACTGGGCATGGGCCGGGGTGCTCCCGGTGGTATTGCCCGCCATGATGGAGGAGGAGGCTATTGACCTCTCCGCAGTGAGGCCGATCGGATAGAAAAGCGAGTGGATGAAGGCCGGGTCAGATAGGCCCTCTCACAGTGACAGAGAGAGAGAGAGGAAACTTGGCCGTCGAAGCGCAGGCCGTGCAGAGTCTCGACACGCCTCGGAATGAACGTGGAGTTCAAGAATGCCCGCCGGAATGAAGACCCCTTAGCGATTACAAGGAAACGGGGGACATCAAGGGCTCAGTGGGCAGGAATGGCGTGGCACTGTGAAGAGACAACGCCGAGCCAGGGTTTTGATGCAAGAGAAACGAGTGAAATGCAACCCCAAAAAATACAAGCAGATCGAGAGAGAAGCCAAAGGGAAGACAAAAGCCAGCAGACCTCGGGGATCGCAGAAAAAGATAAGCGGAGAGGGCTTGTCTGGGGCAGTACACAGGGACTGTACTTTGGGGTATGTGTATTGTAAACGAAGGTATTAGTACTGCCAGTATCTTTTTCCTAAGTCTCACGGAGCTAGTAAATGGAGGGTGGTACCCCTAAAAATTGGTATTGGGGTTTGCAAATATGCCGCGTACTGAAAATAGTTCCACTTGTATTGTTTATTACCATATTTGCTACATGGGCCACTAGCTTAGAGCTGAGGGGGCAAGTACAAGACAAGAGACACACACTAGGCTTGGTAGATACCCAGTGCTATATTCAGATTTCCAACGACGATGCTTATTCAGAGGGTTGGCATGGAAAAAAATAGAACCAAATACCAAACAAGAGTGTATCCAAGTGGCAAGCGATGAGCTGTTTACTGTAAACACCCCCGGGTGGAGGGTCTCAGGTAAACAGAGAGGCTCCACTCGTCGAGAGTCCTAAAAGGGTCCTGGTCCCTGGGTGACTAAGGACAGCCCTGTCCCAGGGTACAATACTGGGCTAAGGTAGGGTAGCCATGGCTATAGATAGCTCACAACCATATTTCTATTCCTCAAACCATTCTTCCACTGTAAACAAATACAAGGCCACCCTCTGGCAGCTGTCCTGCTCCTTACTCGGTCCGATGCATCCACTGCAGGTCGCATTAATAGTAACATGTCAGAAACCGCGCGATCGCTCTGGGCCTTTGGCCCAGACGAGAGGCAATGGGCCGACCACGGCCCACTTGAGAGGTAAATCTGTCTCTGCTGAGTGGACAAAATGGAGCACCCGATCGCATTAGCCTCGGGGGCCCGACTACTGAAACTAGGGGGGTTCGTGGCTGACCATGATTTTTCCTTGTCCGTCACACGGTCGGCAAAAGATCGAAATAAATAAAAATAAAAAATAAAACGATGAGCAATTATGAATTGTACTTGGCTATAAGGTAGATGTGACTACGTGTGGTGTACTACGGAATATAGTACATACTTTATGAGCAAGCCAGAACACTGGCCATTGACACTCTACTTTGTCACCCATCCCTGCAGTGGCAATACTTTGGTACGGCAACCCCTTTGTGAGACATCCCAAATATAGCACCCACCACTTCGTAACTTTGTGTCGTTACTAGTCGCATGCTAAGCGGCCCTAGTGTCAACCGGTCTGCATATCCACAACCTTTCGCTTGTGGCCGATTGGTTGGCATTGTAAAGCAGACTCGGTCAGCCACCTGACAATGTGATATGCCACCCATGAGATTCACTGTCCCTAAATTGAAAATTTGAAGCTATACGTACCACTAACTCTATTTGAGACTGCCATGGTAATTTATACATCATGGCACTCCTAAATGAACAATGCATAATCAACACTGGATGGTTACATAATCCTGGCAACGGAAAAATACTCCCCCCTTCCATAAACAATTCATCGAAACATGAAATATGTGAGAATAGAGCAAGTTCAAACCCAAATGAAATAACTTCATTCCTCGTTGCTTGTCAACTGCAAATTCCCCACTCGGGCAGGGTACAAACTGGGAAAAATCCCCCCCCTCTCAAAAGCTTAGGATCGTGTCGGGCAGATCTCAATTTGCGGATCGACAGGATTATTTGTTCACTTTGAAAAAACAAGAGGACCTGTAATTTTCACAAGCGTCTTACCGACCCTTACACGGTTACTCCAGAGTCCACATCCGCTCTGTACCCTTTCTCCCCACGCCCTCGTCTTCTTGCTTGAGGCTTATCTCCTTCATTTTTTCTTCTCTGTGGTCTCAGCACGTCCCTTTCCTCGTCACCACCATCTCCATATCCTCCTACAACTTCCCTATTCTTCACCTTCACCCTCCACTCGCTTAGGAGTTCTTCCCCCCCCAATACCTCCAGTCGCTCGCTCAATTCTCCGGAGTATACATCCACGGAATCTCGCTTTGTTGACACGCCAACTCTCTCAACCCCGACACTCGCTATTCCTGCTCCACCTGCGATCGGCTTTGACATCGTGATTCCGATTCCCATGTCGCTGTGATTCTCTCCAATCTGTACTAGACCGCACCTCATAGTCGGACTCCTAGCCCCTCCTGGTTCGCCATGTCGAACCGTTACTCGGTCTTCTCCACACAGTCCGCCGGCTTCTCAGCTGGCCCTCGGCCGGCCTCTCAACATGCAACCCAGGTTTCAACAACGACGTTGCTAAATGCATTGCACTCGTTTTACACCGCTGGTCAGCCATACCAGCTGGATTCAGGTACTAGCTTGGCCGTGAACACATGGGTCACTGCCGCTACTACCTTACCCGATGGCCGTAATGGGGCTGCCGTGGATCGTGACCTGGCCATCCGGGCCTGGGAACATGCTCGGAGGCGAGCCGAAGATGGTTGCATTATCCTAGGGTTTGTTTACACTGCCACAAGAAACATCACTCTCGGTTCGTTTTGCTAATAGGTAAATAGCTCGCTTCATCAATCGACTCCGTCGTTGCTGGAGCCCTTCCTTACTGCGCTGCCCGTCTCCACCCCAGAGATAGCCTACACATCTCTCGCAGCGCTCAGACCCTTCCTCTCCGCAGTGACTTCGTTCAACCCGTCATATTCTCTACACTCTGCCTTTTCCGCCTCTTATACATTGACTTTGCAGGGCACTGTCATCGGCCTGTCTTTGGCTCTCTCTACCTCCGGTATCAATGTGCGTAAAGGTCTCCTGGAGATCCCCGACGAGGCCGGCTTCCGTGCATTTGATGTCTTCTACTATCTCCTGACTTCCGCTTCTACGCCCGCGGAGCGTGAATTCCTGGATCTTCAAGAACTATCCCACTATTCTCTGCTCAATCGATCAGGCACCTATTCGCCCCCATCTTACCTCCCGACTGCCGATGATGCAGCTGCAGCCGAGGATCTACGCGCAAATCTCAAGGCTATCGGTATCAAGGGTGCTTCACAGCGAGGTTTGCTTTCCGTTCTTGCTGGTCTGCTCAAACTCGGCAATGCTGCTGGTCTGATGGTCGACCAGGAGGAATTGGAAGATGTCTGTGAAGACGTTGGTGGTCTCCTTGGAGTCGATCCCGAGGTCTTGCTTCACAAGTGCTCCACCGATGAACGCGAGGTCTTGATCGCTGGAATTTACGAAGCCCTTGTGGACTGGGTTATTGGAAAAGCCAACGAGGCCATCGCGGCTGATATCCACAATGCTCTGGAGAACGATTCTAGCAATGGTGGTGCCGGTGCGGCTCATTATTCCAACGAGGATACTGTTGGCTTGACAGTTATCGACATTCCTCGCCCCGCTTTGGGTAAAGCCATCGCGATGCGGGGTGTCTTTGACGATGAGCTAGGCCTCAATGCTGAGATGAAGGAAGATGGCATTGCCCTCCCAGCCATCGGCCAATCCGTTGTCAATGAAATGAACACCGCGGTGGCTCAGGTCGAGCCCGATCTCGGCATCATGAGTGGTGCTGCCGGTCGGGAACGCGAACATGACCTGGACAAGCGTCAAGGCGTTTTGGAGAAAGTCGCATTGGAAGCCGAGGCGGACTCCTTCCTGAGACAGCTTTTGTTCCCGGTTGAGGGTGAGGGTATCTCCCTTGGCAAATGGGGACGCTTCGATCTCGCCACAGTTTTGGGTAGCAGCCGTGTCTGGTATCACCTTTCCCTTCACCCCACCGATGACCTTCCGGAACAGCTCACCGCCAACACTGCAGCCTGGTCTGCGGGTGCAGTCTCGCGCCAATTGAGAGACTGGCGACTGCCCGAGTGGGCCAACCGACGTCTGAAGCAAGTCGACTTCACTGCGGACTTTGACGTGGAAGAGTTTGTCGGTCGGTATGCCCGGCTGGGCTGTGCTGAAGGACAAGATGGCGTTGAGAACTGGATCCTCGAGAGAGGGTGGAGCAACGGAGATGCCGTTGTTGGCCAACAGCGTATCTGGATGAGAGAGGGTGCTTGGTGGGAGGCCGAATCGATGCTTGACCTCAAGCCAGATGAAATGCCCTCCAACCCCTTCGGATATGGCGCAACCATGTACGAGCCCGGTTACACTCCTGATGGCAACCCCATCGGTGAAAGCTCCAATCTTCTGGGAGCTGATATGATGATGCACAGCCAGAGTGTCATCGCTCCTAGTGTCATGGGACCTGCCAAGTCTATTGCCCCGACTGGAATCACCCACACGGGCGGTGGTGATTATGGTCTTGGCCACAAAGGTGACGATAATAAGGGTGATATCGCTTATTACGATGACTATGGCCGTTACATCGGCGATCTTGACCCCGAGTTCGGTGACCCCAAGCACATCGAGAAGAAGAAGATCTCACTCGGTCGCCGCGTTTGGGCTGGCTTAGTCTGGGCTCTTACCTTCTGGATCCCGTCATTCGTTCTTCGGTACATTGGTCGCATGAAGCGTCCAGACGTTCGATTTGCCTGGCGGGAGAAGCTCGTCTTGGTCCTTATCATCCTGCTCTTCAACGGTATTGTCTGCTTCTACATCATCGCCTTCGGTGACCTTTTGTGTCCCAACAAAGATAAAGCCTGGAACACGAAAGAGGTTAGCTGGCATACCGGAGACAACAACTTCTACGTCAGTATCCATGGCCGAGTCTACGATATTTCCAAGTTCTGGAAGCTGCAGCACAGTGACACCAGCATTGAGACTACCTCGTCCAACATGGAGCCCTTTGCGGGATTGAATCTGGATGCCTATTTCCCCCTCCCCTCACCCAGTACTGTGGCGCCTTTGTCACCGACCAGAGTATCGAGCTGTTGAACAACGATACCGACGCCGTGGTATACTCCAACGCAAAGCACAACTGTGGTCCCCGCAACTACCCTCAGACTACTACCAAGCTCCACAAGATTACCTGGTATGCAGACGTTTTCTTGCCTAAGATTGAGAACTACTACAAGGGTGAATTGGTCTGGTCGAAGAGCACCATCGAGAAGCAAGCCAACGACTATTCTCGATACTGGGTTATTGTGAATCAGAAGGTTTACGACCTTACGGACTACTTTTACACCGCCAAGACCGAGAACAATCTCGATTCTTATACCTTCCTACCGGATGCCGTCACCACCCTCTTCAAGAACTACCCCGGCCAAGACGTTACAGACAAATGGCAGGATACTACGGAGTTTAACAACGCGCAACGGTGTCTTGACTATGTCTTCTACAAGGGCAAGGTTGATTTCCGAGATAGTCCCAAGTGTACCGTGAACAACTGGATTCTGCTGGCATTCACCATTCTCATCTGTGCTGTGATTCTTGTCAAGTTCTTGGCAGCGCTGCAACTGGGTTCCAAACGTCGACCTTCACCTCAAGACAAATTCGTGATTTGCTTGGTTCCTGCCTATACCGAAGGCGAGGACTCTCTTCGAAAAGGTCTGGATTCTTTGACTGCTCTGCAGTATGATAACAAGCGCAAGCTGATTTTCGTCATCTGTGATGGTATGATCGTTGGTGGCGGTAATGACCGTCCAACCCCGAAGATCGTTCTTGACATTCTCGGAGTGGACCCCAAGATGGACCCCCCAGCTCTTCCATTCAGGTCCGTCGGTCAGGGCAGCGAACAACTCAACTACGCAAAGGTCTATTCTGGTTTGTACGAATACGAGGGCAACGTCGTCCCGTACATCGTTGTGGTCAAGGTCGGCAAGGAGTCTGAGCAGCGCAAGTCCAAGCCTGGTAACCGTGGCAAGCGCGACTCGCAAGTCCTTCTCATGCACTTCCTGAACCGTGTTCATCACCGTGCTCCCATGTCGCCTATGGAGTTGGAAATCTTCCACCAGATCAACAACATCATTGGCGTGGATCCTGAGCTGTACGAATACTGCTTCATGGTCGACGCTGATACCAGTGTCAAGGAAGATTCGTTGAATCGCTTGGTTGCTGCTTGTGCAGCTGATGCTAAGATCGCAGGTATCTGTGGCGAGACTAGTCTTCAGAACGAAGAGCGCAGTTGGTGGACTATGATTCAGGTCTATGAATACTATATCTCGCATCATCTGGCCAAGGCTTTCGAGTCCTTGTTCGGCAGTGTGACTTGTCTTCCTGGATGGTATGTTCCACTTTCATCTTCTTGAATACGTCCGAGCTAACTTATTATCTAGTTTCTGCATGTATCGTCTGAGAACCGCGGACAAGGGCCGCCCCCTCATCATTTCAGACAAGGTCATTCAAGAGTATGCTGATATCGATGTCGACACTCTACACAAGAAGAACCTGCTGTCTCTGGGTGAGGATCGTTTCTTGACAACCCTCATGACCAAGCACTTCCCGACTATGCGCTACAAGTTCATTCCCGATGCCTTTGCCAGTACCGCTGCCCCCGAGACTTGGAGTGTGCTGGTCTCGCAACGTCGTCGCTGGATTAACTCGACTATTCACAACCTTGTCGAACTGGCAGCACTCAAGGATCTCTGTGGTTTCTGCTGCTTCAGTATGCGATTCGTCGTCCTTGTGGATCTTCTGGGAACAATCATTCTTCCTGCCACTTGTGTCTACCTTGGATACCTCATCTACCGCGTTGCTAGTCACACTGGACCATTCCCCATGATCTCGATCGTCATGTTGGCCGGTGTGTACGGTCTTCAAGCCATCATCTTCATCATCAAGCGCCAGTGGCAACACATCGGATGGATGCTCATCTATCTGCTTGCCTTCCCTATCTACAGTTTCGTGCTTCCTCTGTACTCGTTCTGGAAGCAAGATGACTTCACTTGGGGTAACACCCGTGTGGTTATCGGTGAGAAGGGTGACAAGCGTGTCATTGCCGTGGAAGATGAGGGCTTTGACCCCCGCAGCATTCCTCTGCAGCGCTGGGATGACTATGCCATGGCTAACAACCTCCCCGGCCGCCGTGGTGAAGTTGGCGGCAACCAAGAGAAGGTCCAGTACACTGGCCGCTACCTGGATGAGCATGCCATGGAGATGGACGATATGCACTCGCAGTATTCCTCCGTCCGGCCGGCGTCGACTATTCTGACTGGCTTCCCCGGTCAGGGTCGCCACACTGGCCCGTATATGCCTCCGCAGTCACCGGCTCCCTTCACCGGGGGTAACGTGGCCGGTAACCGCAACTCGCAGATGACCAGCTTTACTCGCTACACTGATTACCCTCAGATGGGTGCCCATCCCGCCGCAGCTGCTTCTCGCCACATGTCCGTGGGCAACCTCAGCGCATACATGGATAACCAGGGCAATTCGAGCCGCCACAGCATCGGCTTGATGCAAAGCAGCGAGAACCTTCTGGCCGCTTCCCGCTCGCGCAGCCCGCTGGGTCAGCTCCCCTCGCGACCTGCCAGCACTGCCTTTGATTTCCGCGCCGCCAGTGGTCCGGATGAGCAAGCTATTACTGAAGCGATCCGCCACTGTCTCTCTGAGGTGGATCTCGACACTGTTACGAAGAAACAAGGTGAGTCAACATCTCTTTTCAATCTAGGGCCCAGCTGTCCAAATAACTAACAAAACCACACAGTCCGTGTCCTTGTTGAACAGCGCCTCCAAATCTCCCTCGCCGGCGATAAGCGAGCCTTCGTGGACCGCCAGATCGACCATGAGCTTGCCAACATGTGATCACACTATGCATATCATATCTAATCTCTGTTTTCTTTGTAATATCCATCTACCAGCGCAACGTTTCCTCTTTCCTTTCCTCGTTCTAACAAGAAAATATTTCGGCATGTCTGGCGTTACGTGGGACTGACTGTATTGGGCTTGCCATTTCCACTGCTCTTTGGCTATTGCCTTCCGCTTATCTCTATTAGGTTGTGATGCTGTTTTCTTTTCTTTTCTTTTCTTTCCATTTCTCTTTTCTTGAGCAGAGCACTTTCAGCGAATGCGGTACTTAGCACGGGGCCTAGTGGCTCTCAGTTTTAATGACCAAGCAATATTGGTGTTCCATTCTACAATTCCACTTTCCAGTAAAAACTGATGATAAAGTAAAACCTTGTTAATTCTCAATCACAATGTCAATGCTGCGCTGGTGATACCTTCACCATGAGTGGCATCTTTTCCCAGACGTTGAATGATTTCTGAATATCCCAACCCGCCGAGCTTTCTTCCAAGCTCATATCAAAACTCCACAGAAGCTTGGCTGCAATGACCCGCATCTCGGCATAGGCAAGACTGAAGACAGGAAACAGTGAGCATCAGTCTAAAATAGAACAGAGTATAGTTATATCTTACTTCCTGCCAAGACAATTCCGTGGTCCGAGTGAGAACGCATGAAGTATCGACCGATCATCATTCTCGAACCGCTTCTCTCGACTCTCGAGCCATCGCTCAGGAATGTACGAGTCTGCTTCAGCGAAATGAGACTCGGCATGGTAAGTTGAATAATGATGTCCAGACACGGAAATTCCCTCTGGTATGAAGTTGCCATCAACCACTGCACCTCCCTTTGGTACGACTCGTGGAGTCATGGCTGGAACAGGAGGGTAAATTCGGAGAGTTTCCTCCAGTGCGGCATTCAAGTAGCTCAATTGACTGGCACTCTGGAAATCAATCTCCCCGTAAGATGAAAAGGACCCCCGAACTTCGTTTACCAGTTTCTTGTAGGTTGCAGGGTTCCTGAGGCTATAGTATGTAAAGCCCGAAAGCAGCGTCGCAGTGGTTTCACTTCCAGCGAGAATCAAAAGCGCCGCATTACTTTCCATCTCATGAGCCGTCATGGCCCGATCATCATTGAACCGAAGGACATAAGTCATGAAATCAGGTCGTTCAGTCTCCGTCTCTAATCGGCGGTGGACCTTCTCTGCACTTAATGCAAAATGTGCCTCGCGCATTTTAGCCAGTCTCTTCGGTAGTATTCTCCTCACGATCGGAGCCAGGAAGGGATATACCACCAACGGTCGCATCAAAGCTGCTACCTTGGTACTTACAAAGACCATCTTCACCCACGGATGATACTGACTTCTGCGGAGACAGTCAAATGGCTCACCGAAGGCTAGATCGCCGATGATATCGAATGTGGTGAAGTTATACCACTGGGTCATATCGACCGTTTCTCTCGAAGCGGTGATTTCCCCGTTCAATCGCTCAACTAGTAAATCCACATAGGACTGGATAAGACCCTCCTGGTCTCGCAGGGCTCTTTCAGAGAAGGCGTGGGAGAGGAGTCGTCTGCCCCTTGCGTGGTCGGCTTCGTCGGCGTTGAGGAGATTAGGTCCGTTCGGTCCTCGGATGTAGAATTTGGGATCCTTGAGGAAGGACCCTTCGCCTGATTTGCGATGGCCGTAGATGTCTTTCCATGCTTGGGGGCTTCGGTAGACGAGAGATTTAGGGCCTATTCTGACGACGTCTCCATATTTGTCGTGGAGGTGTTTTAGTTTGTATTGGTTTTGTCCTGTTGTTGTCCAGTATAGACTGGGGATATTGGTGAATGCTGCGAGTTTGGGGCCTGGGAATTTTGATAGAGGGCTGAAGTAAAGGTTGTAGACTACTATCCATGCGCCGTATGCCAGAAACTGATGGTATTGTAAGCATTCTAGTCTTGACTCAGTGAGGTAAATAACTCACAGCTACAGTGATAGTTGTCACCGTGAGCCGAGCAGTGGGAATGGTTTCAAGAGTAGACACCCCGAGTTTAACCCTCCAGTTATCCATTGTGAAGGGATTTCTAGGATAAAACAATCTTTGGGAGACCCCACAGCTGTGACACGTTACTTATTTCAATTTACCAGCCCTTATGATTTAGCGTCAGGGTCAAGTGACGCGGACTTTTCTAGTGGGTATCACATGGAAACTTGATCCTTGTAGCACAGTTTGAACTAACTTAGGAGCCACCACTCCGTATTGAAACCATCTCGGCCCACCCTCCCCTCTTTAGCTAGCGTTTTATGTGGGACTTAATTGAGTGATGCTGCTATGCAGGTTTTGTGGCGTCGCCTAACTTCTTGTACTCAAGAAAGTTTACTTCTGCAGTTATGCAAAGCTTCACGGAAGCGGGATACTAGCACATTATGAGAGCGGGTTCAACACAATGACGTTTCATCAATTTCAAATCCGACGAAACATCGAAATCTGCAAGACAATCCAAGAGACAATGATGCCGAGGCTACCTAGGGAGCGCCACTTTACAGTACATAGTAATAGGGCCCTACATATTAGAGATCTGAAGGAGAGATTGGCTGTCTTCAGAGAACCCCACTACAACCCCGCTCCACGTATTCCACCGAGTTGGTTTATTTCTCATTCTCTCCTTCTTACCGGTTGGATCTATAAGGATTCATTGACCCAATTTCGATTCTGTCCCTCGTGGATCTGTGCCTTAAGTGAGTCATAGAGATACAATATTTCATGTTATTAATACTGATTGATATAGACAATTACTGGTATCCATCCATACCTTCTTCATCATGTCACAGGTCCAATCAACAAGATGGCTTCCATCCTATCTAAACTCTCTGTATCACTGGCTTAAGTGGACGGAACCGACATGGGGCTTCACAATTTACCGCACAACCTACACCCCACGATCTGAAGCTACTTTCCCCGCGATAGTCGACTTGATCACGGCATACGTTAATAAGGACTTGTATAAGGATCATGAAACTCTGCTCAAGAAAAGTCGTAGTGCAAATGAAGTCGAAATAGCTATCTTCGATGAAATGTGGGCTAAGTACGAGCCACGTGTTATCGAAGATGCTGCCCAATTCGATGGAGTATCAATTAAACAGGTCCGGTCTCACTTTGAAGCCTGGGCGAATAATCGTGATATGGCCGATAGGTTTCCTAGTTACCGAATGTTCATCGTTATCGACGAGGAGAGTCTTCAGTCCTTACACGACGCTCCAGTTCCCGAAGACAGTCCTCCTGGATCGAAGGACCGGTTCAATCACTATATAAAACTTGTTGAGGCATGGCAAGAGCCAGAATACCCATTCATAGGCTGGATGAAATGTTCTCTGAAGGGGCTTTGGGATGTCTGGCGGAATATGCAGGATGGGGATTACATGCGGAAAAGTTATGCGCTCATTTGTCAGTACCGTGACGTTTATTGAGCTTCCTTTCTCGGGACTTCCATAACCTAGGTTGCTGTCTCAGGCAACAATCACGATCGATGCAGAGAATGCAACAATTTCCGGAACCCCTTCGGGGCATGTGACTGAACATGCTGATAATAATAATCCTCGGCAGCATCCATGATAGCCTTAACTTTCTCAACGGGGACCTTTGCCTTGCGATCATACGTGTACAGCCCATTAACCTCCTGTTCAATATCACATCTAAATACCACACAGTTAACAAACTAGACATCCTCTTCCACCTCGAAGATCAGAATCAAACTTACAGCTGTGTGTAGACCAGTCCACACGTATGACCGCCCTTGACAATAGCCATGACCAGCTTCTCGAATCTCTTCAAGAAATCATCAACGTCTGTCGCGGTGGTATACCCCCAATCACGCTCTCCGGCCTGAGTATCCTTCGGCGGTGCGATATTCACGCCGCCGAATTCGGTGCAGATCACGGGTGCCCCAGCTTTATGCTGAGCGCCGGAGTCGACGAGTGTGTGCCCCGAGAAACCGGAGTAGATGGGCTTTGTGAACATCTCGCGGCCGGCCTTTTGGCCGAGGATCCCGTTTTCCATTTTGGAGCATGTCTCTGTTAAATCGTGGGAGTCGGCGTAGTCGTGGTATGTGGTTAGATCTGTGAGGACATGTTCCCAGCCGCAGTTATCGTTGATGGGTCGGCTGGGGTCCAGTGTCCTGTTTTTGCTGTGTTAGCGATCTCCGTTTCAGAAGGTATGACAGTCTTACTTGGTCAGATAGTACAGCGAGCGAATATGATCCCGCTGGTCGATATTGTCCTTCAACGAGGTGTAGGCCCAACTCTCGTTATTTGGCGTCCATGTAATAATACACGGATGATTGATATCCCTTTTCACAGCCTCGGCCCACTCAGCATTCATCCGCTCGATGTAATCGCTTCCAAACTCGTAGGCATTAGCCATCTCGCCCCAGACGAGATATCCTAGCCGATCAGCCCAATAGTGGAAACGAGGGTCTTCCACTTTCTGGTGCTTCCGGCATCCGTTGAAGCCCATGTCCTTCGCCATGATGATGTCGGCTTTCAATGCCTCGGAGGAAGGAGGTGTCATTCCTGTCTCGGGCCAGTAGCCTTGATCTAGGAATAACATTTGGAATAGCGGCTTGCCGTTCAATCGGAAGGTACCGTCACCGGTCTGCCAGGATAGACTGCGCATGCCAGTGGTGGTCTCGATTTCATCGACAACCTCGCCAGAGGCATCGTACAGACGGAGAACCAAATCATACAAAATAGGATGTTCAGGTGCCCAGAGAGCTACAGAATCGTGCCAGGCCCCTTCAATATGATATGGAGCTTTCTTCCGCAACTCACTCGCATGAGGTACTTTCATGCTCAAATCCAAAGCAGCCCAATCCCTCTCCGTTGGCAGCGCAACCTTGTTCTTACCAACAAGCACACCTTCGAGACTAGCCTGAATTTCAACATTGCAAGCAACCTGTGGTGACCTTCCGGACACAGCAATCCGCGCATGAAGCTCTCCGCGCTCGATATCATCAGACCGAAGAACGGTCCCGCCACTGCCACAACACAACCGCATAGCAGGTACACTCTCCATCCAAACAGACAACCAAATCCCACCCGTCGGCGTGTAAAAAATACTCTCCGACACAGGCTTCCAGTACTGTTTCCCACGCGGCTGCGCAAGATCATACGGCGAGTCTCTAACTCGCAGCGTTAACCGGGCGGATTTCGTTTCCGACGGGAAGGCATCCGTCACATCCAGGTCGAAGGGGACATGGCCGCCGCGATGACCACCGACAAATTGTCCATTCACCCAGACGGAACACTCATAGTCTACTGCGCCAAAGCGGAAGAGGAGTCTGTTTCCTTGAGCTTTTTCTGCATCGGTGCGGATATCGTCGATACGACGCTCGTACCACATTAACTCGTGGGCCTCGAAAAGATTGATTCCCGATGCTGGGGTTTGGAATGCGTAGGGTACTTTTATCTCGCGCTTAGGCTGATTTCTGTCTGTTTGCTCCGGGATGCCGTTGTTTTGCCACTTGTTGGACAGGCCAATGTTGGCGTCGTCGAAGATAAAGTCCCATGTGCCGTCGAGAGTGGCCCAGTTCAGGGCTTTGCGCTGGAAGTCAGGCCGTGGGTATGACGATGCCATCTTGATGAGTTAGTATTCTGACAGTAGGTTGTGCACAAGGAACTCTCCTGAATTTTGGTTGTAGTGCAATTGAGCAATGATCGTTGTATGTTGTGGTGGATGAACTATGAGAGTAGCGGGGGGTTGAGCCGCGACCCCACGTTGCTACGTCAGTGCGGAGATGGTCAGCTTACACGTCCGTGCAAGAACTAGACTAATAGACCGAGTAGATACGGGTCCAGCTCTAAGGAAATCTTATCGTCTCAAGTCAAGTCTTATTGATGGGGATATCAAAAAGGAGTAAACATCGACACAAAAACCCAAAATCGATCAAGGCAACTCCCGAGTCAATCGAAATCGCCGAAAACCAGACCGGTCAATGCCGGCGAGGGTATCATCATCTCAAGAGTGAGAATTCGAAAGACTCCAACACGTAAAACCCTCCTAGTTCCTCCCATGCACACCCGGAATCATCGACATCGCGACAAGTAAAAAAGAACAGGAAAAAGAGGAGAACCATCAAGAAAGAAATCGAGAGGAGATAACAAGAACAGAAAGGAGTATTGTGTGTTTTTTTCTCCCCTCCTTATAAGATAAAAAGATGAGAAAAGAGAATAAGCACAAAGACAAAACAGTAACGACGAAAATCCGCTCTATCTCACGCGGATTTCTTTGGATATCTCTCGTTTTTCTTTTCTGACGCCCTCATTGCTTGCGTTTCCGTGGTATCAATCAACTTGAAAAACAAAAAAAAAGACAGAAAATCAATCGAACAAAAAGACGAAAGACAAGAGACAGGTCAAAAACCGAGACACGCTGGAAACAAATCAAAATCAACCAAAAGGGTATACTGCTGCTTGTAAATGGATATTTTGGGTTTAACGCGGTGGCCCAATCGGGGCCGGGTATCCAGAAGTAGAATTCGAAGTGCTAGGGCGACCACTGTCAAAAGAGGCGCGCGGGTCATGCTTGGGTGTCATGTCCCCGGGCGCCGTACCGAAAGGAAACTTGGTGTCGAAGCGCGCGGGCCAGCCATTGTTGCTGCTGCTGCTCTTGTGGCTGTGCGAGCTGCCGAGAACGGGCACATCGTCCTCGGGCAGGTTCACCCCGGAGTCGTTCCAGGGGTTGCGGTAGCCACTATCCCGCGACTCCATCGAGACGAGCGAGGCCTTCGAGGCGTTGCTCGAGGCATGCTTGAAGAAGGAGCCGGGGGACGCCGAGTGGTTCTTGCGCCCGATAAAGGACGAGAAGGACGAAATGCTACCCGGCTTGCGCAGACGCTCAAAGATTGAGCCGCGCTCGCTAGTCTCATCAGCGAAGCTGGGTCGAGTGGGAGAGTCCGTCACAAGAGGGGCGGGAGCGTGCTGCAACAGCTTCGAGTCGAAGAAGGGAAGTGACTCCTCGAACGAGTCCGATTTGGGGCGAGGAATAGCACCCTTGACGGTGTTGGCGTCGAGGCCATGAGCGACGAGGCGGGAGATCAGGAAGTCAATGGCGTCTTTAAGACCACCCGCATTGTTGCGAGTGTAGCCAAGCACGACGCGATCTTCCGGAGCGGGCTCGGGGGAGGATGAGCCCTCCTCCTTAGGAGTGGGAAGATCAGCAGCGGTGTCGACATTGATGTCAACTTCATACTGCTCCTTGAGCTTGGTCCGAACGTCCGCGACAAAGTCCGGCGACTTGAAGTACTCCTGAAGCTCCGAGGAGCTTTGGAAGTGCAGCTCGTGACTTTCCGGAACCATGCCGAGGAGAGCATCAACAGCCTGGGGCACCTGGTACTCCGGACCGGAGATGGTAACGACATCGCTGGCAAGCTCGGTGCTGGGGAACTCGATCTTGCAGTTCCACTTCTTCTCCAGCTCGTCGATCTCGGTCATGCGAGCCAAGAGCTCACGATGGTAGAGGCGGTTGATGACGACTCGCTCGGAGACATACTCGGCGTCAACCTTCTCGACCATGTCCATGATCTCCTGCTTCACCAGGTCCAAGCTCTGGGCATTGCGGGCCGGGGTCCGACAGATGACATTGTCAACCTTGATGTCGTCATCCTCCTTGCCCATTCCACCGCGGTCCATGGCATTGGAGAACTTGACAAATACCGAGTACTTCTTCATGATCCGCTGGATGTGCTGTCCACCAATGCCGATAATCCGCTTGTGGTACTGGTCCGGAACATGGAATGAGATGGAGGCGGGCATCTCCTGCTCAACAAGATCCAATCCGTTCTTGGTAGAGTCGTACTGGTTCCCGCACACGTCGATGTAGAAGTTGTACTCATTGAAGCCGTCAAAGATAATTTGAACGTTGCCTACCCGTTTGTTAATGGCTGATGGTAAACATTAATGGCGAATACGAAGATGGGGTAACTCACTCTGGCCCATGATCTTGTTGATCTTGCCGTTCTTCTTGCCACTGACAAATTCCTTGTGCTCGTTGGCGAGCTCGATCTTGACTCGCATCTGGTATTGGCTGCGAGTGACGAAAGGGATCTGATTCACGACAGTCATGGCAGCCTTGACCGCATCGTCGGATCCATTGATGGTGAACGTCAGGTTATCAAAGCTGACCTCTGCCTCGGAGTTGGTGCAGATATCCGAGAGCATGGAACGGATGTCAGCGGTTGAAGGGGCTCGAATGCCACCTTGGGCAGGGTCGGGCATGAGGATCCACCAAGAGGCGCTGTAGAATTGACCGGCCTGGAATATGCGTTAGTTGCGATTCGTCCAACCCCATGCCTTGAGTGCTTCATACCAGAGCCATGATCTCCCGGACGGTCCGCTCGACATGCAGAACCTCAGTGCCCTGAATCCGGACAAGCCCCCGCTGGCTGCCCAACTGTGGGAAAAGAACGTAGGAACCGTTCATTTCCATCACTTTGCGGACCTTATCCAAGCGATCGAGCAAGATGTTGTCGATCTTGCTGGAGTTGACAACGACATCCTTGACGTAGATTTTCACTCCCAAGACCAGTTCCCGCAACTTTTGCTTCGCACGAGCAATCTGCTCCGGTGTGTCTCCCGTGATATAGACTTCGTCTTCGCTTCGACGGCTCGCACCGGGAGGGGTATAACCGAAGATTCGGGGAAACGGAGGAGGGAAGTAGATGGCGGTGCCGGTAGCAGCTTCGATAAGCTTAATGTTTTTGCGAGTCCGTCCACAGACCAGGGTATGCATGGTCAGCTCCAGTTTGATGGCGTCCACATGGCGTTTCAGCTGAGGTTCTGCGTTAGCCCGGTTCCCGTCGAAATTATCCCGCACACTGAAGGGTGACCCACAATTTGATCGATCATGATCAGAACCCGTGTCTTTGCGTGCTCCGAGCTCTCCATGTCACCGTAGATAGCGACTCGGAAACGCTGCTCGAGTCCGTTATCAGATGCATAGCCGTAGGACGAGACGACTGCGCTGTCAGCGTCGTGGAGCTTGGGTGTCAGCAAGAAAATGTCGGTCCCGGTGTAGGCGGCCAAGGTGTCCATGTGCTCAAGCACGCTCGCTCGGATCCCCTTGGGAGATCCATCCATAATCAAGTGCATATCCACGTCGACGGTCGCGCATCGCTAATGTGAAGCGAAGAGTTAGCAAGGGATGTTCCAAGTCCTGCATGGTACGAGCCCACGGGACGAAGGACCAAGTTCCCGAGAAGGAGAGAAAAAAAATTCATCCACGTACCAACATGATCGGGGTCTCATTCAAGATCTTAGCCCGCATCTTCCGTACGGTCTCCCCATCACCGGTCACACAAACGTTGGTCACCAAGCCATTTGGCCGCCGTTGTAGCGAAGGCACTGCCTTGGGCTCTGAGGACGTGAGGGTAGCCTCAATACGACCAGCACTGCTTTCCGTAATCTGTCGGCATAACCTCCGTAGACCGTCGACATTGCTAGTGTGTACGGGTAGCTGGTGGACGGGGGTGCCCTCGGGGGTGCCTTCGGGGAAGGTCCAGCGCTGCAGGGCGTTGGGACTGGCGTGGAGGACATCCTCGACGTCGGGACCAGCCAACGTGGAGGAGAAGGGGACGTTGAAGGACAGGTTGACGGTCGGATCGATGCTCGTCGGCGGCGTCATAGGGGGCGCACCGTGTGGCCGGCGAAAGGTCATGTCGGTGTGTGGTCTGGACATCCCAAAGGTCGGCGTCATTCGTTCCCAACCATGACGGGCCTGGCCCGTGAAGTTGGAGATCTTGTGCATGACCAGAGGTCGAAAGGTAGGTTCTCTCACCCCGGGTCAAATGGCGGGGGGAAAGAAAGGAAGGGAGAGTGGGTGGGAGGGAGGAGAGGATGTTGGAGGAGTGGAAAGTTTGATTCCAAGGCTGCCGTTCACGACAGGGATAGGAATGGCCGCAGTTGTGGGCCTTTTCGGGAATGGTGGAAAACGAAGATCGATCGATTGGGGGGGGGAAGAGGGGAGGGGAGGGGGAACGGACCACAACAACTCGACCCGGAGAACAAAAGATCCAGCAGAAAAAGGGTATCACTCGAGAAGCAAAAAATCAGGGATGAGATCGATGGAGGAAGTGGCTCAATGGCCCCAAGCTGACGAAGGAAAAAGGAAGTGTCGTCAGTTCACGTTAGTTGTGCGGGTCATTTTTCAGAAGGGGGAGAGGCAGAAAAGGCAGCGTACGGGAAGCGTTTGGCCACGGAATTGACCCAATCCAAGAGTATTCAACCTAACAGAAAATAAAGTAGTCAGATCCCAGTGGTGATATATTTCGTGTAAAATCAATATAGGAGAAGAGGAAAAATAGAGGCTGACAATAGGACGAGCTTAGTTTTCAGCTGATCGAGGTGTTCGGGTGTCATCTTAGGTACAGTACAAAAGATAGAAGAAATAGCCTAGCCAGACACGCTTTAACTTCCTCTCTAAAGATAGTTCAAGGTCTATCTTGAATTGTCTATCTAGATAGCCCAGGTAATATCTCTCGGTTCATCTTCCAGAGCATGGCTGTGGTTGAGGTTTCAAACTTATGAAAACTCCACTATATAATTAAGAGGATTACTGCGAGAGGGGCCATGACCTGAAGATGCAGCATTAGGAGTGGATAGTCAGGTCGAACTTTCATTCCAGGCACATCTAAAATAAGAGAATTGTGAGTACCGAGTAAAAGTCGAATAAGGTTGGCTCTAGAAGAAGACGAATGGAAGCAGATCTTGGTATGGTATTTTAGGGATTATAACGCTAGTTTGAAAGGACTAAAATCTATCTTATCACGAGAGTATTATCTTATTATCCTATCATTGACTTGAAAAGCTATTTTGCCTATTAACTTTGAAGGACCTAACGTGCTACATGCTACCATGATATTAGGTCTAGTTTTGAGATAAGCTCCTAGCATGAAGAGCTTGCCAAATTGAATGTAATGACTCTAGCAATACTGAAAGCGGCTTACACATAGAATAATTATGGATGTTTGACTGTAGTACGATAAGTAGCTAAAATAAATCTTGATGGTATTAGGGGTTAGTATTGGGGAAAACCACGCTCGAGACTACCACATCAGGTTGATTCCTAAGTATGATGGACCTCATGGGTAGTTGATAATCATGATGTCTAAGATAATCACTAAAGTTTCGAAGCCCAAACCATTCGTTGAGCATACTTTAAATCAAAGTACCTTATGGGTTACTTCTTCTGATGTCTATGCTTTGAAAGAATGATTGTGGAGCGGCTAATTCTATCGCTGATATGCTACGAGGACTGTGGTGCGAGCCGCTAGAATCTAGTTTCCCACGACAAACAGATTGTCCATTGGGGATCAATCACTTTCCCCTAGCTAAAGTAAGTCCTCAATACAGACCAAATAGTAGCTGCATAGTTATATGCTGAATGTTGAACAGTAGGTTCTAACAGTATCATGTTTACGTAATTTACTGGCAGAACCTAACTATTCGATGGTCCACTTCAGCTTATCCAATAACATCTAGTCTTGACCACTACTAACCACCACTAACTATTTGCTTAGAACTACAAGAAAAAAGACTGCACCTGGTCTGCACCTTATGGTTAGAGAATATAGGGATCAGCAGCACTGAAATATCCGAATTACTATAGTATTCGAGAATTTATTTTCAACTCTGAGCATATGGGGACTAAAAGGTACCTTTTGCTGCGTGAATTCAGTGTTCCCTCTCCAGTGACTCAGAGCACCGGTTCAAACATCTGACCATTGAGTCTGCTGTGTACATGGCTAGTAGCTCAATTTCTGTTATCAGGTAGCAAAATCGATTGCTGGACTCTCTTTTGCTCTCGATAAGATAGATGTTCAGTTCAACCCGCAATATCTGGCAAGTGCCAGGGCAGCATTCAGCCTTACCCGAGGAGAAAGGGGATAAGATGATCGACAGATATTTTACCCAGACTCCCCACAACAGTATTTCCCAGTAGTGGTGGAATGAGACGAGGCAATTTTTCTGAAGAGTAAGAATAACGATTCTTGTTGGAGGATAAGGTTGGACTACTATCGATACATATGCCCTGTAATTCCATTGACCGCCTTTCTCTCCGCTTGACACCTTGACACCTTGATGCCTTAGCCTACTGATGAGCTTCCCGTCTCCTATTTTCAAGTGCTGAATCCACAATTCAGCACTGCCTCGCTCGCGAAGAATGTGGCCAATCCGGGTCGCAAGGGCGCTTGGCAGGTCAGATCCCGGCCCTCCCGGGAGGCTCCACTGCTAAGCCAATAAGTATGGAGTCCTGCCCATCCAGGGCCATTCCTGCGCCAGCGCAGCGCCCGGGAGGAGTCGGATACCCTCATTCTGCATGGGCTGAAATTATGGCCAGATGCAGGATCTCCCAACGATGCCAGAACCAGGCATCCGGGGTGTGGGCTTGAGTCTAGTCACGCTAGTACACTTCATCCTCCCCCCGCCGATTCGGACACGGCCACCGAGCTGCGCTGCGGGCCCCGCGAAGCAAAGTTGGAGGCGTCAGCCCGGCATGTGGGTTTATCGATGGTGAGCTGTGGATGGTGGAAAGGAAGGGGGAGCTTCTCCCAAGCCGTTCCCTTTATCGATGCCTAGTGGCCGGCCTGATGTTGATCGTCCTCCTGTTGCTTTGTCCACTCGAGCGCCAGAAGTAAACTGTGTACGGAGTTGACTCTCGAATGAAGTATCGAGCTGGCCAGAACCTTTTGGCCCCAGAGACCCTCATAGTATTCGCACCATTTGGCCAATGGGATCCCGGGGATGTGCAGTAGCCCTCTTCCACTCCTCTCTCCACGGGGCACTTCCTCATTCAATAGTATGGTGCTGCAGCTGCAACAAAGGATCCCCGGCCCAACTTCGTTCTTCCCCAAGCGCCCATTGTAGGGCCTCGCGACTCTTCCAGGGCTGGTTGACGGGGACTGGCAACATGGCTGACCAGGTTCCCCGGCCAAAAAAGTGGTCGACGTCATTCTCTCGTATGGGTGGGTCACCAAACGCTCTTCACTTTCAGCTGGGAGAGGACTCGAAAACCCCCATCGAGACGAATCCTTCCGACTGGACGGACCATGTCGCTTTGAAAGTTGGGCTGCGCTGCTTTACCTTCGTGGTGCCCCTCCAAAAAGTGGCACCGACTTTGCAGAATGCGTACTGGTCACACTTGGTGTCTCATGCAGGCCCCTCTACCTTGTCATCCATAGCATTGCCAGAGTCTACCCTTTCGAACCTTGGATTACCTTTCGCTAGGTAGTTGGTTTGAATCAACTCTATGATATTCCCGAGGTATCTCTTGTCGTCGGCCATTGGAAAGCCCAGTAGGTTCATAGCCGACATATACTATGCTGATTGCCGGCTTCACTTTAACAACTGTGCGTGTTAAAACATACACCACTCCGAGATGTCTCAGATATCCTATCTAGTATATGAAGAGAATTTCACCTCATCAAAGAATTCACATACTATATACGAGAATTGTAGCTAGTTCCACAACCTCGACTATAAACCAGGTGGAGTGTGGCCTGAGGCCACCACGTGGGCTCTGCATCCATACAAGACTCTGGAGAATACCCGAATGGCTCCATCTACTTGCAATATCTGGCACACCACACTAAAATAGATGCCAATCGCAGAAGTAGTCTCTTACTTCCAAGTTTTCAACCAAGGAAAATGTCAATTTACCACCGTTTATTGGCCCGAATTCAACCGAATTAGACGTGCCCTGTTTAAAGCTGATCATTCCAGACTCGACAGGCTAAGAGCGATCAAGATACTTGCCCCAAATCTGGAGTGCCCGCTCAAATTTCTCCGGCGCAACTGCAAATCCCACACGAATATACCCCTTAAAGTCATTATCTCCCTCCGTACCAAAGGTCTTCCCCCCGGGCACGAGTAGCAAGCCCGTCTCCTTAAGAAGGCCCTCGCAGTACAACGCATCATCCAAAGGCAGACCAGTCCGCTCTTCGACGATGCGCACAAACGCCATCGAAGCACCAGTAGGCTTCACCCAGCGCAGCCGATTAGGATAACGAGCGATGAACTTTTCAAGCGAGGCGAGATTGATACTGGAGATTTCCCAAGAACGGCCTAGAGGCCCGTCTTTCTTGCCCAGCCCCAAGGCAAAAGTTGCGATATCCTGGTCTACCTGCGAGACTGAAAGGGTTGTATAATCCCTTGCTAGGGTTATCTGTTCCATGATCTCGGGATTGGGCGATATGGCCCATCCAATGCGGATGCCTGGCAAGGCATAGGCTTTTGATAAGCTGCTGACGGCAATGATGTTTTTGCATTGCTTTGCAAAGCTGATGATGGACGGTGGTGTAGATTCGGTATGGAACAGTGGACGGAACACTTCATCGCTGAAAATTATAATGTTACGTTCAGTAGCAAAGGACACCAAGCCCTCGAGGACGGCTTGGGGAATTGATGCGCCGGTTGGATTGTTTGGATTGCTGTTTTTATCAATATTTAGCATTCCGTCTATGCCTCTGGAGAGTATGATAGAAGTACTTGATAATGATCATTTTGGTACTCTCTCTAACCAGCGAAGAGAGATCCTCGAGATCAGGAATCCATCCTTTTTCCGCATGTGTGCACCAGAGCGACACGTCCGCACCTACACGGCGGGGGACCTCGTAGAGCTGTTGATACGTGGGATACTGACAAATAACATGATCTCCTGGACCTAGAAGAGTATCAAGAACGATGAAATTTGCAGCAATAGCTCCCTGCGTGACGGTCAATGATAGCTGTTCTGGAACATCTTCAGAGTGATATTGGGAGAGAATCCTGTCTCTTAGCCCGGGGCTTCCCAGAACAGAGCCATAACTGAGTGGTTCAGCTTCCTTGATGGGCTTAGGAATTGAACTATCTCCTGCAGATAATCTTGCTAGTTCTTGGAGAGAAAGAGGCTCCACATTGGTGCCTGCTCGCAAGTTAGTCAGGCCACCCGAGGAGGGAACGTGGAGGTATACTATGCAAAGACTCTTTGGCAAGTGGCTAAAGCCTCTAGTAAGTCCAAGAATTGGCTTAATTTGGAGTATTTGGGCTACGAACCTTGAACTGACGAACTATGACCAACAGATTAGGATGTCAGCGAGGCTTGTGGCAGATGTATTGTTCGCCGTTGAAAGATCGATGTACATACCCCAGTTGTCGAGAACAAACGGTTTTACTAGCACCATTTTGGTTCTATAGAAATTTGAGACAGATCCGCCTCGAGAATGGCTTGGATTTTGATGGACGTTGTTGTGATCGAAGCTCGTGACTCACAGGCGCACTCAGGCCTCCCAAAGACTAGGATAAAGTGACTAACTGCATCGCCCCCACGCCATTGGACAGGCTAACATTGACGGGGAGCGTCGTGATGAAGAATGTCAGCTAGAATAGATTCGGTTTTAGATCAATAGCTAAATACTAGCGTGCATGTCGATATCTTTACCAACAAGACCCTCCGTCAATACACTATCGATCCTTTTAACAGTCAACTCTCGACCTGTATTGGATCGGTTCATTGCACTCTTTAAGCACCAATTTACTACTAGCCAGATATAGAAACGAGACTTCCCTCGAGAGACCCATTCCAAGTTCATGTGGCAGATTGCGTCTTCATACATAAAACCCCTGGGACACGTCTATAGTAGCATACAAAACGATGAAATCAACAAGATAGATGTCCACAGCCTTAGCCCATCATCCCTTCATATCCCTACCGTGATCAAACTTGGTATGTCCATGTCGATTTCATTTTGCGTGAGATTTGTCCATTGCTTCAACGCATTCTCCAAACTACTCGGCCATGAATCCGTAAAGACATCCGAGTATTTTTTGCTTGACACCCGAAGTGGGAAATTTTTGGGTTTGATGCCTTTGCGCGTACCCTGACGGTTGTGACGATGTGCCACTTTATTCTCCCTTGCAACCAAGCTACATGCATCTACCCCGGTTGCTGCATTGACCAGTGGTTCTGGTGATGATACTATGCCCTTCGCAAAATGGCTCTGGTTTGATGAAACCGTTTCCTTTTCATACAAGGCTTGACTTGTCTCCGCTTTGCATGGCTCGTGGTCGCCGGTTGAGGAGGGGTCTCGTGGCGGAGGTAACGCCTGATCAGATATCGCGTCTTGATCACATGGGGGCATCGGCTTTTCTGGCTTTCCAACTTTCAATTGTATTGGGTCGTCTAGAAGACACGCTAATTCCGTCAGCTGTTCTTCACCTGATGGATCAGTATGGCCATTCGTAGATGGTGCCAGTGGTGGTATGAGTCGCGATGCAACAGTTTCCGATGCACCTTCCTGCAGAGAAATCGTTGACTGTTAGCATTCACTTTGTCACTTAAGCAACTTAGATGCAATCTCATACAAGGTTTTGTTGCATCTCCCTGATATAATCAACTGCCATCTCCACGATTGTAGCCTTGCTACGCCCTCGGGCCATGGGGTCATCTTCGGCATTGCTCTTAGGGTTGACGCCAGAGATAGCTTTGTCTTTGACCAGCCGAGCCTGAACGAATTCAGATGGGATGAGTGACTCAATTTCTTTCAGCGCGGCGATGACACGATTTCGAGGCCCTTGTTTTGAAATCTCCAATTGGTCATGTTCAGAGCGCAGCTTAGCAGGCACATTTGTTTCCACGGAAGTTTCCACAGAAGTGTCAGATCCTTTGAGCGACAGCTGGAACTTCTTCATATAACCAACAGTCATCTCGAGTATGAATGTATTGTTGAACATCCGACCGATTTCCTTCTCTTTCTTACTAGTATTCACACCTAACGAGGCTTGCTTCTGGCCTTGTTGGTCCTAGATAAATATGGCCAGAATCAAAGCCCTCAATTCCTTGAGGGCGCAAGTGAAGCGACTGCGGTGGCTCTGTTCGGCAATTTTATGACTGGTTCTTTTAGAACTCAAGTCATTAGACGTACTTGTCGGGTAGGAGATGCCGGGTACCAGACTACCGTCGATAATATGCTCGTAGTTCGACTTAGATCTGAGTAACGTGTCTTGAGAGATATCTGTAAAGTGTATGGTTGTCAGCGGTTAAATATGAAGCTAGACATTCACACCAAGTATTTTACTTACTATCGCCATCATCCACAATTCGTTTCGGGAGATCGCGGGGGCTCATAGCAGGACTGCATAGAGGCGTGAAATATGACCCCGGAACCTCATTTTTTTGGGGGAATATTTCAGATAGACTTATGTAGTAAGTGTTAACATTGCTTCGGAATTAATGATTGCAGATGCTCATTCAATATATACGGGCGAAGAGAGATATTTGGAAGATCGCCTGTGGCCACGGGTTGGGAGACGATGGAGTCGTCAAAGATGGAATCTTCAAAACACTGGAAGATTGAAGGTCCGTAGTTGCGCTGAAAATGGACAATCTCGGTCGAGTGGACGTTCAACACACCGTCCCGAATTCGCGAGTGGCGACTCTTTTCGAGCTTGGATTTGCAACCGTCGATCTCGCGAAGCATGGCCTTGATAAGTGAATTATAGTCCTGTACCTCTTGATTTGCAGGATTCGAGGAGTTCTTCTGGGATGAAATAGCCGGCTCGGCTGTTTGGGACAGACTGGCAAGGCATACGGTAGGGTTCAAATTGGTCGTTTCGACGTGCTGAGGCTTTACCTGTGCCTTTTCTTTAAGCAGAGCTTCTATTAGATTACGTTGTTCATTCAACATTTCAGAGATATTATTGCTGCCCCAGGTTTCAATATTAGTCTTATAACACCCCTCAGATTGACACTCACTGTCGTATTTGACCAGCAAACATAATCACATTCAAGAGCAGAAGCATCGTCGACTTGAGCCTTTCGAGATTCCCTCTTACAAGATTCACGTCAGGCTCATTCAGAACATTGCGGAGTTTACTCGTCGCTTGCTGCCAGCGAGACTTGCCGAAAGCATGAGACTCATCGATCATAGTTTGGATTTGCAGCAGGACTTGTTCGCACTGCTTTAGCATCTGCTGCGCGGTGAGATGGCCTTCTGGTGAGCATAGTTTGGAGGTTTCATCTTGCTTGAGACTGTCTCCAAGCTTACGAAGAATGGCACATGTTAAAGCGACGTCGCTGGAGAGATGTTGAATGGCTTGGTTGGCATTTTGGATCTGGCGGTAGAAGGAGAATAACTTGACGGATAACTTGGTGCCTAGGTCTGCGATTGGATAATACTGGCTGCGATCCCCACAGCCTCCAGTCCGGACATGGTAGATTATGCATTATTGCCACAAGGACTCGAAAAAGAGCATGGCCGATGCAGGATCAATCGTAAGCAGGATATTGATATCTTAGGTGAAGCTGATGGCTATATCGATGGTACTCATGGTAGTGGTGGGGCTGTGCTGTGGAACTCAGCCCCATTGCCGCGTCTGAATGGTCAACTTGTACTCCGTAACTTACAACTAGAGTACCGTAGTGAATAATATGGAGACTTGTCAACATAAGTCCTTGGGAATAAACGTTGGGGTATCTCTTGCCATCTACATTATAATGAAGTTCATATTAGACATATCAAAAAATCGATGAGTAGGGCATCGTCGAAAGCCCCATTGTTATTTGGTTTGCTTTTTCCGCCTTGGCTTTATTTAACGACCCCGCGGGAACCTTCTCTTTCCCCTTTCTCCCCTTCTTCCCCTTCCCACCATCCCCATTCACCACCCATCACTCTCGTCTCGCGTGGTTTAAGACCATTATGATACTGGGCTTTGCCATCCATCAACAGGATCTTTTTATGTTTCCGTATCCTCAATGGGTGCTCCCCTAAGTCCCCCCAACCCCTAGGTCGGCGACAACACCCTCCCACTGTTTATCCGTGAGGTTCATTCCTCGTCTCTTGCACATAATTTGAGATATTCTCCACCGAAGCTTTCTGCTACAACGGATGCCGGTCTGATGGGAGTGGATGAAGGAGAGATCCTCAGCGGGCACAATCAAGCAATTGAAGACCCCAGGCCCCCTGTAAACCACTAACCCCTTGAAGGACTCCTTGGCGAAGAACTTCTTCACCAAGGAGTATCCCGACCAGCTCCAGCCATTACCAGGTTTTATAGCAGATAACGTGAGATCATTGCGAACTTGAGGAACAACCTGATTATTAGCTCCCAAGGTTAGTGACTGTATGATCTCTCTACTTTCAACACAGAATGCACACCCCATCCATAGGCAGCTCTCGCAAATGATGACACAATCCAACTCGTGAACCAAAGTGACGAGAAACATGTAGTCTGACGCGAGCTATGGACCACAAGACACCGTCATTCTTCTCATTGAGTCCTGGTGGAGTAGTGCTGATACACATCAAAAAGGTTCAACGTTCCAGACAATTAGACCCCCGTGTCTCGAACGCCAACGAAAGCGCGAGATATGACTAGGAGATACTGTGACAAAATCTTCAGAGGCTTGATTATTATTTTAGACTCGGGCTTGAAAGACGGGGATGAACGAGCTGGTAGAATAAGAATGCCGGGAAAACACTGGTCAACGAGCTAAATGCTTGAATTAAAGAATTCGATTCGCATCTACATCTACTTTGAATATCTCTAGCAAGAACGACTAGCTCAATGAAGTTGTAGGTTCAGCACATCATGGTATTAAAATGCATCGAGATGAGAACAGTACAAGGCTAACGGAATGAAATGCACCGAATGCTAACCCATTTAAATCAAAAGATACGCCTGTTAGTAGCGCGACGGGGCACGCCGCACCGAATCCGCGGGCCCATCCAACGCCATGCGATTTCCATCATCAGCTTCGTAATATCGTTGCTCCCGCACGTAGTAAGGCCGTTCAACGTACTCGCCCCGTTGCCGATCCTCCACAAAGACGCTCACGTCGCGACTAGGCCCACCGGGACGAACACTGCTGACACGCTGGACAACTTCCATGGGCTCTTCGTACCGAACCTGTTGTGGCCGTACGCTTGCAGTGCGAATGACTCTGTCTAGAGGTGGGGCATGCTCCCCTACGTATGCCGGTCGACGAGGGACGTATTCGGCAAGTTGCACGTTGTCACTGGGAGCGTATGGGTCGTGACTTTCCAATGGTGCTGCGTGTGCTCTTCGTTCTCCGGCGACCGGGCGAGCATAGTCCGAAACCACTCTTCTGTATGTCGGCGGGGGTGGAGGCATCTCCTGCACGTATCTGTGCTCACCATAGGGATCCTGTACGACGGAAGCGGCTCGAACACTGGCTGTACGGACAGGGACGTGATCACCGTATACATCGGCCTTTGGTGCCCGTGACATTGGTCTCGGAGGAGGCGCCATAGGCTGCATCCTCGGGGCTGGGACCATCTCGAAGCGATTACCGTGTTCATCGACAACAAAGCGGCGTTCGGGTGCAGCCATGACGCGTACCGGTGGATGCTCTTCGTAATACGGGTCTTGATATGCAGACTGATGATCGTCATCCACGGTAATGTAGCGAGGTCCATATGAAGAGGGGACTTCTTCGTAGTATCTAGGTCGCTCTTGAGGCAACCTTTCCACAACTGCATAAGATGCAGCCCGGACACCACGGGGATCGGCCTCGACATAGCCACGATGATATTCAGGTTGTCTAGCGTACTGCATAGTAGCGACACGGCGCAGGTCGGTGTCGTCACGAACCACTCGCCGGTCGCCCAGTCGAGAAATTTCCCGGTGTGTTCCTTGTTCGGCAGGAATCTCATGATAAGGATTCGACTCGTAGACTGGGCCACGCACGGACTCATGCCTCTCGACCACGGGAGTGTATTGTGGTGACGCAATGTCAATATACACTGGCCGTTCTTGAGGTTGCCGGCTCGGCATCACAGCCGGGTCATCAGCAAAAGGCGGGGGTGAGACTGGCTCTTCTTTAATGTATGCATCGGAGGGTCCAGCAGTTTGAGTTTTGTGAGAGACCAGGCGGGCATCTTCTTTCCCATGTAGTTTTCTTCGCTTTCGGGACATGATTTGAGGAGCTGGGCCACTAGGGCTGGCACGACCAGAGTCAGGGTCCGAGTATACCTGTTCAGATCCGCGCTCGGGCCGTCCGCCTCGAATCTGTTGAACTGAGGGGACTTTGGCAGTCGCCAAAGGAGACACTCGTGACGGCCGAGGGGCAGCCGGGGAGGTGATGTGGTTCCGAACTACCTTCACGTTGCTTGCAGGTGAAATCACGCCCTGCATTCCCTGTGTTTGGTCGGCGTATCTGCCTCGATCACCGCCGATTGCCATTCGCTCGTAGTCTCGTGGATCAGGTGGGGGTGCCTCTGGTGCTGGTGGAGAGTATTCTGGTTCTTCAAGTGCATCCGCTCCTTCTAACTCATGGAGAGGACCGGTGACTTTGGGCTGTACAAGGAGTGTTGGCTTTGGATGATTCGGGGCGCCCTGGTCAACAACAGGGTAAGCATCATGCATTTCCTGGTCAGATCCCGGTCGGTTCAGAGCTTCCAGTCGTTGCAACTCATCTGCGTAATGATCTACCGGCACCCGTGGAGCAGCGGCCACCGGCTGAGCTGGAGCCACTGGGGAGGGCTTTCGGTGATCCCCAGCGGGCTGAGGGGGGAGTCGGGTGCTCTACTGGAGTAGAAGGAGTTTTCGTCAAAGGAATCGTTCGGCCCAATGACTTCAGAGGGGTCACTCAATGAAACAGGTCGCACGATCTCGAGTGCACGATCTAAAACATCCGAGACATCAAAGTCCGGTTTTGTGTCTTGGATCGCGGGTTTCTGTTTCGAGTCATGCTTCTTCTGCTCTAACTGATCCCGTAGTGTCCTTTCCACCCTTTGTCGTTGCAATTGAATCTCTGCCCGAACGAGATCGTCCGACTTGGTCAAGAAGATAGGATCGATTTCTGAGGTGGGTTTGGAAGCCATTCGGAAGGGGGGTGCTGCAGCGTTTAGAACCGATGTTGACGGCGCATTGCCTGTTGTGGGAGGAGCCTGTGAGCTTTGGGGGCGTTGGGCCATGTTGGCTAAAGGTACGTTGTCTGTAGGAATCCCAGCAGGTTTGCTTTTCGTTACCTGTTGGGCTAAAGGGCCATTTTGGCTACTCCTCGCCGCAGGTTTGCGTACAAACTGCTGGGGGACCTTGAGACGTGGGTGAGAGCCCGCGAAGATCTCATCACTGATTTTCAGAATGCGCTCATATTCTTTCAATTCATCTGCACTTATGGGTGCCGTGGCAGACATCGGCCCTGTTGGAAGGTGAGTGGTGGATCCATGAGCAGTAGCCATGATCCCAAAGGGGAGTGTGTAGAATAATGGATTCGAGGAGCAAGGGAATAGATCAAGCTTGGAATAGCTATCCTCGGAAGGGGATGTGGCTACAGAGCAGATCTCCTTAGCATACCACCCTAGTAGATTGAGCAGAGGTGAATCTAGAAACTCCCAAGCTCTCAACTATGAGGGTGTGGCAAGATCGAAAGGAGAAAAAAGTTGGTGAGCTTGTGACGATCCGCTTTTCTGCTTTTCCGCGCGCCACTAATGACGATTAGGTAAGGCCAGACTTGCTCCGCGCTTGGCGGGACTCGGACAGCGCCAATCACAGGGAAACGTGGGTGTGATTCATTCGCGCGCGTTTATGACATTCGCTGCCCCTCGCTCTTGCCTACGCCCCTGCGATTCGTGCTTCCTCCATGCATCGCGCTTTCTCCGGATTCTCTGGTCGCCAGTTATCTCGCCCGTTTATCTTTCCTCGGTCTACGATTAAGCCAGCGTTCTTCCAAGGGGCCTGTCGGAGTTATACAATGGCGACCAGCAACGGCGCAAACGGAGTAACTGACTCACGGCCTGTGTTCTTCTTTGACATTGACAATTGTGTGAGTCAGAGGATTGGTCTCAAGTTTGAATTGATCGGTCTTGCTGAGAATGAACGTTATCGCAGCTTTATTCGAAAGGTTCGAGGCCAATGTCCCACCAGATCAACCAATGCAATACTGACAGGCGGGCGCAGAATGTAACATTCATGATGAGATGCAAAAGTTGATTAGTACGTGCTCTTTTCTTCGCCCTACTGCGCGCTCTGCGACTAACGCCATGTTTTCTGTCTTCAGATAAGTTTTTCGTCAAGCACCTCGACCTTACCACGGAAGATGCGCACATGCTCCACCAAAAGTACTACAAGGAGTATGGTCTCGCAATTGAGGGTCTCACTCGCCACCACAAGATCGATCCGCTCGAGTTCAACTACGAAGTCGATGATGCTCTTCCCCTCGATGCTATCTTGAAGCCCGACCCCAAACTGCGCAAGCTACTGGAGAGCCTAGACACAACCAAGGTGAAGCCTTGGCTACTCACGAACGCCTATGTGAGCCACGGGAAACGGGTCGTCAAGTTGCTCGGGGTGGAGGATCTATTTGAAGGCATCACCTACTGCGACTACGGCCAGTTACCGTTGGTTTGCAAGCCCAGCCAGGAAATGTATGCGAAGGCGGAGAAGGAGGCCGGTGCTCCCAGCACCGAGTCTTGCTATTTTGTTGGTAAGTCGCTGGATTCCTACATCGCTCACTGTTGGCTGTGGCTCCTGGCAGAACATGTCGAGAGCCGGGTTATTGTCCCCATGCTGACCACTTCGACCCTACAGATGACTCACACCTCAATTGCAAACATGCCGAAGCACGAGGCTGGACTACCGTTCACTTGGTGGAACCCTGTACACCTACTCCCCGTATCCCGGCTTCGAAATACTCGGTCTCAAGTCTGCACGAGCTACCGGCGCATTTCCCTGATGTCTTCAAGAGCCAAGGGGCTGATGCGGCCTAGAGTATATACGACACGATGCGTACAGCAAGATTCATTTTCTATAGAGACTTTGGAAGCAGCTTTAGATTCATGGGCGCTACGAGTATATAATTGACGACTATTTTTTTCCCTTCCGAAGACTTATCGTGATAGAAAAAATATACAGGATCACTCAAAAATATATAGGATCACTCATTTCAAAAACTCGTGTAGTTTTGACCTATGGAAAGTCTTGTCTCTCCTGTGGCCGTGATTTATAGTTCTGGTCGCACCGCGGCAAGTCCGGTTCGGTGCCTTAGGCTCTTCACGATCGGCGGCGCGTGTTGCGGCGGACCTCCTTACTGTAGTTGCTTCATCCCTAATCGTCTGCCACCACCCACCGACAACCACCATCGGCCCATCTTGAAAGTGCTAGTCGTGGGACATTGGCCCTGAATCTCACGATGACTGGTCAAGAGATCTCACTCGGCACGGTGATTACGTTGACCGACGGACGGCAAGCTACTGTTCGTTTCATCGGTCTCACCCACTTCGCGAATGGAGAGTGGATTGGTGTCGAATTAAACGACGCCACCGGCAAGAATGACGGTGAGGTTCAAGGAGAGCGTTATTTCCAATGCGAGCCAGGATTTGGCATGTTTATCCGTCCAACGGCCATTGGTACGGTACTTCAACAACCATCGCGGGAGAGTAAACAAACCGCTAGACCCGGTTCCAATGCGACTACCGGCAGACAATCCCAGGCAGGAATCGCTGCAGGCGTACGAAAACCTGGCGCATTACCCCCGACAACGATTAAGCGGCAGAGCACAAATGCAACTGGAACCCCGACCCCCGCGCCAAAGGTGGCCGCTAGACCATCGTTGAGGGTATGTCCCTTTTCCTTTGTCTTGAGCGACTGCATTGTTTCAACTGCGCGACTCACTCGGATTTATTATATATTTTAGTCTCCTACAAAGTCTCCTACGAAACAATTATCCTCTTCAACGGCGCCCTCCAACCGTTCATCGATCGGCGGTGCTCCACGTACCTCCACTGTCGCACCGAATCGTCCACGATTAGCTTCTACGGCAAGACCCTCCATGGGCCAATCTGGATCCCAAGCAGCCACCTCAAGGGCGTCACGGCCGTCTGTCTCTGGAGCGACGAGGACATCACGACCAGGATCGCAGAGTACCGTTTCGGCCGCCGGTCTATCCAAGCGCCCTTCGTTGCGACAGGTTGCTTCCGCAAAGGCCTCGGACGCTGGCGAGACGGGAACAAGCGGACCATCAGAAGGACCTACCGATGCAGAATCCCTGGACAACGAAGAAGGAAGCCCTCGAAATGATGAACCCGCGCCAACGCCGGCGCCGGCAGCTGCGCCTGCGCCCAGGGCGTCAAGGCAGTCTATGACAGCTACCCGCCCTGCGGCATCTCGACCAGGAGCTACGCCGGCTACGAGCCGCCAAACACAAAATGCTGCTGCTGCTCGAGAGCTGGAGGAACTCCAGACCAGGCTGCGAGTCATGGAAAAGAAACGGGCCGACGACCGCGAGAAGCTGAAAATGCTAGAACAGTTACAAACGGAGCGTGACAAGTTCGAATCGATTATCCAGAAACTCCAAGCAAAGTACCAGCCGCAGCAGATGGAAATCACGGAGCTGCGCAAAAGTTTGAAAGAAACCCAAGGTCGTCTTGAACATTTGGAGAGGATGGAAGCTGAGCACGAATCCCTTATGGAAATGGCCACCCTGGACCGAGAAATGGCAGAAGAAACCGCCGACGCCTACAAGCACGAATGTGAGACGATTCGATCAAAACTGGAGGAGCTTCAATTGGAGGTTGAAGTACTGCGAGAGGAGAATGAGGAATTTGGCCAAGTTACGAGCCCAGAAGAACGATCCAGCCAAGGATGGTTGCAGATGGAGAAGGCCAACCAACGCCTTCGGGATGCTCTGATCCGGCTCCGGGACATGACACAACAGCAGGAATCGGATCTCAAGACCCAGATCAAGGAGCTTGAAGAAGACCTGGAAGAATATGCTGCCGTCAAGGCTGACTATGAAGCCACAAAGGAAAAGCTTCTGGTCGCAGAGACTAACGTCGACGATCTCAAGCAACAACTGGAAACCGCATTAGGAGCTGAGGAGATGATCGAAGAACTAGCCGACAAGAACATGCGTTATCAGGAAGAGATAAATGAGCTCAAGGCTGCCATCGATGATCTGGAAGCTTTGAGAGAGATCAGCGACGAGCTGGAGTCCACACATATCGAAACTGAAAAGCAGCTTCAGGACGAAATCGACTATCGTGATACCCTTTTCACCGAACAGCTTCGCAAGATTGCGCAACAGGACGAGGTGATTGAGGACCTGGAGTACACACTGTCTCGCTTTAGAGAACTGGTTACCAATCTGCAAGCCGATCTGGAAGATATGCGGGCATCTCAACAGATCACCGAAGCAGAGGCCACCGACTTGACCACCCGGTCACGAGCCATGATGGATTTGAATATGAAGCTCCAGGCATCTGTGTCAAAGGCGCAGACAAAATCAATTGACGTGGAGCTCAATCGCATGGATGCCGAAGAAGCGGCCAAGCACTTGGCGATCGTTAAGCTTTACCTTCCCGAATACTACGAAGGCGAGCGAAACTCGGTTCTTGCTCTTCTTCGCTTTAAGCGTGTCAGCTTCAAGGCCAACGTTATGAATCAAACCGTCCGCGAGCGGATTGCTGAGCAATCATCCATCTCCACTCAGGAAGAGATGCTGCACGCGCATGAGGTATCTGAGCATCTCTTGTGGATTTCGACTGTATGCGATCGCTTCGTGAATTACATCAATGCTTGTTCGCCGGAAGATTTCGGCAACATCAAGGTGGCTTTATTCGAGATGGAGCCTGTCGAGCGTACCTTGAATTTCTGGATCGAGAATCTCAAGAAGAATGAAGTGAATTCGAAAAAATTCGCAGTTGAGCTGCAGCGCTCCATTGCCCTACTTTCACACTTGACGGAGACTCTTCTTCCCTCCACCCCAGAGATGTTTGCGGAAGAGTTGTGCATGCGTGCGAGTATGTCTCAATCGTATCTTGACCATATGGCAGCCGTCGTTGCTCGGTTAAGATCTTTGGTACAATCTAAGCTTCTGGTCCCCGCAGAGGGTAGTGAACCCAGCGAGGAAGAATCTTTCGCATTGAAGCAATTTGACTCGTTTGTGTCTCAGGCCCGTGGATTCAAGGTTGCCATGGGCAAGGTCTATCGCTCGCTTGAAGATCTGCGTACCAGGTCTCTCGCCCTGTCCAAGGAGGCCGATGAGCCATTCAAGAAAATGGAAGCTTCGACAAAGCAGCTATCGGAGCTTGCTCGAAAAATATGCGAGAGTGTCATTGCTGCCACTAGTGACGAGGGCCGTACTGAACCTTACTCCATGGAGGAGCTTTTGGATAGCATGTCTCAGGCGGCGACAGCCTTCACACAACCTTCTGATGGCACCGCCGAATCTGATGACCCGATTTCGTTGCTCGTCAATAGGCTGCGCGATTTGAGTGCCCAAATCGAAGAGCTTGACTCAATCTCAGGGGATCTCTCTCGTACAGCTGAGTTCGAAAAGGGACCTTTCCCCTGGGTCGCCCGATCGGAGGAACTGAAGTCCAACAAGACAATTTCGCCAGATGCTGACGAGGAGATTCGTCGCCTGAAGAATGAAGTTCACGAGGTCTCCACCGCTCTTGGCGTGAAAGACAACACCCTCGAAGAACAAAGTATTAAGATTGAGCTTCTTGAATCACGCATGCGCGAGGCGAGTAAGAGGGCTGCCATGGTAAAGGATCTTGAAACCAAGATCGAAGAGATCCAAGCAGTGAGCTCGGAACTCGAGAAAACCGTTGACATGCAGAAGAAAGAACTTCTTACTGCCGAGGCCGAACGCGATGAATTCAAAGCTCGCATCGAAAGAATGAAGCGCATTTCTGGAACTGCGGGTGTCTCGACTCCTGGCGGCGGCATCGTGATTGACAATGAGGCTTCGCTGGCCGCGATGCAAGAGAATGAGAGCCTTCGTGCCGAGGTCCAAAGCCTCCAGGCGGCGGTGCGTTTCCTGCGTGAGGAGAACCGTCGGGCGAACCTTCTCGACCCTTACTCGGTGCAGCGGACGACCGACATGCACGCATGGTTGGATGCACCCCTCACTCGGACTGCTCCCACACCAGAGCAGGAGAAGATCCAGCGCACAGCTCTTGAGAGCCGGGATGTCCTCACTCACCTCCTCAGACTCACAAAGGACTCTCGAGTGTGCGAGCTGAAATCTAGCATGGTCTCATCCACCGGCGATGAGGGCACCGCCAGCCGTACCACATGGCGTCCGTCGAAATCTCGTCTCCGATACCAGGTTCTTCAGCAGCGTGAACACTACGAGCACTGGTCCGAATGGCGCGACGAGATCGTTCACCACGAGCGCGAACAGGACCGACTTGCTGCTGCCAAGAGGGAGCGAGCCCTTCGCGATCGTATGCCCAAACACACTCATAAGGCTTCTGTTGAATTCCCACAGGGCTTGGGTCATGGTATGATGGGCCGAGCATGGCAGATCCTAGGCATGCAGAATGGTCATCGCAAGACTCCGTCAACCAGTGAAGTCGGTCCGGAGGGAGTACACATCGTATCCTCGGAATAGATTTGCTTTCTGTTGAAGAGATCTGGGCTGTGGCTCAGACCTAGCTATTCTGCCTTGTACATTATTGCATTCTTACGAGAGACTCTTCTCTTTTTGACTTGATTTCGTGTGCGGTTCTCCCGCTTTTGACAAGATACCCTCACTGCACATACTCTGCTCAACATATTGTGACATTGTCTTTATTTCAATTCTATGGATATAGTATGCCACACTGTGGTTCTCAATATGATCTGACGATTTCCATCTCTAAGACTGTGCTTCATTCCTTTGTGTCAATATATATTTTGAAATTCATGCCAGTGGATGGATCGCCCCCAATGATTATGAGACACTGGAAGGTTTGTAGATGCTCCCTCGTCGAGATGTCCTGCATTAGTTTTCTCTGATCTTGACGGCCATGAACGTCAATATGGAAGGTAACGGGCCTCTGTTCCTACCTACTACGTACACCACCATGGAATTGTGCTTAGGTGGAGACTTGGTCGCCAGAGAGATAATGAAAATGGACACAAAGCCCTAGAGTATATCCGCGGATACAATCAACAACGCCACGATATATACAGGTGACTTGCTTAAAACTACACAACACTTTCCAGAGCGTCAGAGATACGAAAGCGAACGTAGTACATGACTGACAGTTGTCCATCTTTTCATTGTTCAATTAAAGCCCATCATCCAGCGTGCTACCCATACGAGGCAGACTTATTAGCTCCTTCACCAACACTCAAATCAGGCGAAGAACGAGAAATACACAAACAATTATCCAGCAAAGGGGTATTCCAAGCATGAAACAGAGTGCAAAACAATGAAATTATTTCGAATGACTACCAAAACCAGCATAGCTGGTGGATCGACAAGGATAACTAGAAAGCCACACCAATAGCAGAGCCTCGATATTGAGGTACATTATTAGAGAGAGGGGAAGGGTACGGGTAATGTTGTCTCCGGGTTTCGAAGGTATTCGGATGGCCGAAGCCAGCTTCAAGATCTTTCTCTGCGTTGGAAGATGGACCTTGCAGCGAAGTTCGAGGAGTAGTCCCGTTGGTGAACGTGCTCGAGATCGAAGCATTGGGCCGTCGGGCCATCGCACCACCCGTGATAGTAGTGATAGTTGAGTTGACGGTGGTACTGCTCAAAGTGCGGGTTCTTTCCCAGTCAAACCCATTCTCGCCGGCAAGTGAGACTTGCTGGGGTCCAGATGGCTTGGTGGGGAAAATCCATTGAGTCACACGACTGGGAAGTGGTACCGAGGCGATAGTCTTTCGGTTCTCAGCTATAGAAGGACGACGCAAGGAAGAGATTCGAGATGGCATGGTACGCGAGCTGGCTGTCGATGGTGAATCCTTGAAAGATGGTTCGTCTGTGGGTTCATCACCATGTTTCGAAGTCGTAGGGGTTCGAGCGGTGTCGTCTCCCGATACCCCGTTGCTGACATGGATAGACAGCTCGGTGTCTAGGGTGATGTTGCTTTCCTCAGATCTTGATCTGACATGGGTAGGAAGGGTAGGAACGACAGGAATAGCAGGAATAGTGGGTATGAAAGTAGGCGTTGGTATCGGCTCCTCTGGTAGAGGAGGCTCGACTGGGATGACGGTACAGAAATGTGGAATTAGAGCACTTGCAACACGAACTGGCCGTGGCGGTTCAATAGGCACTTCCATATTTGCAAGCGACCGGCGATTTGCAGACCGGCGATTTGCAGAACCGACTGGCTTGCGAGACACGGAGAATCGAGCCTCACTGGACTGGCACCGTCGAGATCGAATTCTAGCGGGGGAAAGCACACGTGGTGGGATGGCCAGCGTCATGCGCTGGCTATTCTCGTCCACCTCGAAGGTCTCAAAGGAGGGAAGATCTGATAACCGATGACCAGATCGGTGAATACTGAGTTGGAGAGGTTGAAATTTAATCGGCGACGGCTCGAGTTGGAACGACTGTACCCGACGAAAGTCTGAAGGAGCGCTAATCTTTAATGGTGCCGTAGTCTGTCTCTTCCAGGAGATACTTGCTCGCCCAGATGCTCGCGAGGCGAGTTGCCGGCCTTCTCCAAGCCATGACGAGAGGGAATTGCGAGATTGATGACGGATACCCGGACTGGGAAGGTCATCGTACACCACCAACTTCATTGGAGGGACGAGATGAGGTTGGTTATGGCATACCTGCATCTCTCGTTCCACTCCTATAGATCAAGAGGCGTGTTTTGTTAGTTTATAATCTTTTGCTGTAGTTTGATCACCGAGGCCGATTGTATACCTCTTCCCTCCGTTCGTTGGCCTAGTTGGCCTTGAGACTCCATGCCCGACAAGCATTCCCAGCATGACCGTACCCAGCCGGTGACCAGGGAACTCGCTTGATCAAAAGCCAGCGTCATGGCGGCCAGCGCTTCGAATGTTTAATCCATCGCCTTCCCGGAAGGCGAGATAGAATAAGAAAAAGACGTACAAAAAGAGAGAGAAGAAGGGAAGAGAAAAAGAAGCTTCTCAAACTGTCACCAGGACAAGGAAGAAAAGCAAACAGAGACCATAAAAGCGTCGTACGAGAACTGGCAGGATGGCATGGACCCCACCACCAACAAGATGAGGAGCCTATTATCCAGCCGTGCAGAACAGGCTTCGTGACTCGTCCAGGGGACCATCCATGGAGTCAGACGGGCGGCCGCTAAGGATGCGGGACTATACTCAGGAAAGCAATTCATCCTCGCGACGGCTGGCCAGCACACGCGATCGCTGGGGGGTGATGATCTAGCGGAGTCGGTTCGCACGTCTCATTCGTCGGGTCCCTGTGGAGTTGTCACATCCTTTTGCTTATCACCGAGCTTTGCTAAGTATAGCGGGGGAAAGTTGGGCGCGTAAAGGAACACCGGCCCTCTGCGTTGGCTCTTGGCTCTCGTGTTTTGATTTCAGGGGACCGATTCGAAGAATCATCGAGGAACTGGAGGTCCATGAGTTCGTTTCATGTAGGGTTTCCGAGAGTTTCAAAACTGGCGACGAATCCCAGGTTGGCAGACTCGTTCTCGTTCTTCTGTCAACCGCAGGCCCAATCTACTGTAGTACTGTACACAACGCTAATCGTATCCAAAAATGAGGGGCCATGCTTATCGTGTTCGAATCATGAAAAAAGTACACTACAGAACCCTATTTGCCCCAAACATTATCTTCTTCCAATGCGCTATAAGCCCATTGTGAAGGCGATCGGTCTTCTTCTTCTTCCGCCTGATGAACGGGCTCGGCTGGGACCTCCCTGATCGGAGCTTCGGCTTCAGTCTCCTCTTCGATTGGCTGTCCGGTCGGTCTTCTAGGAAATGGAAATGGGGTCAACGGAATGATTCCTGCTGGCCAGTAGTCCTTTCAAACTTACGAATAATGTCGGGTTTCATCTCCCGCCCAAGCGGATCCAACCTCTCGCTGTGCCTGATTGCGGTCTGCTTCCTCAGCTTCATGGTCTTCCACCACGAGGTCAACTAGCTGGCTGCGATGCGACTGGTGGGAGCTCGTGGAGCTGGCGTTGCGCTGCAAGGGACGGGGTGTGCTCGAGCTTTTGCTTGACTTTCTAGAACTGGCATTCGGATCTCGCCTGCCTTCGCTGCCCGACGCTCGGCGTTTCCGGTGTGAACGCGACTTCTTCACATCACCTCCGCTGCCTGAATTCTGGTAGCTCCTGTGCGTAGAGAGTCGCTGATCCCGGGGAACTTCATTGGCCGTAATCACCGGGTACTGTGAAGTGTCAGCAAGTAGACTTTAAAAAAAGAAAACAAAAAAGAACAGGCTCGCCCAAAGGTAAGCACATCCAAACATACATTCCAGTCTCCAAATTCCAGAGCCCGAGCTTGGCTGAAGATTTGCTCGTCCTCGTCGTCCAACGTAACTTCAATCTCACTATGAGACCGGAATCGCTCAGTGGAACTGCGACTTCCCCTATCACTTCGACTGCGGTGACTATTGTCTCCGCCAGCCAAGAGCGGTGTGCGAATGCTGGCTTCGACCGCTTTGCTGGCCTCTCCAGGCTTTGGAATCCAATACTTTGCCTTGCCACCACGTTCATATCTCATACCGTCCATGACACGTTTGACCCGCGAATGAGACTCCGCATGCGCGATAATGTTATCGCCGGAGTCAAAGAGTCGGTAGTCGTAGTTTTCACCGCGAAGGGTCATCTTGGTGTCTTCGACCAGATCGAGAGGCCCGAACGCATCTCGAAGTGCATATTTGACCGGCAACCGAGCAGCCGAGATGGTAGGGTCGGCATAGTCATGCCACGAGAACGCATACCAGTGAGCGACGGCAAAAATGGGCATCTCATAGCAGATCAGAGCATCCTGAATTGCCGCAGCTAGATTATCGGGGGTATATCCTGCGACGTTGCCAAGAGCCCCCAACCACTGCAGGATTGACAAGAAGAATCCTTGCCAGTACGACGCGAAAATGATGAGTTTGATACAGAGGAATTTGGGGACCGGGCGGAATGGTGTGAGGTCATTGTGCAGACACACCCAGAACATAGCCAGGGAGTATAAACTGACGGTGACGCTGACGTTATACACAATGCCGGTCCATAGATAGCCCGATGCTAGGCTCAGATATCCTTCCTCATATGTGTCCGTCGCCTTCATGACGATAGAAGCGATGGCCAGAACTGGTTTTAGCCACGCATACTGAAGGATGCCGCGCTTTACGGCAAGAAACGTGTGCGGGTCGGAGATATCAAGCTTTGGGAGGACGTGGTTAAGCGGCCATGCATGCGAGACCGGCGGACGCCCATGAGCCATGATGATAAGAGCTCGCTCTCCTCCGAGGAAGTTGATTAGAAGCTGGAAAAATGTGTAGATTGTGAATGCCTAGCCAAAGTACCCTCGAGGTTAGCACGAGTCCATCCCGAAAAGCTGGTTGTCACTCGTCGTCGCATACCTCGTAGATATCACGGACTGGATCGACGAACTGAGCTGCTTTCAGCGATACAATGCTCGTCCATGATGATGCTGCATAAATTGGCACCCTGCGCCTGATCAGCTTCATCCTCTACTTTGACCCCTGAGGGCGCTAGGCTGCCACCCAATACTAACATTAGCAGTATGCGTACGACGTATCGCTGGAGGAGAGGTTTCCGATAGTTTTTGCTATTAAAGCTCGATCAGCCACTGCAGAGAGGGTTGGGTCGTAACTGAAGCTCGTACGTTTGGAACCATATGGACCTATCAATCCAAACAACATGTTAGCTCACGAGGTCATGGTAGCTGATACGGCGCAGGATCTAGAGGAAAAGCCGAGCAGAGTACTCAAGGACTCACACAAAGGACAATAGCGACGAGATCAGAGCCGAAACACCAGAGGTAATGATGATTGCTCGCGCCAGACTCGAGCCTGTACCTCCGCCAACGGGTGCTGCCATAGCTACGGAGAACATGTCGCCGATGACAAGCGCGGATAAGGAAGAAAGGCCGCGTTCTGTCAGTGTAGTTATATCATAAACTCATTTCGTAACATCTGAAAAGGCGCAAAACATGACCGCCAGAACGTAAGTGGGGAGCTTGTCAACAAGCTTGGAAAAGTTGTAGGGAGGAGGCGTGGCTCCGATGACGATCTTTCTCGTGACACCGCCCGACACCTTCCACACCCGCATCTCGCGACTGCCTTCAACAATAAAACCTCCGAATGACCGCGCGTGCACCTTGGACTCGTCGATCACGAGTCGATCTGTCTCGCTGAGACGATGCTCACGCCATCTGGCGGTTTCTTGGAGAAATGGCCAGTACTAGCTTGACGGCTACCTACTTGACGCCCGATCCAAGCTTCAATTGGTTTGTCGCTGCCGCGACCATTCTGTTTAAATCTGCAATGCTGATCTATCTAGGTTTTTTCTCTTGGAGCTCATTGTCTCCTTAATTCTGCAAGTACTCGTTATAACGGCCGCCATTGATCGTTGCTAATACTAGCAATAGTGCTCTGTTCTTTCTGCTCTATTTCAACCGGCTGTTTGCGACTCTCCTGTCCTATGGGATCCGAGCTTACACCTGGCACTACTACCGCGTTTATGTCGATATCAAGGCGCTGCAAATATCGCTACTGGGTGGTCGGATATTTTTCAAGGGAATCCGGTATCATGGTGTGAACGAGACAATCTTTATCCACGGAGGATTCATAACATGGAGGTATTGGAAGCGCACAGTCGAGAGGACGGACCTTTCACGTGCGGGACATGAGAGTAAAGGTCCAATTACCTCCGAAAAAGACCAGAGCGAAGCCATCCCTGGCGACCATTCGGATGAGAGCATTGGAGAACAAGGCGGTATCAAAAAAACGGTTGAACTCCCATGCCGAATCTCAATCACGACCTACGGCCTTGAATGGTTCATATACAACCGAACTCCAGCATATGACAGTATTCTTGCCGGCTTCGGTTATAAGGACGGAAATCCCCCTGAAGATGATGAGTCCATTCAGTCTCCGCCGGAGGCTCAACCAGAGCACCAACGCACCGGTAGTACAGTTAATGTCAGGTCGGGAGATGCTGTGAAGTCGACAGCCGACAATGTGTCTGAGCGCAGCATGGACAGGGAGCAGTGTCTTGACCCCCGAAAGACAGAAATTCGCGACTCAGAACTGTCAGAACCCGTGTCTAATCTGCTCCAGTTGCTCCCAGTCAAATTGGACTGCAAAAAAGGGGCCATCGTTATGGGGAATGAAAATACTCGATCCGTCCTCACCACAACCTTTGATAGCGCATCGGGCACAATTGCCGCGTGCAAGTCAGGTCCACTGGACCTGTACCGACAACTCTTTTCCTTCAAATTCGATCACCCGGTAGTTCAGATGCGACCAAATCCAGACTTCAAACAAGGCCAAATTGCGACTGCCAAGATTCTCAGCGCAGTAAAAGACGAGGAACCCTCTACAAAGCGTAAAAGAGGGCATCCATTCAGCTACAGGCTCCAGAAACGCAAAATATGGCACAGCATCCGTGAGCTCGTCCCGTATTTCCAAACGTCAGTGGAATCATTCCACGCCAGCATCAGACAAAATGAAAATATGCCACGAAGTCAAGCTGAATTTCCGGATGTTCGATGGGCCGGCTTGTCTCGGTATCTGGATGAAGAGAATGATGATGACCACGAGCAATGGAGCTCGGTTGAATATGGTCGATTCTCGACAATCCTTGAAAGTACTGGATTGCATTTGACGTATTTTTGGGACATCCCGGGGCGCGTCGGGCCCTCGCCCCTGAGTGCTGATCGTTCCGACCAGCACGCAGAAGCAAACATCAATAATGCTCTTCCTCCGGAATGGGGAATCGATCTCAAACTTGACGGAGGCACCATCAACTATGGGCCTTGGGCGGACAGGGAGCGCGTCGGGTTGCAAAATGTCTTTTTTCCGAATTTCTATCGAAGCTCTGAACCAGCTGAAAAATTGACCGCAGGCGTCCTGCGACAAAGCACTCTCTTCAGGTTACGGGTGGAAATCAATGAGGAGCTCACTCTTCGCATTCCGACCCGAGAGCCATCCAAGGATTGGATGTGGAAGGGCCGAGCAGATGCCATCCGAGGAGCCTCCAAAGCCAATAAGCCAAACGAGAGAAGGAAGCCCCGTCCAAAGGAAGGTGAGAAGGGTCATATTGGCCCTGATATTCGCCCTTTCGGATGGCTTTCTCTCCGTGTATGCCCTGATTCTACAATTAATTACACCATGGATATGGTGGCCTCACAGAATGGATTTCGCAATGAGCTCTCCCTGGATCTTCGAGAGTCGAGAATGTCTTCTAGCGTCAATCATGGTTTGCTATGGCAATGTCCCCGCCATTTGGTAACTTGTGACTTGTCCAACCCTCTCATTTGGAATAGTCTACGATCGTGGCGATTCACCGTCGAGAGCCAAGATCTGGAGTTGTTCCTTCTGCGGGATCACATCTTCCTGTTGACAGATCTTGTTAGCGACTGGGCATCGGGACCTCCATCTGACTACCATACCTTTGTGCCATTCATTTACAACATTGATCTTATCTTCTCGAACATGCAGCTTTTCATCAATGTGAACGACCGTAACATCATCAGCAATCCTTCTGACTTGGGGGACAATCGATTCATTGTCATCGAGGGCAAGAATTTGACGTCAAACGTCATGATACCTCTGAACAAATACCAGCCTGAGCAAAATGCAGTTGAATTCAAAGTTGCTCTTGAGGATGGAGGCGTGAACTACCTCATCCCTCCCTGGGATACGCTTCACGCTTTTCTGCCGGGGAAGTCTATGGCAACATTGGAAAGTCTTTTCATCGATGGATCCTACAACTACTTCTCAGCCACATCATCAGAGCTGATAGATACATTGACTCTCAACATCGACGGTGTCTCGCCGCGGCTTTATCTCTATGGGTTCTTGATCAAGAGCTTCATGGCCGTCAGAGAGAACTACTTTGGCGATGAAATGCACTTCAAGACTTTGGAGGAATATCAGGAACTAGCCTATGCCGAAGCACAACCTTCAAATCCCACGGGCATCAATCCTAACCGAAAATCCAACGATATGGACGTGCTGGTCCATGTCACCGTTGACAGTCCATGTGCTCTGCTGCCTGAAAGCATTTATGATAATTCAAGATGTTCTCGCATCTGTGCTGCATCTCTAGAGGTTGATTTAAGGTTCACAAACTACTACATGGACATGCAGCTTTCCATCAGTCCACTCAAGCTGGATTTACAATCTCCTCAAACCGATGGCTCCTCTGTCGTATCTGGTACCCAGCTGTTCATTGATGGGGTTTCAGCGTATGGCCATCGACTGTTTGGACTACCCCCCGCCGAGCCGACTTATGTTTGCAACTGGGACTTTGACGTTGGTCAAGTCTTGGGTGAATGCTCTACAGAATTTATCGCCTGCCTGGCGTCTGGTCTCAAAAGCTTCGACTTTTCGTTCGACAACGAAGAGAATGCGTTACACCCACTCTTTCCGCCAGTTCTCTTCGATGTCACCTTCCTGAGAGCAAACATCGCATCCATCCATGTCTCTGTTCTGCTTGATGAAATCGCTGTTATTCTTGATTCTCAGCCCTTATCCATCAGATTCAATGACTGGGCAAACTCGAAGTTCTCAAAACGGTTGAGCTTTACAGCCCCGATGATTACCATTGCTGCCGTGGAGCGTCAATCAGTTCCCCTTGCTCTACGATCGGCCGATAAGACAATATCTCCTCTAGGTCTACTTGAAATGGCAATTGGTCTCAAAATGGCGCTCCGTAAGCGGGATATCACGGAGAGTCGACGCTTGCAACAGGAGCACATCAAGGTCCACGACCAACGAACCCATCGAGCTCAATGGCTTCTGTTTGACTGGGAAGAAATTGCTCCAACTTCATCACTGCCACACGCCGATGATACGATCTTCCCTCCGACGATGCCTATCCCAGCTATGCCGGAGCCTATAAACAAGAGACACGGGTCGATGAATGCCTCTTATCGTGGGTTCCCTGCAATAGGTGCAGCTGCAAGTTCCAGGAGCTTCCTGGTGCATTCTGAGACATCGAGCCTCCGCAGTGTCAAAGCTTCCCCTAAGAACATATCTCGATCGTCTTCAAAATCCGAGCCGAGGCGAAGACCTGTTCCAACACCTCGGGATGCAAGCTGGTCCACTGTACAATTGAGCAGGGCCAAGGACAGTGCATATTCTCCCACGGCCATTCGAGATGCTAACCCTTGGATCATACCCCATTTTTCTTACTGGAAGCTGTCCTTGGATAGAACAGAGCTCCCATCGTCAATCGGCAAGGAGAATGCCCCCGAAAAGGATACTGATATTGGAACAAGCAACAAAGCAATGTTTTTGACATTTGAGGACGACCAAATAACATATACCAATCTTGCTGTCGATCTTCCCCTGGGTATCAGAGGCTTCTGCAACCCCACATTCCTTCACAGTCTGGCTTCACTGATGGATGGACTGAAGCCGAAACATCCGATTCAGATCATTGATTCTCTCCAGAAAGATGTGATATCTGACATTGTTGGCTATGATAAGGCCATGAGTCAGCCAAAGAAGTCAACATCTATTGCCGTTCGAGTGCCAACAATTCAGTTTCGCCTCGTTGATGTATCAGGGTGCCCAGATCAGAGACATGTTGAGTTTCGTGACGAGTACACGATTTCAGTGCATAACCTTCGAGCTGAGTTTCAAAAGAGGGTCGAGCGACACAAAGGAGATCTTTTGGAAGGCCTTAAACAGGGCATTACCGTTCATGTAGCGGCTGATCATTTCTGGATTTCAGTCGAGGGCAGCCGAACTGATACATTTGAAGAAAAGGCCATGTTCAATTGCGACCTGGGAGATGTGAACTTTTGGCTGGTAACTGAACCGAATATCCGTTCCCATCTTCAGATGCGAAATTTCAACACGGTTACCTCTGCAAAGTCTGTC